TATTAAAAAGAGTTTATGTTCAATAAAAATTCTTATTACCAATTTTAAGTAGTACTATGAGTGTAGCATGGTTAATTACTTGGTAACATATGTTATCTTCAAAATAGTCGGACCCAAAATCATACATACATTTGATCTATTCTTTATTTTCAGATTTTTTTTATAAAAATATCTTAAACAGAGATAAACACAAGAGGGTTAGTACTTAGTAGGCTTACATAATTAAAGAACTAAAATAATCCACGAAGTGTATATACTTCCATTAACATGGCAAAACATATAATAAAAAAAAACCTCCCATTACCTCCTTTGTCTCTACTTAAGGGCCAAAATTGCCCCTTTCCTTGACTTAATCCATAATAATTAATTAAAGAGGCATAAATTAATTTTAACGATGGCTAATTTTTGGTCAAAATCTCACACGCTCCTTTTTTTTTTGCATGCTCTTCGACACGTGCTCTCGTCACTCTCTCAAATTAGCTGGCTCACAAAAAAAGGTTCCTTTTCGGAAACTCCCTTCTCCAATTTGTTTCCTCATTCTTCTCTCTCCTCCACTGCCTATAAAACCAATTCATCTCTCCCACTTGATTTTTCATCTCCTACACAAAAACCAATCCATTAGAGAGAACTCACAAAACATACTTCACAATTCTCAATTTTGTTTTATAAAACATTATGGATTTCTCCGGTTTGTTCCTCACTCTCTCCGCGGTGGCTCTGTTTCTTTGTTTACTCCGATTTATCGCCGGAATCCGCCGTAGCTCCTCCACGAATCTCCCTCTTCCTCCGGGAACAATGGGTTATCCTTACGTCGGTGAAACATTCCAACTTTACTCACAAGACCCTAATGTGTTCTTTGCAGCAAAACAGAGAAGGTCTAAAAACAGAGTCTTCTTGAAAATCCTCAAAATTCAAACTTTCTTATCTAAAAACAGAAAAGTTGACTTTTTCTTACAATTTTTTGATAAAACAGATACGGATCGGTGTTCAAGACTCATGTATTGGGATGTCCATGTGTGATGATCTCAAGCCCTGAAGCAGCGAAATTCGTATTGGTTACAAAATCTCATTTGTTTAAACCGACTTTTCCGGCGAGTAAAGAGAGGATGCTTGGAAAACAAGCAATCTTCTTCCATCAAGGAGATTATCATTCCAAACTTAGAAAGCTTGTTTTAAGAGCTTTCATGCCTGATGCAATCAGAAACATGGTCCCTCACATTGAATCAATCGCTCAAGAATCACTCAATTCTTGGGATGGAACTCAACTCAACACTTACCAAGAAATGAAAACAGTAAGCCCCACCCTCTCTTAAAAACAGAGTATCCCCTGTTTATTTCCTCTGTTTCAAAAACAGAGCATCCTCTGTTTTTCTCTATCACTATACTCTGTTTTATAACTGACACTTGAAAAAAAAACTGACTCAAGTTTTTTGTCTCATCAGTACACTTTCAATGTGGCGTTGATCTCAATACTCGGCAAAGACGAAGTTTTCTACAGAGAAGATCTTAAACGATGCTACTACATTCTAGAGAAAGGTTACAATTCGATGCCGATTAATCTCCCCGGAACACTATTCCACAAAGCCATGAAAGCTCGTAAGGAGCTAGCTCAAATCCTCGCTAACATCTTATCCAAAAGAAGACAAAACTCATCTTCACACACAGATCTTCTCGGATCATTCATGGAAGACAAAGAAGGATTAAGCGACGAACAAATCGCCGATAACATCATCGGAGTTATCTTCGCCGCTAGAGACACGACGGCGAGTGTGCTGACGTGGATCCTCAAGTACTTAGCTGATAATCCAACTGTTCTAGAAGCTGTCACTGTAAGTTCACTTTTCAAAAGAACATTTGAGAATCTCATAAGGGAGTGGCAGTTCCGTAAATTAATGGGTTTTGTTTGGGTATAACAGGAAGAGCAAATGGCAATAAGGAAAGATAAAAAAGAAGGAGAGAGTCTCACTTGGGAAGATACAAAGAAGATGCCATTGACTTATAGAGTAATCCAAGAGACATTAAGAGCTGCTACTATCTTATCTTTCACATTTAGAGAAGCTGTCGAAGATGTCGAATACGAAGGTATGTACAAATATACGTATTTTAGATCGTATTTAGATCAATATGTTACATATGAATTATGCTAAAAACTTTTAAAACTATTTTTACAGGATATTTGATACCAAAGGGGTGGAAAGTATTGCCGCTATTCAGAAATATTCATCACAATGCTGATATATTTTCGGATCCGGAGAAATTCGATCCGTCGAGATTCGAAGTTGCGCCGAAACCGAATACATTCATGCCTTTTGGAAGTGGGATTCATTCTTGTCCCGGCAATGAGTTAGCTAAACTTGAAATCTCTGTTCTAATCCATCATCTCACCACTAAGTACAGGTTGGTACACTTTTAAAATGATAATAGTCCTTTTGGAATTGACATAAAAATGGTATTATTTTTGGGAAGTGTTTCTGATAAGGGGTATTTTCGTAATTTTCAGATGGTCAATTGTAGGACCTAGCGATGGAATTCAGTATGGGCCGTTCGCTCTTCCTCAGAATGGATTGCCTATTGCCTTGGAACGAAAACCATAGTACAAATTACGAGAATACCATTTGCCTTTCTAAAATTAGAAAGTGAGGATTTTTTTTTCTATTTAAGAGAAAAAAAACTAATTCTCTTTTATTTCATTGGCTAAACAAAAAATACAGAAATGAAAGAAAGTAGAAAGGAAAAAAAATCCCAAACGGGACCCCCCAAGTGTATATAAGTTTTAGTTTATATAGAGAATTAAATTTTGAGAGAAAAAGAGAATTAGTTATATAAATGTTCCATGTGTATCTTTATTTTTGGTTGTCTTTTTTTTTTCTTCTTCTCAAATTGTAAATTCTTTTGTTACCAATGTAATGATTAGTGAATACAATTTATGGAATGCTCCAAGAGAATTTTATAGTTTAATCATCGTTTATTAGTAAATAAACATTTACGTAACAAAATATCATGAGACAATAAAAAAGATAATAAATTAAAAGAATACAATACCTTATCGTCAAAAGTTAAAATATCAAATCAAAGACATTTGGATGTGGGAGTAAACCAATTTTGAAATTATTATATTACATATCGTAAGAATTCATAAAAGGCGATTCCATATAAGGACGACTTTGAAGATTGACCATTAGTCGTAAATGCGATGTTCCCATTCGGCCTATATTGATTAGTTTACCGGTTTATGAATTTTGCATGTTACAGGAATTTACTGCTACGGATATGATCGTCAAATGACTATAATAATATTTCTTTTTGATAAAATCTGTTTTAATAATTAACATTAGTTTAATTGGTTGCTTTCATAATCATCTTTATTTACCAATTATATAATTATTCTTTTTTTTGCTTAAATAAAACTAAAAACAAAATCAGAATTTGTAACATACTGATTTATACTAGTGCAACTGTTAGATTATAACCCTAGCTAATTGAACTACAATTTGGGGTTCTTAATTAGCTAAACATATTGTAGTTGTCATCTAAATATTGTATTTTTGACTCAAACAAAATAATTCTACCGTGGAGCAAAAATGTACTTAATTAACTTATAAAAAATATACTTATCTTATACTTTTTTAGTTAAAGTATCTTATCAACCTTATATTTTCGTTATTAGGTAAGAATAGCATCTAATTTCTGAAGTTTTTATCCTTTTACAAGTGTTAGGTGATAAGTTATTAAATTATGGTTATATTGATTGCGAAGATAGACAGTCTGTCATAGTGCAGTTGTGACTGTACACTACAATATTGATTTGATTAGTTTGCTATAATCCATGGTTTAAAAATTAGTTCAATAAATTAATTGTGATTAGCGAAGGACGAATTAAGTACAAAATATCCAACTCGAGAGTTTACAAGAAGATTGCATGTTCGAACTTTACTAACTATAAATTATTAACAGTATATAATGGGGCTATGGGGAAACTATCATAACGAGTCAAAGTCTCGAGAGTATGTTATTTGTTTGTTCATTTTGTTTCACTTGATTCGATCGAGAGGTATTACATTTATTATTATTAACATGACACACACATACGGAAAAAAGAAAAGAAAAGACTTAGAGATATGTAATTTGGGCATGATCGCTATAGATGTAATAATATTAACTCATGCAAAGAAGTTTTGTAGACGAGTCTTGGATTTTGAACCCGAAAACGGAGATAACCAGACCAACATCGACACAAAACACGGAGATGATACGGAATCAGCTCCCAAAGCGTTGCTGTTAGGTTCTGGTAATCAAGGTAAAAGAAAGTATAACTAATGTAAAAAAAAGGGAACATAACCAAAGAAAGTGCTTGGAATTACGAAAGATTATCTATGCATGAGTAACTTGAATCAACGTCCATGTATTTGGTTTGCGACATCTTTGCTAATTTGTCGCAAATCTCAATCATCATATTTTGGAACCTCAAACAAATAGTTACATTCCATCTTGCAAATCAGCAAGGATTCGTGCAAACCGCAACTATCGTATTCTTATCCCTAAACCGTAAAATCTTTCAATCTAGAGACCTTGAGAATGTGTTTTAAATCTCTTGAAATTTTATGATTGTATATGAGATTTTTTAGATCTTGTATAGAGCTAAAACTTGTAATCAAATCTTCCCTTCTACTTTTTTTTTTTCCTTTTTATTTTTAATATAGGAAATCCAACGCCCAAGAATGTTTATGACTTTGAAAATTATCAATTGAATAATGGTGGATTGTGAATTAGTTAGGGAAAATTTCCATATGGACCATATCCAATAACATAAGATTTTATTCGATGACATTTAAAAGACTCCACATCCAATAAGGGTAGATTTAAGAACATAGGCCTAGTTCTGACTAAAAAGAAAAATATCATGGGCCTTAATAAAGGCCCAAATATTCTCAAAGATGGACCAACGGCACACAGATCTCCCCGCCTTTATATATCACGACGGAGACAAACTCAAGCCACGACGGTTCTCCGAGAGAGAGATTTTTCAAAAATCAACATTGCAACAGAAGCAAGAACCCTAATCGATTAGAAGCTCTGATTCGTTCCACTTTTTTCCACTGATCAATCTCTAAAAAATGGCGAGTGAGAGTTCGCAATCTTCCTCTCCGTCGTCATCTCAACCTCCGTCATCCCTACCTTCTCCGTCGCCGGGAAACAACGTCGGAGATACGTTTATAGGAAGTTTCATCAGTCTAATTTCTAAGTACGAGATCCGTTACGAAGGCATTCTCTATCATCTCAACGTTCAGGACTCGACGCTAGGTCTAAAAAACGGTACGGATTCGAAAAACCTATGCGATTTTGGATTTTCCGAACAACGTAGAGATTACATGTTTATGCTTTGTGTATTTGTAACCGGAACATCGAGTATATATATATCGTCATCACTTTGTTTGCGTTTGGAACTGGAAATTTGATTTTGATTCCGTTCTTGTGGTTGATTTGGTCTTAGATTCAAGGAGATGTAAGAGAAGCTTGAGTATTCGTTTATATGTACTTGTGTTGATAGTTAGTGGAGAGTTAAAATCTGGAAACTTCTATGTTAGTGAATCATGAGAGGTGAAGTTACCAAGCAAATGTTAACTTGTGTTGCTATTCAAATGAGGCGTTCTTGTGTTGAATGATAGTACTATTATTTTGTTTGTTGAATGGTTATGCAGTAAGATCATGTGGAACGGAGGGGAGGAAGAAAGATGGGCCGCAAATTCCGCCGTGTGATAGAGTTTACGATTACATTCTTTTTCGCGGAAGTGACATTAAGGTTAGTGTTCAGATTCTTACCTTCTTAGGCATTTTATGTTACATGTATTTCGTAGTTGGTCTTTTGAAGTTGGATTCCCAAAAACATGATCATAATAGAAGTTTTAAGTCTATCTACTATGACTTATGATGATACTTTTTTGGCGTTTTAGGATCTGCAAGTTAACCCAACTCCATCTGCACAGTCAAAACAGGAGATTCAAAGTGAACAAGATATCAATCAGGTAAAGAAATGTACAATGATAATTGTCTGTTAAATTAATTACTTTGCATGATTTTTCAATCTCTTATTCCCCCTTCGTGTTTACAGTCCTCTCACTCTAGGCCAGCTATGACTATGAGCTCTCCAATTTCTGGCTATGATAGCGGTTATGGTTTGGGGAGAGGATCACAATGGATCAATACACCTGCTTTGAGTAGTAAACCGGTTCCTGTCACACAACATTCATCAGTCCCTTTAAGTTTCCAGCCTAATGCTGGAAGTTTGACAGAATCACCAGTGAGCTTAATTGGTTCAACTCAAAGTAATGTGGGTTCCTCTATGCCCATGCCTTCTTTTGTGCAAGGTAACAAATTAGCTTCCACTGGTGTCCCTCTTGGTATGATGCAGCAGCCAGTTTCATCCTCCTCGACCGTACCCAATGATTCGCAGATTATAGATTATTTTGCTTCACCAATCATGGGAGTAGTGAATGATTCAACACAGGTTGTTACTCGTTCACCTGATGTTGCTTCTAATCGATCATACTCTTCCAACCCTTCTCCCCTTGGTCAAGCACAACTCCATACTCCACCTGGCCTTGCTTCAGCACCCAACCTTTCTCCACCTTCTGAAGCGCAGCTTTCTGCTCCAAATATTCAGAACAGTTACCCCAGTGCGCCCCAGGCTGTTGGTAAAGTTGTCTATGACTCTCAGTCTGATCATCCAAACCGATCTATACCTTATGAGTTACCTGCTGTGGCGTCCAATTCATCTCCTGTGATTCCTGGTCCATTGTCGAAGTCGCCTGAGTCATTCTTCGGTATGAATCCGTTACCGCAATCTAGGCAGCAGATGGTATATAGGGGTCAAGAGATGTTTGCACCTAACCCGGTATCAGTGAATGTGCCATCACAAAGTTTTGCTACCAGAAATCATGCACCGTTGCTGCCTCTTCCAGTTTCAGCTCATCAGGTATCTTCCTATTTAATTCTTCTTCTGATGTATTCACGTAGATATCACACCTATGCATGATTTTCTCATAATTATCATAAAAAGTATTCATGATTACATTGGTTCTTAAATCCATGATGTCCCTAGTACTGATACATTTAGCCTCTCTCTTTGTCTTGGAACTTTTACTGGAAATTCAAAGCATTGCAACTTTGGTTTGTATCCTTTCAACACATTTCGTGATTTCTCATTTGTTATTTCTTTGGTTCTAAATGTGCTGCAGTCTCGGATCCCTAGTTCTAGCATTGAGTACACTGAAGAATTTGATTTTGAGGCAATGAATGAGAAGTTCAATAAGAGTGAACTATGGGGTTATCTCGGGAAAAGTAACCAGAGAAATCAAAATGATTACCGGGAAGAAACTGCAATTGAGCCAAACGCTGAAGGGAACGTACAGGTATTTTCTAACTTTGATTAAATCTCAGAGATCTAAGTTCAAGTTCTTAACATGACCTAGTTAATGATTTATATGAGATTTTAAGCAGCGGTTAATATCTGTTTTTGCCTGTTGCAGCCTGCATATAACAAGGATGACTTTTTCGACACAATCTCATGCAATCCACTTGACCGTGTGGGAAGAAGCGGACAACAGCACACCCAGTTTCCCGAGCACATGAGACAAGTTCCTGAGGTTTGTTTCACCTTTTCTATATCCACCAAACTGAAGTTCTGAAACTATTCTTCTGCAAATAGCAATAGTGTTTGCTTATGGACTTTTTTTGCTCTCTTTATCTTTTTATTCAGGCATTTGCTAATAATTTTCAAAGGCCACCTCCACTACAACCAGGTCAGGGTGCATATCTCGCTGCACAAACCAATTACAGAGGTGGATACCACAATAATAACAACAACTACTATGCAAACTCGGGTTATGGTTACTACCTTGGTGGGAGAGGCCGAGGCAGAAACACACATTTCTGACCTGCTGAGTTCTTTCTTCCTCAGAAACGCTTTATTGGTCACTCGCGTACCCGCATTTCTTGTCTTACCGCTGCTTTTAAATTCAGTTTTTCGGGTAAAAAACAGTTTTACGGTTACCACATCTCTAGATGTGTAGGCATATCATATTGGCAAGTTCATGTTCCTTTTTAAAATCTTATGAGCTTTAGCCTCAGGAGAGAATGTTTGTTCATGTAGAGAGAACAAAAAGTACTACGAACCTTTTTGGTATATGCACATCATTAAATAGATACGCACATCATATGCTTTAATATTTAATATCTGATTTACATATACACACATAAGCGAAGTTAGTAATACTTACAAGTTAAGAATTACATTAGACCTTACATACATAAGAAGAAGATTCCTTAAAATTTAGAAGTATACAACTTTATCCAATTATGTATGTTACTTGCTAAGCCCTGCCTTTACGCCAAAGGAAAGAAAGATACCAAAACTTTCCCCACCAAGTAGGGTTTAGTACCAAATCCTTCAAATTCCATTATCCTCTCTCAAGCATCACCCAAACCCACCAAAAGGCCAAGAACGTTGGTCACAGAGCCTGAATGTTGTCTCATCGAACCCGAACTAAAATCCCATCCCGTGAACCCCATAATAATGCCCAGATTGACTTCTCGTCACGGTACCACCAGTCCTCTCATCTGGTGTGCAGCTATCATTTGTGCTATAATCTCTATTGTTGTAATCATTGGTGGCATTTTAGTCTTAGTTGGTTACATGGTCATTCATCCTCGAGTTCCCATCATAAGTGTCGCGGATGCTCACCTCGACTTCTTAAAGTACTGGTTATTTTTTCCGCAACTCTTCCCTTTCTTGATCATGAACTTAGATCATTAATGATCGATATATTTTTCTCGGTTTGATTGATCAGGTATGACATAGTTGGAGTTTTGCAAACGCAGTTAACAATTGTGATTCGCGTAGAGAATCATAACGCTAAGGCTCATGCGTTGTTTGATGAAACCGAGTTCAAGCTAAGCTATGATGGCAAACTTATTGCGATTTTAAGAGCGCCTGAGTTTGAAGTTGTTAAAGAAAAATCAATGTACCTTCCTTACTTGGTTCAGTCATATCCAATACCATTGAATCCAACTTTGATGCAAGCTGTAGACTATGCGGTTAAACAAGATGTTATTACGTTCGAGCTCAAGGGTGGCTCAAAAACTCGGTGGCGAGTCGGACCATTAGGATCGGTCAAGTTCGAATGTAACCTTAGCTGTGAGCTTAGGTTTAGACCTTCTGATCATAGTTACATTCCATCTCCGTGCACTTCTTCTCATAAGCATTAGAAACTCTATCTCTCATTTGTTTTACTTTCCCTTTAACTTAATTAGTTTTTTTATCTTACTTTTTGGGATTGATATATATTTTTTTCTTTCTAAAATAATTGCTGTAGGTAATACTACAAATTTATTCACAATGATATCAAATGAATATGAAAGAAATTCAAGAAATTTTGATATTTTCGCTTATAAAATTTGACTGGAAGTTTATATGATTGTTTGGAATAATAATGACTGAGAGTAATATCTTTTTGTAAGTTTTTTATTTCAACTAAATCACAAATGATGGATTTCTTTTAATGTTTTTTAATTAAGAAAAAATTACATTATAGAATAAAACTAATAAAGTACTGGAATATGAGTTAGGGAAAGTGGAGGGAATGAAAAAAATCGCACATATATCTAATCGTTTTTTAAAACGAACTTTATGTATATTTATTTTTTGGTTTAAGCAGTTTAATGATCCCATATCTATTGTACATAATGTTACCTTATTTCTACATGGATTCAATTTAACAATTTTTAGTTTTTGTTTAAATGTAACTCATTGATCAAATTGGAGGAAAATATGTACAAACTCAAGTGTTTTTTTATCGAAGGCGGTATAACAGATACTTACAAAGACATGAAATATCTTTTAAAACAGAGCAAAGAAGCAAAAAAGCAGGTCATTATATAACCAAGGAAAAATATATATAAAATGTTTTTTTAATATTAACAAAAAAAAATCAATACATGTTTAATTTACAATAGTTTTTGAGAATTGCTATACATAATTTAGTTATGGCGCTAAAATATGATGTAAAATTTTATGGCTAATTCTTCTCGGTATGATATAAAAATATAACGGTTTATTTTTTGCTATTATATGTTATTTCAGAGAACTATCTATTGTTATATTATACAACCCCGTTTTGCATAATATAAACAGGAACCGTGTTATATATAAATGAAATCATTTATAACATAAATGATTCCAATCTAACAACATACACAACATAAGTCTACAAAATCATGCAACATACATAACACAAATCATAAATTTATTAGCCTAGTCTTAAACTAATGAAAACTAGCTAACCTGGACCAAAATTTTATCATTCCCTGCAACAATCAACAATGTTTTATATTAGTTTTGCAATAACAGTAACAAATGTAAAACCAAAGCACAAGCATCACACTAATTACAATATTTACCTCATTTTCTTAACTTGAAAAAATGACTAACTTATCTATTAGCCATGCAATAGATGAACAACTTGCATCTTTCATATACTCGATTTCATCTGATGGTCTTCAAATTGTTGCATCATCTATCTTCACCATATCTATCCAAACTCTAACTGCATTTGACCCCAAGCGAACAAAGTGTACTTTTTGCTCTTGGTCGTTTGAATGCACGCGTTCTTCAGCAACATCCCACTTCCTTCCAATAATATGCATCAATTTGAACCTCTGATTTTTCTTGATAAATTCAGCTCCAATTTTACACTGCCATGTTTACAATATAAACCATTTAATACTAAGAGAATAATAACCAGAAATAACTTCATAACATATCAAAAAAAAATTAACGAAAATTTTCGAAGAAGGGATTGTGAAACTAGTTGAGTTTTTCTTAAAAGAGATTTTGGACCTGTTGCTAGAGACTTTTCACCAGGAAATTTAAAAATGTTGCTGCAGATTTTATTCATGTTGCAAGAGATGTTTCAATAAAAAAATTAGAACATGTTGCTGCATATTTTAGACCTGTTGCTGCTGATTTTCCTTTTGATGTTTGATGAGTTGATGCAAAATTCAAAAAAAAAAATTATGACTGTTTTCAAAGATAACTTTGTTGGCAAGCTATACTACAAAGACATTAAACAGTCCTTAATATATATATCATAGGAGAAAATGTCATTTAAATCATCAGTTGTTCATTTTCGTTGATTTAAAGCATGAACTCTATCCATGGTGATTAAAATGCTCAATTTTATGTTAACTTTCAATTTAATCACGAATTCTCGTTGACAAACCCAATTAAGGCACAAAATCGGAACCGAAAGAAGAAAATTGATATCAAAATTAATAATCATCTCGATTTCTTCTCTAATCCTCTCAATTTATTCCCAAATCCTGATTTAATTTTAGTTTCTCAATATTTCTTCTCAAATCATTTTGTTATCTACAATAGTTTATTTTATCTAATTTGTAAAACCTCTTATAAAAAACGGAAAAAAATATTATTTTTTATATAGTTAATTATTCTTTATAACGTTTTATTGTACTCTCCCCTTTTATTAAGTTTTGATTTTCTGCCAACTAGAATTTTAAAGCTTTGGTCTTTATCCAAATGACTTGAGAAATACACTCATCACTCAACGTGTCGTTAATTGCTTTCCTCTCTCTGCCACCTCTTTGTTTCTTTCCCTATCAATTTTCCTCATACTCTGCCTCAGTCGCTACAACTCTGGCTCTTACTTTTAGCTTAAAAAAGGTAAGCCGTAATCTGTCGCTTCAATATAAACTAGAAGCATCTTGGTTCATTAGCTTGATTAAGACTGGAAATTTTGATATTAACGAGTTATAGGGTTCTTGTCTTTCAAAAGTCTTGAGTACCTTATTTTTGGGAAATCCATTATGCAGTGACTCATAGTATTTGTGTTCATATTGTTATAGGGAAATAAAAAATTTTAGGTGAAGACAAATGGATCTTGGAGGTTTGATTTCTGGCTTGGTCTCATCTTCAGTTTATCTTATGACCAGACCTTTCTTTTTCTGCATATCTGCATGTGTGTTCTGTCTTAGAACAGCTCTTGTCACAACCTTTGTGTCTACTGATATGGTCACTTCTGCAATTTGGTTCAACTTAAGTATGCTCTGGAGAGCTGTGTGTGGATCAATCTGGGGATCGGTTCTTCTTTTTACGTTCCCGATTCGCTTTTTCGCCTCTATACCAAGGGAAACACTGGTTCGTTTCATTTTGTAAATCTTTCTTGTATCCAGTTTAGGTAATCTTTTACTGATTCTAAAAAAAAGAAGTTGTTCAGTTGGATTGAATGAGCAAGATTTAGTACTGATCCAAGAGATATATGCGAGTTTCGATTGTTTTAGTAATCTTTGATTGATTCTGAATTAAAGGAATTTTGTATTTGCAGCTTGAGCAGAGTATTTATGATTTGCGGTATGAGGTAGAGAGTCTTGAAAGGAATAGAAAAGAGATAGAGGAGAATCTCCGGGCAGCAATAAAAGAATACCGAATCATGGAACGCGACTTAGATGAACTAGAAGATGAATATGATGAAGCTATTTCCAAAATAGAAAAGCTAGAGGCTGAGGTAAAAAAAAATGGTTTAATCTACTTGTTGCATAACCGTATGTACATATGTTCATAACATTTGGATTTTGGCAGCTGCAAGAACTAAAGGAAGAAAATCTACAATTGAAGGAAGTTCATGGAAAAGACTATTGGATCAAGAAAGGCAAAGTTATTCCCAGTGAAGAACCAAGCGAAATCCCTAGCATACCGAAGCCGAAGAATATCCCTTATGAATCAAAGGGAAAAGCCGAGTTTACATCGGTTAAATCACCTCTTTATCCGTTTGCAAAATCGACAATCCCAAAAGACGAAGAAGTGACACCAAGAGTCCTCGATTTAGAGAGGAAAATTGCGGTTTCAAGAAGTGTATTCAGCGCGATGCTCGCTCTAGTGGTGGGAATAGTAATGTATGAAGCCAAAGAACAAGAGCTGTGCACTCCACTTTTAGGAGCACTCTTCACTGTGGTTGGTATCTCTTTAAGAAGTGTGGTTCAGTTTTTCTCTACGGTTAAGAATAAACCGGCTTTAGATGCAGTTGCTCTCATGAGTCTCAATTGGTTTATCGTCGGTACTCTTACTTATCCGACTCTACCAAGAGTTGCTCGAATTGTGGTCCCGCGAGTCGTTAGCACCGTCGGCTCGGTCTTCGCTTTGATCCATCGTGGCTCAGTCCCTGCGTCACTGGAGCTTGTAAACTATGCTAGTTAAGTAAAAAATCTTTTTAGTACTTCATTCTGTGAATGTAATTATTAGTCTAGCCAAACCGTACTGAACCGGGATCTGTATGTATTTTGGTAAGAAAATATAAGTTTTTTAATACAAATATTTAAGTCATTTTTTCACTGTCAATGTAATCACTAGGATTTAAAAAAAAAAAATCGAATGGAAAATATCCAATAAATCGAAATTAATTAATATATAAATTTTCAATTAAAATAAATAAGATTGAATTTGTGCTATTGTTCTCAAAAAAATTCTAACTAACAAAATGTGGTAATTTTAGATAATTTTCCTAAAATAATATTAGTAGGATTAACGACCAAACCGGGAATTTATCACTAATGATTTAGATGCATACAAACCGGGAATTATACCGGTTCCACGTGACAGTCAGGTTTCGAGTTCCGACGTTACGTACACGTGCAGAAATAGAAGACTTTTCAAAGAGACACGTGTCGACAAATAATTGGTTAGACAATTTCATTAAATACCCCCACCAAAGGAGGCTAAAATATTCTCGATATTTGAGAAAGACCTAAATCACAGAAAAAATCTTTGCCAGATTTGGTAACTGTTTTCTTCTCCTTATTCTCTCTTTCACCTTTTCCCAATGAGCGCGAGAGAGATATACGATGATGGTTAAAGTTACCGGCGGTCTCGGATTCGCTTGGTGCAGGTCGGGAACTGATTGGCTGACAATGACACGTGTGTTGTCATGGTTGGTTTGTGAGATCCCGCCTTGTATCAACTGAATCGGAGTCCGAGGTGAAGAAATAAGGATCCAACTTTCAGATCTGTATTTTTTTGTTGTTCGTTTAATTTTTTGTTGAAAGTTGTGTGATTTGATTGATTAGGTATTGGGTTTTATCTAAATCAAGATAATTTGTTGTTTTTTCCTTAAAGATTTAGTCTTTCGTTTAGTTTTGAAGCCTTAAGAATAAGGTTCTTGTTTTTGAAATTTTAGGATCTAGGGTTTTTGAGATATATAGATCTTGTCTTCGAGTTCGTCATTAGTTATAAGTGTTTAATGGGTAATTTAATTTAGATATCAACAGATACTGATGGAAACTCTGTAAATCTCGAAGCTTTATGGTTTATAGGGTTTTGAATTTTTTTTAGGGTTTATGCTGGTTTTACGAAGGTGTAGATTAGTGATGATGATCATGATCAATAGGTTAACGACAATTCAGTTCAGAAACTACATATTTTTTTTGTTTATCTAGTTTTTAAAATTCACACTATATGAATCTTAAAAATTAGAAAAGATTGTATTCTTGGATTCGCAATTAAAATTTTTATCTTTCCCCTGGTACTAACGTGTGAATTTCAAAAACTAAATGTGCTCAAAGAAAATTTACCATTAGTTGATCATTGCTCGCTCTCAAATTTAACAACTTAAAAGTTTATTTATAAAAAATTAAATAGTTGGAGGTTTTATATGGGAAAGAAAAAATTGGAAGCTTCAGTTAGTAAAATGTTTCGGCTTAGAGAGATTTTATGGGATTTTTTTTTCTATTTATCCCACATTTTTCCTATTTATCACACATTTGGATATGTATAATATAGGCTTTGTTTGTGGTTAACCTGGTGGGGTTTTCGCTTGAGATTTCTTCCTATTTTTGGCTTCTGTTATGTTGTAATTTTTTGTGGTTTATTTAGATTTCGGTCTTTTTTTTTTTTTTTTTGTGATCTCCGTAACTTCGGTAAAAACTTGCAAAAATGGGATAAATACTTAACATTGTTAGCATTTACAACAAAAGAAAAAAAACCTTCCCTATTTCTTAGGCTTCTTTATTTATCTTCGTACAGACCAACATTAAATTGTCCATGAATTATATATATTGACACTGAATGCAAAAGGACAGGTTTTGCCTTTTTTTCCTCTTTATTTGTTCTTTAAAGATTTTGTTGGATCTAAAATGTTTAATACAATTATGAAAAATCTGGATTTTATCAGAATAACGTTTTGAATGATACAAAAGAAAGATGTAAACTTTGAACAAAAGTTAATAATATCATTAATGTAATAGGATTTGGGCATTATGGTCAAAAAGGTTTCTCTAAAAACAATTTCGTCAAAAGGTTTAACTTAATTAGAGCATCTCCAATGGTGAGAGCCCTCCATGGGCTCTTACCATTTTTTTAAGATTAAAATTTTCAAATTTATGAGATGAGAGCTTTTGTTAATTTTGCAACGTCCAATGGTAGGTTCTCTTTGTGGGGTTCTCAGGAAAAAATTAAATTATTTTTTTTAATTATTTTATTTCATAAATCTGAAAAATATTACAATTCATAACATATTAAAGATACAATAATTTCATACATTTGAAAATAAATTTGAAAAAAAAAACGATTAGTTATTCTGTTGATTGTTGCGAAATTTTCTTCATATATGCTCAACCAAATCACTTTTCAATTGTTGATGCATATTTTGATCACGAAGTTGATTTCGCATGCCCATCATATTCTCGATATTTGGAGGCATACCTGTAGAATACGATAAATCGACTTGTGAAGTTTGGTTTCCTTCAACTTGTAGGAATTCTGAAACATCAAACTGAGTGTTGTACCCATCTCGTTCGTCTTCGACTATCATATTGTGCAGTATGATACATGCTTTCATAATATTTCCAATTTTTTCCTTATCCCAAACAAGAGCCTAATCGTCGCCGGCGGCCTCTCTATTCTTCCCTCAATCGTCGCCGGCGGCCTCAACATTTCCCTTCATCACAGCCACTAAAACCCTTACGTCACCAAGAATGATTATGGTTTCAAACAGATCAAGTTCTCAATCAGATCACTTTCTAATGTTATATTTGAAACAACCTATAGGCTCTTAGAATGCATCTTCCATTCGTTATGTCATACACGATACAACATTACTAGTAGTAAGGAACTTAACGGCCAGAGTCTACTATGGTGGTGGGAAAGAACTCGGGGATTGGACATTTAGTCATGTGATACAACATTTTCGTGGAACCCAGTTTTAACAAGACGTACATAATGGATATATCGACATTTCATACCAAGTCTTAGAAAAAGACTTGTCTAGTTATTGTATGTATTATGTACAAAGACTTGACTTGAGACTCAACTCTATCTGCGTGTTGTCGCAGACTCTGTGATTGCAAAGAGTGTTTTACTCGGTGATTAACATTTCCGCTTCATCCATCATTCCTTGCCCTTTCTGAGAAAAACAAAAACTTCTGTTATTGCAAGTAACAACAATTTCCTGCAAACCAGCCTGAATCACTTTTGCGAGTTGGCTGGTTTGAAACGATCTAAGCCAATAACCATTCTAGGAACCAGACAAAAGCCATCAAAGATCGGAAAACATTTGTTAGAGGATTGTACATTGCAGCAAGAAAGAACAACTGACATTGCAAGAAATGCAGAATGACTTGCTATAGTATCATAAACAAACAGCATTTTCACTTTTATCAGCTACCCATTAAGCTATCACTATGAACAAAAGAGAACCAAACAGAGGAAAAAAACTGCTACTATCAGTTTCAGTGATGTATGTCCTACAACAACTCAAAAAACAGTAATGTGAAAGCATTAAATACGGTTTCTTCTCTCAAATCTAAGATAAGATACATTTCAAACCTTTTCTCAAGTTTTAGTCTATTTCTCCAAGGACTTCGCTTTTAGCCTTTTGAAGTTCAATTTTGAGAAACTGACATGTTCATGTTGTTCCTCATGTTTAAATTACATTCATCAGAAATATATACCCACTCATTTACCCATAATCCATGCCTAAAGATATGAAGAAACAATATACAAATCCAACAATGGTCAATGCACAAAACCAACTGAAAACTTGAACCCAGAAACTCAGAGATAGATTCCAGAATCTATCCGTATCTCAGACAAAACCCTTTTCCTATAAATCCTCTAGAACCCTAAAACCCAGAAATATCTTCAATCATATCATCCAAATTTACAGAAGCTAAACCTAAATCATGGTGTCACAATTGATTCGTTATTACTAGAAAGTCCGGACATTCAAATTAAGACTCTCGATCATCGAAGTCAACCAAAGTTATTCATCGATCCAGAACTCCGAATTCCAGAAGATTCACATCAAATTCAAAAACCCAAGAACGCAAGATCTTATCTTTATACCTCAAGAAAACTCTTCCATGAATCTCCACAAGAACCAGAGACACCATTGTCATGGCACGAATGTATAGTCTTAAACTGGTCAATATCAAGCTTCTTATTGATAAACCCAACTTTGAAGTAGATGGAATCAGACGGCGGAAGATCGACCTTGATTTCATCGACATCGAGCCAAATAAAGAATTTCTTCACCTGAATACCCTTGAGCTCGGTGATTGAGCCGTAACCGATACGGCCAGATATAGTCTTGTCGTATTGAACGAGGTAGTCAAATTCAATTTCACAGGAATTGGGCAAGTGAACAACGAATCGGCCATCGTCGGAGAGGGTGAAATCGGTGACAGAGTCCGGCCTAATCGTCGCCGGCGGCCTCTCTATTCTTCCCTCAATCGTCGCCGGCGGCCTTAATCGTAACCTCAATCGTCGGAGAAAAGGCATCGCCATTGCCTTCGCAAAGAAACAGAGAGAAGAGTCGGGAAATGATAAAAAAAAAGGCATCGCCATCCCCTTTTTTTACGCGTTTTTTTTTTTTTTTTGATCAAAAAAATCGACGGCTGAGAGAAGGCCACGTCGTCGGCTCTCATGGTGCTCAACATTTCTCTCAAGAGAGACAGCTCTCTTCTTAATTAACAGTTTTGATTTATTTTTCAAAAAAAATTTCAAGAGAACCTACAAAGAGAACCTCATTTTGCATCCATTGGAGATGCTCTTAGGCACCACTTTCGGTTCTACTAGTATTAGTTAGGCATTGATACCTTCTTGTATTTTTCAAAATAAAACTAAACAAGTGTCTGCTTTATGTGAGTGGGATTAGAATGCATTTAAGAGTTTAATTAGTTAGTTCATCATCAACTAGTGAAGTGTTAAGAGGTTTACAGATTACAAGATCAATCTTCTTAAATATAGGCCTTGAGGAGAATAAACAAAACAAAACAGATTTTGAAGTTTTAAACAAAAGATACTTACTTAAAGAATCCTAAAACCCGGCAACTTCTAGTAATCTGTTTTGTGTTCCAAACACTGTTTATCTCTGTATGTCGCCTGCAAAGAATCAAAAAGATTTGTAAGAACAAAGATTTTACAATGGAGCTAAGGGGAAGGCACAATCGAGTGTGCGGATAAAATCTCACCGTGCATGCGTTTTATGAAGTAGTCCAAATCTGGAAAGCAAGTAGATCCTTGAACCAGAGGAGAAGGTTGACGATATGTGAAGAAGGAGAAGTGATAGCTATCTGGATGGTTCCTCGGTTTAGCTATATCGATTAATCTCATACAACCTTCTCTATCGAAGCAAGTAATCATATTCTCTCCTCCAATAAGAAGTCCCTTATCCCAAGCTGCGTTGATCACCTGCCACAAATAACCAAACTTTAGGGTTTAGATTACATTTGCAGAGAAGCAAGAAAAGCTATAGTCATCAATACAAAGTGTCATTACCTGCCAACTTAAGCCTTCTGGATCAGCTAATGCTTCTTCATGCGCATTGGGAGACATTTGTGGCCCAGGGCAGACAAACTTTGCAGTCACAGAATACTTCTTCAAAGTTTCGAAAACAAGAGAGTACCCATCACGGTTTGAAGGGTTATAGTATCCTGCAGTTAATTCAGCAGCATGACTAGCTGTCTTGTAAGACCAGTAAATCGCCGGTATCTGCATTGTTTTTTGTGTATGAGTCTCATTGTTATAGGCATCACTGGTTTTGAAGGATAAGTGCCAAAAAGATTATACCTTGACAATAATCTTTGTCTCCTCAAACGCGAGATTTGCAAGAGAGAGAACATTCTCAGCATGATTGATTAGCAATTGTGAGTACCAATTTAAGAAGAAGCGGCCATAGTAGCTGTCATATTCACCTCTTTCTTGGAAGAACCCAGTTTCATGTGGTTGAGAATTGTATTGACCAGCATTCTCTGGTCCTTTACCCCAGAAAGCGAATCCTCGTGATTTTGCTTCCTTTTGCAGATTCAATTGCGAATATTTGTCATAACACTGCAATAGGAAATATAGTAAATTGATATGTTAACTACGTATGCTCAAACTTCACTAGTCATAAGTTAGAAGTAAAGTTCAGCAATCTGAAGAATACCTGAAACTCACCAATACCGGGATAAATCCAACCCATCCTTTCTGGGAAAGATGGGTACTTTAGTTCACCAGACGCTCCAAGACCAATCTCAACGGCAGCAATTAGTCCTTCCACAAAGAAGTCATCAAACTCTGATCGGAAGCTTCTCATAAAATCAAAATAGACCTGAATAATCAAGTGTCGAAAATGAAGACATAAGAATCTATACAGTACAAAGAGGAGGAAATGAGACCTAATAGACCAAAATGCATAACAATTTTTGAGCAATGAGTGTTCTTTAAGTACCTCTATACCAGTTCGTCCATGCAATACCCGTTCCTTGTCAACGCTCCAATTCAAACACTCGAAACTTCTTCTTCCTTCACGATCAGTAAAAAATATGTCTGGATTGTCTTTTCCAACTTCCAAAACCCACTGTGGCAACGAGATCATCACATTCCCAGATGCATTCCCTCCATATTCATGAAATGCCATCACCACCTTCAAATAAACCATATACTAATTGCTAAGATATTATGAAAAAAGACGGTCCTTTATCGGGATAGTTACAGTTTGGTCACATAGGATGTATTTGAAAAAGCTCTGCAAGTAAACACATTCACACCTGTAGTTTAAGTTTGAAGTCTCTGATAATGTTAAAGAGCTCCCTATAGCCAGACCATACATATTTCTGAGGATTCCATCCTTCAACTATTCCCCACCAACAATCTATTACCACTCCGTCGACATTTAATGACTTCATGTAACTTAATTCTTGCCTTACACCTTCAGGATCAACCAACTGGCCAAAGCTGTCTATAATGCCAACCTGAAAGACAAAGTACAGAACTTTAGCGCAAGAAAACTAAGGATGGCGGCAAAACTGTTAAGAAAACCATGTCCATATATATACAATTTTTTTTTTTGGGCAACATCCATATATATACACTTAAAACACATAGTTCTCTTATCAGAAGCTCACTGGAAGCATGGCGTACACAGGGACATAAAAGCTCTCTGTGAAGTCATTACGTGGCTCTGCGGAATGAACATCTTGTATAAGCTGAAAAAACAACAAAGTGGTTAGATGAAACAATGTCCAGCTCAGAGTCAATTCTCCTAATAAGGCAATGAATTTCACTTTACTGTTATCATTCACCTGATTGGCTTCCAAGCATCCAACCGAGGTGATAGGACTAGCACCAGTATACCTTCCATTCCCGGGATGATCACTCTCGGCGATAACAACAGAATCAAGAGATACAGGAGAAAGATTCTCATCGATTCTAAGAACCGAATGCTGCTGACAAACAAGCGCAGCCTTAGCACAGTTCTTCAATGTACTAGAAGAAAGTGGGCTCTCAATAGATCTCGTCGGAAACTGAACCTATCCAATAACATGAAACAATCAAGATTGATAACAGAACAAAGCTAATAACTTTAGAAGTTCAACACATATTTGGAATCAAATTTATCAGCTTTCCTCTAAACCCTAACTTAAATAGCTTAAAAAGTCACCAAATTTCTAATGAAGAGACTTGAAAGTTTGAATTTTGAGAGAAAGGGTTTCGAAGTTGCGAACCACATTGTTCGGTTGATGTGATTGTCGATAAGTAGTACCGTCGGCGTCAACACTCCAACCAGCTTCACGAGCCAAAGCAGCGATTACATCGTTCATATCAGCACGCGCCGGTAACGGAAAGTTCCCGTACTGTCTTAATCCGGCGAGCATTCTACTTGTGATTGCTCGTCTATGTCTTTCTCTAAGTTTCGTTCTCTCTTTTTCCTTTTCCCTCTCTCTCTTCCCTTTCCCTCCTCCTCCTCCTCCTCCTCCTCCGCTGCTGCTTCCTTCACCACCGCCGAGTCCGGCGATGTTTCCGTTGTTTACATCGTTTTCCGTTGGAGCTATTGACGCTGCTGCAGCCGCAGCGGCGAATCCGCGGGGGCGGCGAGATTGTGGATTGTTGCGATTTCGGTTGGGAAATTGATCCGGGTCTGGAATCGGGTCGAGATTCGGATCTTGCGAACCGGTGGTGGTGTTGAGAGTGTGCATTTTTCTGCCGTGAAGTTGTTCGCTTCTTTGCTGTTTCACATTTGGGATCTTTTTTTTGTAACTTTTATGGATTTACAAATGAAAATTGGTAATTATGATTAATTACGTTAAAAGTCTCTCATTAACAAAATCGCCAATTTAACCTCTTCTTTTTTTTTCAACAATCGCCAATGTGACCAGTTTTCATTACGTGATATCAAATGTTTGGAATCTGGAATGAGACAATGTGTTTTACTGTTTTGTTTCTAATCATTTTTTTTTATAATGGTTTTCTAATTAAAAAAAATAAACTAAATAACATTATTTGTCTTTAGATTTGATTTTGGTTTAGTTTATTTGTCTTTAGATTTGATTTTGGTTTAGTTTGTAGTTGCACTTTCAGTTCGATTCAGGTTTTCAATTTAGATAGGTTTAATGTTTAAGTAAAATTTAATCTATAGTATAATTTTAAAATAAAATGTTAATGAACTTCCGTTTATACGATTTGACTTGTAGTTGCATTAAAATTAGATTTTTTTTTGGGTTTTTATATCGACTATTTAGATTGTAAAATAATGAAAACAATCACCACATAAAACTTTCGAGTTATATATTTATGTTTTTTTTGTTTAGTTTTCCGGCTACATTACTTTTTTCTCTTTCTTAACTTAATTTATTTTTATTAAAACGTCAATATATATCTCGTATTTAATATATCTATTTCTTGTTTTTAAAACTTTTTTTTAACATCAATCGAGTCCAATTATATTTTGGTTTTGGTTCAAATTCGATTTTGATATCTCGGCTTCTCAATTAATAAAACCAAAAAACCATGTAAACAAATATCAGTCTGAGTATAATTTAAATATTTAGTTTTGTTTGGTTAAAACTTCTTTTCATCCTAGTGAATTAGTGATCACTATCAACTTATCAAGTATCAAATGACCATTTCAAACTTTTTCTCAATTATAGTCCTCAATGAAGTCCAACTATTTTATTTTATTTTTTTGAGCAGAAATGAAGTCCAATTATGATTGCAAAAAGATTAAAAATTTGAACTCAAAACAGAAAAAATGTTATAATAGTTTGAAAAAGAAAAAGAAAGAAAAGAAAGAAATGGGAGTTTGGTTTTTTGTTCCCTCTCGTTCGAACATCAAAACACACTCTTCCCGTAAAAGTCTCTCTCTCTATCGCAGATAGGTGCTTTGTCTCCTTCTTCGATTACTCCGATCACCTAAAAACTCTTTCCTTTTCTTCAAAGCATTTCTCTTTGATTCAAAGACAACACACATAGCTTACTTGCTACATCAAATCCTCGCAGAAAAAAAAAACTTCAGATTTCGAGGTATTCTTGCAATTATTTCTCGATCGAGTTTCAGATCTGGAATTCAATAATTAGGGCTTTTGATTCTGCATTGTCAATGACGAATTCGGGTTTCAATGTAAAGATCTGAGGAAAAAGTTTCGATCTTTAGATTTTGACTTGGAGGGTTCTTCGATTGGTGGATTTGAAAGAAGATGGGGAAAAAACTTGTGGGTCTTGTGGCAATGATGTAATTTTAGCAGAAAGTTGTTTGCTTTTGAGAAGAAGATGGGATCTGGTCGGAGCAAATCATGTCTAGGCTCGTCGCTGGCAGCGAGAGAAGTTTCTGACGTGGCTCAACCTCCTCCGTCGTCTTCTAGTGGTGGTGGAAGGAGGAGAAGATCAAAGAGTCTTTTTTGTGGTCTTCACTCTTCTTGTCTTGCTTCATCTTCGACTTCTCATGATAGTGACGATGATAATGATGAACAGGTCTGGTTTTTGATTTTTTTTGTGCAATTTCATTGCTTAATGAAATTAGGTCAAAGTCATGAGTCTTGTTTTTTTTCAGGTGTGTAATGGATGGATGAGGAAGAGTCATGGAAGTGTTTCACGGCGTAGAATGGAGACAAGAAGAGATGCATCAGATTGCTATGATAAAGAATTGAAAGATGAGAAGAAATCTGAAAATGATAGACATTGTGATGAGCTTGAGCTTGATGATGACTGTGGTGTTGAAGAAGAAGAAGAGGAAGCTAGTGTAAGCAATGTGCAGAGGGGAAATGTTACCGGTTCGATTCAAGAATCTTCTACTCCTGGTCGAGTTTTTTCGCATTTCAAATTCATTCCTGGTAACATAAGCTCTAGACTTAGCAGAGCTTCAAGCTCAAGATCCTTCAACACTACTTATCCAGTCTCTTCTTCTCCTCGAGAGGAAGGTGTTACTTCACCTTCAGAATCTGCTATTAGGCTCATTGATAGAATCGAGTCTCCGAGAATACCTGTGATTGACAATGTAGTTAGAGATATTGATGCCATGAGATTTGAGGAAGATGGTAGCTTACGTTCTCCGAGAGTAGTTAATGGTATGGACAGTCCTTATGCTGGAATTCTTGATAGAAGACATGTAGTTCGGGAGCCTTCCATTGATCGGAATGTTAGATTTAGCAGAACTCTGAGTGTTGGAAGACTCCGTGACAGAGTTCTTCGCAGATCTTCACTCTCTGATTTCGCATTCCGTCCCTCGCCACATCAGGGAGAAGAAGATACTGATCTCTTCTCTGCTGAAACGGCAGCAGCAGAGGATACTCCTGTGACTTCAACGTCTATACTAAATCGATCCGCTTCTAGCATTCGAAGGACCTTATTTGGCATTCAAGATCACGAGACACCAGCTCCTCTTGTGAGAGAAGGGAGGTATCAAGGTTTATTAGAACACAGATCAGATTTCCTTGAAAGGAGGAGGAGAATAAGATCGCAGGTTTGAAACTCGTCGATTATCTCTTACGTGATGTGTCTTATCGACTCAAGATCTAACTAACTGATATAATTAATTCCACAGGTTCGCGCTCTTCAAAGATTAGGAAGCCGGTTTGAGAATGTCGCAGTCCATCATGATAGATCTTGTGTCTTATCAGGTCAAGATCAAGCAGGTCGTTGCACATGCCGCGCAGTTACTAACCGTGGTTCTACAACAGCAACAACCGATGAAACAAATGCAAGAGCTAGCATCTCAAGGATAGTATTGCTAGCTGAAGCTCTATTCGAGGTACATACATGTCTTCGGTCTTCCCATTTACAGCTTTTCGCCACCCTCTTTCTTTCTCATGTATGCTAAGGATCTACACTGCATTCATTTTAGGTTCTTGATGAAATTCATCAGCAATCTGTTGTCTTATCCTCTCAACAACCATCAGTATCATCTATAGGATCTGTTCCTGCACCTAACGACGTTGTGGATTTATTACCGATAAAACTTTATACTAAGTCACAAAGCGAGGATCCATCACAGTAAATGCCTACTAAATTCTAAGATCTTTCTTTTGCCAATTGTGATGCTCAAAAGTCAAGGCCTTATGGTTAAACATGTTTTCTTTTTTTTTTCTGGACTCTTTCAGATGTTACATATGCCTTGTGGAATATGAAGAAGCAGACACTATAAGGACACTTCCTTGTCATCATGAATTCCACAAAACCTGTGTGGATAAATGGCTCAAGGAGATTCACAGGTATGAATATGATATTTAATGTGATGTTTGGTGACAACTAATTTGTGTATGAGATGATCTGATGATCTTTTTATGGTGATGCAGAGTATGTCCCTTATGTCGAGGAGATATTTGTAAACATGATCCATCATTGGAACAACATTGATTACAGTCTTATAGACATAATGCTGAAAGATTTTGATTCTAGAAGACTTACAAGAGACCAAGAACATTCATCAGTTTTTGTCTGCAACTGAATCAAAGATGTTGTGTTTTGCTTGTTGTTTGTAGCTTACACTGGAAAACAAAATTCATACTTTAAAAGATGTAAACTTATGAACCAAATTGATCCAGCATATCTGTAAGAAATCAAGTAAATCCATTGATGTTGTGTGTTTCATGAGCATCTTTGTTTCTGTATTGCAACTTCTGTCAATGTGGTCAAAGTTAGTAGTAGACTAGTAGCTATATATTCCCAAAAACATGAACCCTTAATTTATAAAATTAATTCTTTATTAAAATGATTTTAAAACAAAATTAAGAATATATTAAAAAAAGATTGATACTATATATAAAACTAGATCATGACCCGCACATACGTGCGGGGTTTCATATTTTTTAAAAAGTTCTAACAAATTTTAATTCAATATAGATTATTTTGTTGTTTCTATAATATATATTTTAGTGTATTAGATCTGGATTCACACGTACGTGCAGAGATATTTTTATAGAAATTGTTATATAGATTTTAAAAATATAAAATATTTTGTTGTGTTAGTGAACTTTATAATAGTATAAATATTATAAAATTAGAGTAATGAACGAAATTCAGTTGCGTTAGTGCATAGTTATATTTTAAGATCCGGACGTACACGTATGTGCGAAATTATTTTTAAGATAAAACTAAGATATAATTTAGTTGCAAAAGTTAAATGATGTTACTTTTTTATTTTCTAAACTAATCAAAACATTTATAATAGTTTGATTATATGTGTTATATAGGATATAGATTCGGTTTGAGTTTGGTTATTTCATGTATATTAGGTAGGCGTAACTATTTTAGAACGGGAAACCTATCCCGTCCTGTATCTGTCATAAATTCTTGGTCCCATAACCTGTCTCGTATACGTGAAATAAAAATATGGCGGCCCAGTATCCGGCATAAATAGATTATGTGTAACTGAAAACGTACGTACAGGGTTATGTATGTAAACAAATTTATATTATATAGTGCTCATAACCTGAACTCATACCAATTAGGTATTTAGTTTGATTTTTAATTTATGTTCTCGATCCTCTCATCCCGTCTCGTAATTCCTATTCTCATTTCATTCCATTAAAATCATGTTCCAAATTCTTGTTTGCTTACTTTTAAATATCATACAATACATACTGTGAGTTTTGCAGATTAATATATATGCTGCTAAAGTTACAAATATATTTTAACAAATTTATTAATGTTTCTTTCCTTAGCTAAATTTTGCATATTCTTCTTTTTATTGTTTAATCATAATTAATTTGATTTTTGGACTAAAAATAAAAATTTGAGATACATCTCTAAAAGAGATATGCTATTGCTGCATAATTTGTTTTGAATTCAAAATATATAATTAGTTTCATTATTTGAAAACTGTGTGCAATATATTAGGGATTTATTTAAGGAAGATCCGGTTGAAAAACAAAAAATAAAACGCAAAATAATTTAGAAATTAATATATACAATCTATTGTTAGATATTTATCAAACTTGCTCTAAACGAAGGCTATAATGATAATTACTTTAAATTTATTATTATTTGAGTTTATTTCATCATAAATATAAATAGTTTTTAATACCTAATATCGTATTTTAGAAATTGTGAAATAAAATTTTGTTTTATATTTTAAAATTTGTGAAAATATTATAACAAAACTGAATCTTAAAATATTTGTATTTAATTTTCTTACGAAATTTTAAATTTAATCTTAAAGTCCTCCATTGATAAATCTTTTAAACGATAGTGTTTTTAGTTTTGAATTAAAATGATATTATTTTTCTTTTTATTTTTGACATAGAATAGTCTATTACGATTGGTTTAGATAAAATCTTAGTTGGATATCAAATCTTAGTTTTTCAATTCTTATTAGTTAACAATTTTTTAAAAATTAATTTTAAATTTTCGTTTATAATTAAAAAGAGAGAGAAAATTAGTTTATTTTTTTGGAAATTAATAATTATTTAAAAGAATTTAACTATTTTTTATTTAAATATATTAATTTTGTGATTACTATTGTACCCTTAATGAAGTTATTTAAAAGCACTAAAAACCAATGGCATTTTTTGTAATATTTTACTCTTCATAAGGTTATTTAATATTTAGTGATTCCCAATTAATAATATAGATAGCAGGGTCCGTCCCTTTCAGTTTCGGCCACCGTGTACTCGACCATCAGCAGGGTCCGTCCCTTTCAGTTTCGTCGCTAGAATTTTTCTCTTATTGGGCTTTTGTAACTGGCCCATTTCTTGTAAGGATGAAACCAAACCCATTTGGGATGTTTTAATGAAATTAAATTTAAAAAAAAAAGAAAAAAAAAAAATAATAATAATAATAATAATAATAATATAGATAGCTTACATGATTGTAGAAGTATTACAGGGCAAATGATTTATATTTATTCGAATGAAATTGTATCAATTATATTATTGTACTTTTAAATTTCAAAAACAATATTCCAAAGATGAATAAATTATTTCAATTTTAAAACATCAATAAATAAAATTTAGTCTTCAGTAGATACTGCAGGGCAAGTAGGATTGCAATTCAGCGATGAACAATCTATGTTCTGAAACGTACTCCTCTCAAAGAACCAATCTCCAACCGCCTTAGCCATTTTCTGAAATAACAAATCCAACAAAAATAATGAAAAATAGAAATTATTTACAAAGATAAATTCTCAAAATACATACTTTTGTCTCACTTAACAATTATCACCAAAATCTTAAAAAAATTCAACACAAATTCCAGGTTTATGAAGGATTCTTATTTGTAACTAGAACTTGTAATTGTGGTAGTTTATGGTATTTTTCGATATTAAAATTTTGTACAAGAAAATCAAGTGAGTACCGTATTCGCCACTGTAGGACCTCCATCGCCGGACCAAGTGGCAGCGCTTCCACCTTGGCAATGAGCGTGGCACGAGTCTAAAAACAATCCGCTCGTTGTGTCGGATCGAACCGGTGCCAACGCAGCCAACACTTGGTCTCTATACCCTGAGATATTATAATAAACCAATTGGTTTAGTCAAGAAGACATTAAACCATATTTGTTCATTAGTAAAACATACCTTGAACGGTTTGAAGCTGAGCGGCCGTACACTTCTTAAGATCAAGCTTACAAGTCTTCCACGCTTTGCTTTTATCAACAGAGGTTGGCGCCAAAACGTTCTTGATCTGCAAGAAACAGGCAGATCAAATCCAAATCATACCTCGATCTCTCGGGTTGATATTTCTACGGAAAAAGTAATAAGAAGAACAAAATCAAACCTGCCAAGAATCGAAGGCGGCATTGATGACGAAAAGCGGTGTTTGCAAGGTCTGAGCAACGTATTGAGGGAAGAAACACTGTAGAAAACAATTCAACGTTTATACGATGCAATGAACTAAAAAAATGTATCATGTCAAGTATGTTTTTCAATAAACTTACCAATTCGGGCTTCATACTTGAGGTGCAAGAAACAGGTAGACTCTTTGCAGATCCCTGTAAATAGTGATCAAGTTTAGCCGCGATGGGATACATCTAATATACTAGAGAAATATGGTTGGAAAAGAGAGATATATCGTACGTGGGTCGCTACGACTTTGGCGTAGTACGATTGGATGTAAGATCCTCCAGTGATATCTTTACTGTTCAAACCACAAAATTAACAAAGGTTGTTATTTTGTTTTCTAGGATGCTATTTGAATTATGCAATTTTATGTGTGACTCTCTAGATATTATGAATGTTATACCCGTGGATGAAGTAACCGGCGTCAGAAACACATTTGACCTTAGCCGTTTTAGGGAGAATGGACTTGAACTGGTCGCAATGTAGAATCGCAGCCAATGCTCCAGCTGAACAACCAGAGAGTATCGCCTGAAATTCATGTAACCAAACATTTTAAATTTCAACAGCTAAAAAATTCACTAACTAAAATAGAATTTTTTTAAAATTGTTCATTTTTCATACGTTTTGAGCGTTGCTCATCCCCTTAGCCATAAGATCATCGATCACCGCACGCCAAACCCTAGCACCGCGAAAGAACAGCTTGTTCGACTGAAAATATTCAAATTCCAGTGTTAAAAATTAGGCCTTTAACTAAATTGTTCCAAAATATTCAATTTAAATGTTTGAAAAAAAAACCAAATCAATGATTTCAAGTAGATAAGTTTAACGGTAATGGTCTAGTGAATTACCGGATCAACAGCTTCAATATCGCCAGTGAAAGATGAACCATCGCAATACCGAACTTTGATTCTATTCCAATTGTAAAAGTCTGCAAAATACCCAAATCCGATTCAGTCTCATTGCATAAAAAACATGAGAAAACAAATCATTAATTCGTTGGACAAAATGATAAGAGAGAAAAAGAATTGAGAACCTGGATTGGTGCTTTGCTTGCCACCCAAGATACCAGAGAAACCAAAGTCTTTGTTCATAAGCTTAGAAGAACCCTTCATTGTACTTTTACGTTGTACGCAAGTAGCTATGTCAGTGCACCATCCTCCTCCCTAATATTCACATAATTATATTCATACTTCATTAATATCATTATATTTTGTATAATTTATGATAATATTAATTAAATGAAATTGTAATACTAACTTCCATATGAACGATCCAATTGTTCACTCCTGAGCCAGATCCCTTATCGAAATGGTATGCTGGTGCGCTACCATCCAAACACACTACAAAAAATATAATAATTAGTTTTTTTTTTTTTTGAAAAACATAGTAATAAGATAACAATGGTTTTATCTACCAAATTTTTTTAAAAGTTAAATTTGGTATGCTTCGATACCAAACAATTTAGAAAAAAAAATGTTTGATTCTTAATGAATATAGATATCAGTCAACTTTGGATGCATCAAAAATCCAATTATTCTCTTGATTAAACAAAAAAAATAAGGATATTAATGTGGAAAATCTATATGTCCGATGTGAAAACCCATATTATTTTTGGATTTTTAGGAACTTGGCTTAAGACCATTTCCAATGATTTGGCTCTATTTTTTTTATTCTAAATATAGAAGTGTCTTTAAATAGAATGGAGGCTTGCTCCAAAAATTGGCTATGTTTTTTATACTAAACAAATATTCCATATATATTTTATTTTATTTTAATTTCTAACATAAGATTTTATTTTTAAAATTTACAAATTCTAGCCACTTAGTTTATTCTTAAACAAATATGAAAATGACAATATATTAAAATTGAGAGATTACTTTGTAAAAAAAGATTGTGCTCTAAAAATAGAAAATTGATTAGTGAAGCTCTAAATTAGTATACCATTGAAGATGATTTTACTCTAAATATAAAATTTGGAGCGAAATTTAGAGCATCAGAGAAATGCTCGAACTCTTTTCTGAAAAACTATTACGGTGGAAAATTTGACTTTTGAGTTTGGTTGTCCTTCGTTTTTTTTTTGTTAAAGTTCTCATTCGGTTTTAAAAAAATTTCGTTCAATTCGCCTTATTCGGTTTAATTCAGTTTTTTTTTGTCTATTCCTATGATCCATGCTCAAACTTTTAGGAGAGAAAATTATTGCTTACCAGCTCCTTTAGCCACCGCGGATTCAAGATATGTGATGGGCACAGCTCTGGCCCCAATCACCACCACGGCCAACACCAAAAAACTTAACCACAATTGCTTTAGCCTCGCCATTCTGTAACAAAAATAAATAAATAACTCACAAATTAAATTAGTTAAAATAATCTTGTCTGGAGATAACATATTTTATAATTATAGAAAATTCGATTAGAATGTTAATTATCTCCCAAATAATGTAGAGGATTTGGCTCTAACAGAAAGTTCTGAGATTAAGAGCTGTGATCGGATCTCAAGTTATGGTACATGTGTATTTTGCAAATGGTGTTAACTTAAAATAAGGCTAACTTTTTGTTTTTTTTTTTTTTTTCTGTATCAAAGTAATAGTAATAACTTATTGAATTGAGAAAATATATGTTATAATATAACAAATATCACCATTGGTCCATTGGGGCACTAAAGAGTCGGGGAACAAAATGACCAGTCCATGTGTGTGTTTAGTTGGCTGTAGTAATTACTATTTACCTCGATTGGTGTAGTCCACCGAAAAATATAATAATTTGTATTATTATTACTATAAGTACGAAAAATATAAATCATAGGAATAAGTCATAAAATTAGTCAAGACACGATCTATAAAAGGATTAGTTGCAATATTCAATTAGTAATCTTTCGTCCCTATATGTATAGATTGCACTTGTTTTAAATGCTATATAGATGGTACTATGGTAGCTCTATGAACAATGAATGAATTAAAATGTGAGATTATCCGAAAATACCCTTCTAGGCCAAACTTAAACAAACCGCAATTCATGGCGTCGGAAGGGGCAAACTGAGAATCATGCAAATAATGAGAATACGACTAATATAATTTTAAATTCAAAAACAATTTTGTTGAAACCAAAAATTGCAAGATTTTTGTAGTACGATTATTGGACCGCCAACTAATTGGAGGAAAAAATGACAATCATCGGATTGAAACCAAAACATTGCAAGATCTTTTCCATCACGAGTATACTACCGTAATTGTTTTTCTACTAATAGTTTGGTTAAAATCAAGAAATGACTCGCAATAACTTATCTAGTTTCCAAAAGGAATCTAATTAATAAGCTATGGTTGAGTAAGAAAATCTGAGTTTAGCTCTCGTAGATCAACATGAAAGAATAATACTTAAAAATAATTGGGACGAACTGGAAAATATCAAAGAAATAATAACAAAAACTTCATTTAATTGTTACCAAAAAAAAAAAAAAAAAAAAAACTTCATTTAAACAAATTCTAATAGAGACTTCATTTCTAGGAAATAAGAAGAAGAAGATTTACCTTGAGAAAATGGCTCTTCAGATTCTTCTTATTCACGTAGAGAAGAGTAGAAGTTATTTTTGGAAGGTAAAATGAGTGAAAGAGGAGTCTTCGAGAGTAAGGTTTACAAGTTCAAAGAAAGCCATTGATGTCTTCTCTGTTATATAGATGGATACAGAATACCACACGTTGAAAGAAAACCTTTTTTTTTTTTAATTTTCTTTTTCCTTTTTCGCTTTCATTTAATAAAAATAAGCATAAAAGTTTTTGTTTCTTTCGTTCATGTATTTGCCAGGTCACGAGAATTCAACGTTAAAGACTCTCAAGAAAACTACCTTCGTAGTAATATTATGACTATTATTCACATTTCGTATATAATCTAATTCCTTAAAGTATTTAATTTATTTTAATTTTAACGTATCAATTGTTTTATGGATTCATTATCATTAAAAGTTTAATATCAAAAAAAAAAAGTTTAATATCAAAAATATGAAAATAAATAAAAAGAAAAATGAATTATATTTTTAATTAGTTGTGATTTATGAGACTAGCACTTGTTCTTTTATTTACGTAGTAGTAGGTACAATAGCGATGACCTATATCGAACTCAAAACTTATGTCTGGACGGAATCTAACAAAACTGATGTACAAATGTCAATATCAATTTTGCTGAGATGATTTATCTTCAAAGTTTTAAAATTTTGAAATTACATGACATTGAATTATTTCTGCAAAAGGAAAATAATATTTGCCACGTGTGGTGTTGTGTCGGTCCTCCTCCAAATGCACCGAACCAAGTTAATGCGGAATACCAAGAGTTAAGACCTAATGCTAATTTACTTATATTATTCTGACTTTGTGTCTTCCTCATTGTGTATTCCAATAACTTGATTAAGATTTCAAATTTTTACTTTTCTTTTTTCCTTGAATGAATATTAGGTTAGAACTTAGAAGTCAAAATCTTTTTTCTTTTCAAATTTGGGACTAAACGGATCTAAATCTTTATTTTTTTTGTAATGAACGATATTTCGATGCAAAAGTCAAAAACCATTGAATAGCTAGTTGTAACTATAATCCTTGAATTGGCGGTGCATGTTTTTTTTTTGGTCAACGGTTTCTGTAATTTAAAATACACTAAATTATGACCGTAAAGTAGAATATTTAATTAGTTTTTTAACAATAAAAATTTCAAAACAGGAATATTTATTTATAAGAGAACCAGATATTCTTGTCATTGAGAAGGTAGATATACTTGTGGTAGATGTTCATTATGAAGGTAGATTTAAAATTGTTTGGATCTTACAATTATATGTCTATATTAGTATTTATTACTATAGTTTTAGCGGACTACTGCAATAAAAGAGGAAAAAAATATCTCATAATGATTAATGTATAGGTGATAAGTCTATAATTAGTATGAATCTTGATGTAGTATGTCTAACTAAAACAATAAATGAATTTTGGAAAGATCATTACTAAATGATGTAAGAGGAAGGTAGGGTCCGTGGGACTAGGAGTAGAAAAGGATAAGGAAGTGGCCCGGAAGATCTCTCCATTACAATTTGCCAATTTAAAATTGTTTGTTTTTCTCTAAACATATTATTTCGAAAACCTGAAAACGCGTTTAATAATACAAGTACCGAATAATACAGAGAGAGAGCAACTGAGCAAGAGCATATAGGTTTTGACTTTTGACTTTGTTACATTTATTTGAATAATGTCACATGATGTTTCTATTTGAATAATCTGAATATGTGTTGAAGCATAACACGTAGTGTGTATATATATTAATCTAGAAAATTGCAAATCTGAATTTCATACTAACCATCCGAAATGTATAGAAATTCAGATTCTTTTTGTTACTTAAAAACGTTTTTGAATGGCTAAAAATGATTAAAATTACCGTAAATTAAAATATTATATATGCCAAAGAAAAATACTTAGAAAATCATTCAAACATTAGACCACCATCACTTGATTATCTACATATATATATATATATTTGTGTTCAAAGTATATATGTTTGTGTTATTAATGTGTTATCATCTAAATTTGAGTTCATATATTGTATTCTACTGACCAATAAAAGGTTCATGGAGAGGAGATGCTCATCAAAAACAGTTCTCAAATGATGGCAAGAAGTTTTTTCTCAAAATTTATAATCTAGGTATGGTGTGTTTGTAATTAAAAATGACTATATATAGTGAACATTTGCAAAATAAATTAAATAAATATAAATATAGACAATTATGATTGTAGAAAAATGAAATAAGAAATATAATTATTTAATAGAGAATTACGAAATATATAAATTTTGTGTAAACAAAAGAAGTGTAATCCTTATCTAATAAATCACAAGTCACTTCTCTAACAACTGCAGCATTATCCTTCTGCCACGTGGCTTAAGTCTAAAATTATGCACTTTCACTTTTTCTTTACACTAATTTACGGATTAAAATCAAAATACAACAATTAATTGACTTTTTCAGCAACAATTCCTCCCCCACCCCCACGATCTCTGCTTCGCTTCCTCTCTTTAACAATAGAACCACTTATTAGTTTCTACTAAAAAGAAAAAAGTTCACTTCTCTTCATCTTTCGATTTTGTTTTCCTGCAACTTCTCTCCAGGTAAAAAAAGTTGAAATTTCAGATTTTGTTTCTTCCTAATTTGTTCAGTGGCATGAGCCACCATTTTAGGTTTCTCATCCCGACTAAGAAATTAACTCTCTTTTTTTTTGCAATATAACTTCAATAGGGAAAGTCAATATCTTCGATTTGTTCTCTTTGAGTTTCTCTCTTAGATTTCAGGTTTCTTCTCTTTCAGATTTTTCATGACTCTTTCTAATTTTACATTTTTGTTGTTTGGGTTTTGCAGTTGTCTCAAAAACATGAGCATAATAACTTTGATTTAAATGGATGATCTGTTTATTTTCTGTTATCCTCTCCATCGTAATGGTAAGACCCAAAACTCTACATATTCTCATCGGCATTCTTTGTATTTCACTATTGTCAAATTAACTTCCCACTAACATTCTTCAAATCATATACCTCTGTAGTTAATCGACAAAAAAAATTCGTTGATAAATCCTGTGATTTTTAGTTTCTATTACACAGGATACTCAATTACGTTATTTACTTCAATTTTATTGTTCGTGATTTTGAGCATGTTGTTACTTTGAAGGCGATCATATTACTCATGTGCTTAATTCAGAGGTGAGCAATCAACCCTACTTTAGCAAATCCCAATTTATTCCTTTTTTATCAATTAATTATTATAGTCCTCTTTCATTTTCTTTGTGGGGATTCAAATATAGAAGAACATACATGTTGTGGCTTTGAATGGGAACTCCAGGCAATGAGAGTTGCAGCATATTGCAAGCCGAGTATGTTAACGAATCATACATATTTGATCGATACTACCGAAATTTCTAACTCGGCACAAAAATCTTACTCCACTTGAAGGTAATCTTTTACTGAATTTGTTCATATAATTTATAATCATTGTTCTTGGTTAAAATGTTACACAATCTTCTTACACATTGTTCTGTAACAATTTTAATTTGTTTGAAAAGCCACGAGGTGATCACTATGTTTTGTTTAAGCACTTCCGTTTCTGATTCATGTATAGTTTTATAAATCTATGCTTTTGATGCTCTGTTTTCTTCTCTTATATATATTCTAAAATAAACATTTCTAATTACTACATGGTAAAAATGTGATTACAAGACACCAAAGGTATATTGAAGCATATATTCCCAGGATGTTTTTCTTCTACCTTGATAGGATTCCAACTCAAGTACACTTCAGGACTTGACAATCGCCACATCAACAAATTGTATACAAGAGTTACTCTTTCATTGGGAAATGCAAACAAAGCATGATATGGTGGGAAAAAACTGCATATGATGACATTGTGGAAAAACTGCATATGATGACTTTGTGGAAAAACTGCATTTGGAGAGGACTTGAATTCAAAAGGGAGAGATGTTGTGCATGAGGAACCAACCAATGGTGTTTATAATGTTAATCCATTAGGACCATTATGGTCAAATATAGAATTTGTGTAACCTTAAGACGTAGATAAACTCTAAACTATGTGTGTGTCAGTGTCGACAACTTGATATGTTTTCATGCCCATGTTAATAAAAACTTGAAAAGGAAAATAAACTCAAATAACAATTAATTGTATTGAGTAAACAATCTAATCTAATTTTTAATTAAAGAAACTAATGCTATTTTTGGCCGTGCAGAGCACGGGCCATACACTAGTTGTATATATTCTACTTCTCAAAGTTGTAATTTAAAGACCGACTTTTTCTATAAATTTTCTTTGTAGACACATATCATTTTGCTCCAATCAAAAGATTTTTTTAAATATATATATATTTTAAAAAATTCTTTTCTATTTTTTTGAGTAATACTTTTATGTAGCTTTTGTGACGTGTATATATTGTGAACATAAACAATTATACATACATTATTTTTTGGGAAAATATACAATTATACATACTAAAAAACAATTTCATTTAAGAAATCATTGACTATCTTTTTAAGAAAAATAAAAAATTTACTCCTTGCATGTTTCTATTTGTGTTAAATCATCGGTTATTTGGGAGGATTGTGACTGCACAGACAATGCTTGTCAACATTTAAAGGTTACTAACACTACCATACCTATTTGTCTATTCATTCAACTTTACAATTTCGGATTTTAGAGAAAACTGATGAACAAATTTTTTTTATTAATCAATCTATTTTTTTTTTAAATCACAGTGAATGAAATTCATGTAATTAAGATCTGTATGGTTATAAATAAACCAAAGCAAACACGAAAACGATAACAGTTTTACTAAAAATGAACAAAAGACTAGAAATTTGCATATCAAATTGGGGTTTTTTTCTTGGAGTTTTCGAAGTGTTACTTAATATGCTAAATTTAGAAAATGAGTTTCTCATTAATAATTATTAGTTTATTTTGTCTTTTTCAAGATATGAAACAAAAAATTGTTTTTATGTTATGGAATTTTCTAAAAAATTTTTTATAATTAAGATCCATGTATTTATAAAGTTTTATATGTAATTTATAAAATTTAATAAAGTTTTACAAGGTATTTATAAAGTTTTACAAGATATATATAAGGTTTTATAAGGTATATATTTATCAAGTATTTATATGGTATTTTTTTTTTGACGGCAAATTTATATGGTATTTATAGGGTATATTTATAAAGTATTTACAAAGTTTTACACACGTATAAAATAGTTTGTTTATGATTTTATAAGGTTAAACACGTATTTGGGTAAAAATGTATTTTTGAAATTCCTCACCCTCTTCCTTTATGTTTTAATATTCTTACAACTCCCCCATGCTCCTTGAAGATCATTTATTAATTATTACTGAAAGTAAATGAAAAGAGAAAGAAATATGAATGTTAATAAATACTTCCTCCCTATCACTTGATTTATTTGTTTCATCTCAAATGATGTTTTCAACTTTCTATGCAAAAACTAAATGTAATTAATTATTTTTTGACCAATCATCTTTTACAGTATGCTTTTTTATTGGTGTTATATTTTTATTTAATGGTGTTTTTATGTAAAAGAGATAAAATAAATGAAAATTATTACTCCCTCCGTTTCAATTTAGTTGTCGTTTTAGGATTAAAATTTTGTTTCATAATAGTTGTCGTTTTAGGTTTTCAATGCAAATGTCTGGTGAAAATTCATGTTTTGTCATTAATGTTTTAATGTTTTGACCAATAAAAAAATTATAAAATATATTAATAAAGGGTAAAACAAAAAATTTAATGATTTTCTTAATTTGTGTGCGAAAACCTTAAACGACAACTAAAACGAAACGGAGGGAGTAGTTTTTTTTTTGTGTATGTGGTAAGTGGTAACCTTAAGCCTTGTTTAAAAATTAAAATGATATAGAGCGAATATATTTGACAATATATATGTCATTATGTCAACTAAATATTAATAATAAAGATATTATATCATTATGTTTTTGTTAAAGAAAGATATTTTACCATTATTTCTTATAACGAAGTAACTTTATAAACGTTTCAAAATATGAACTTAAATTTACTTCTATTTTACTGTTTTGGAGACCAAAAAGAGCATTTATTATTGTATTTCACGTCATAAGGAGGTAGCAAATATAATGTCATAAATTAAGATGTTTATATGTTTTGATTTGTTTCTAAAAATAGCGAAAAAATATTCGTCTCTTTAAACTTACGATTTAGTCCATTAACTCTTCCTTATCACCACATATATAATAAGGCAACGCAATATCTGTGTGCTCTCTATAGTATATATATGATCATCAATAGGTAAAGTTATTAATTCTCTTGAGAAGTGAATTCTAACGAAAGACAAAAACACAAAATGCAAAACCAATGTCCCACCCTTGGTCCCAAATGTGACATCTGTGATTGCTCAGGCAGTGGATGCCAATCTCAATTCCCAGGTAATATATGTTTATCTATACAGTTTCTGAGTTCTTCTACACATGATCTTGAGAAACTCCACCAATATTTCTAACTCATCATAGCGTGGATCGTGTAGTTTAGTCGTGTTCCAAATTGAGTTAGATTTTCAGTTGGTGGAATACTAACTTTGTCAAGTTTATGTTCTTGATTACAAAAAAAGTAATACTACCATTTTAACTTAAATTTGTTTCTAGATGTTTTCGATTCGATTTGGATTATATCGGATTGATTTTGTACTCTTTAGATCCAAACTACGTTAGAATATTCTAAGAAAATTGACCTAATGTAAAAACCTAATTGACCTAACAAGTTTCTACAAACATTATTAATACCAAGGATTAAAGATTTATAGTTTGGTGTGTTTAGGAATGAAGGTGGAGTGGCCAGAGCTAAAAGGAGTGAGTGGACTTCAAGCAAAGGCAAGAATAGAAAGTGACAATCCACGTGTGACTGCTTTCATTTACCCTCAAGGTGTTTATCTACCATCCATCAATTGTTGCAACCGTGTCATTCTCTTTGTTCCAGCTGAAGATTGTCCCAATGGTCCTGTTCAAAATCGTCCAATCGTCGGATGATCCACTATGTTGTTGTTCTTCTTTTTCATCATCTTGAGCTTCAATATTTTTCTTAAGTACGAATGTTATACTTTTTCAACTCTTATCATCATGAGTAATAAAAGGAAATTCTGGTAAAGACCCTAGGCGAAACTTAGAGGTCGCCGGTTCGAAGGACACTTGGGACGAAACTAATATTACTTGCTATGGTTTCAGCCTTTCAGGTATAGGTGATTACGGGCTTTAGTCCAAAACCTCCTGATATTCAAAATAAAAAATAAAAAAATAAAAGGAAATTTTAAGAGCTATTTTGGTAAATCTTCTGTCGATACGGCTATATATTAAAAAAAAAAACACATTACCATATTGAACAAAAAACACAAATTTGTTCAAAAAAAAAAAAAGAAAACACAAAAAGATAACTAAACTTGATAAAACAAGCCCAATGGGCCTTTATTCCTAATAAGTCAGAGGAAAACCAGCTTCAAGTTCTGAGCTTAAACTTGGTGAAAATCCAAAAGCAGATTGAGCAACAAACTAATGCAGTTGAAGCAAAGGCGCGAGAGATTAAAGCAGTAGAGATTGAATCAGGTGACAAAAGAAAGGAACTTGATTTGCTAAGGAACCAGATCAAGGCAGAGGAAATGACTCTCATTGAGCTTAAGAAATTAGTGCAGAATACTCAAAGGGAACTTGAGTTGAAGAAGAAAGAGTTGAGACAGACGAGCAGTGTGTTTGTTAAGCACGAGCAGCAGCCCGCTGCAGCAGAGACTGAGCAGTTTAGTGGAGATCCTCTCATGCGTTATGAAATTTCATCAGTTTCTCTTGGTCACCATGAAGTTTCCAATGTCCTTAGAGCTAAACCTGATCATCCAGGAAGATATGTTCTGAATCTAGTGGAGGGAGAAGTTAAGGATGCTCATCGCAAAAAGGAATCTGGTTTACGGGAGTTATTGGTGGAGAATTTGGTTGTGTTTTTTGAAGAGCTAGCAGAAATGAAAGGATGGGACCAGGCTCAACTGCAGCTCAAGGCGATACAGGTGGCTACTATTTGGAAAAGGTTGATAAGCATCGAAGCTCCAAGATCATCTCTTGAGGCTTTGGCTTTTTTGTTGTTCATTGTGGTATATGGATTAAAGAGTTTGATCAATGAAGAAGAGACTGCTCTACTTGTCACATCTGTTTCTCATTACAAACAGGGTCCAAAACTCTTTCATTCGCTTGGTCTCGAACTTAAGATCCCAGGTTAGTTTATAAAACATTTCTGATACATAAAAACAGAAGTATGAAGCAAGGTCTTATGACTCTTTTTCTATCTTTTGCAGATTATGTGCTAGGTCTCATAAACAACCGCCATTATATTCCTGCAGTCCGACTTGTATGTTTGTTCAAGCTTAAAGACTTCCAACCCCAAACTCTCTTAATGAAAGAGGTCATCGATTTAAAACGTTCTGTCCTGGAAAAAGTAAGAACTGGTTCTCATCTGTTTAATCTTGGTCTTTGATGTTCATTTGTTATTGGCTTAAATATGTTTTTTGTTCCTCTTTTAGGCTGAGAACAAAGACATTGGAAGATTGAGAGCCATCGTTGAACTTGCAGCAGATTATATGCTTGACATTGATTTTCAGCGGACCTTATTGCCAAACTCATGTTTCATAAAGAAAACTCAACACCACATGTGCTTCACTGCTCCGTTGAAGCACCAAGCTCTTCAGCCAATGGTGGGTCTTCAGGTTCAAGGGTTGGACTTCAGGTTCCTAAACAGGAGACTGAACCCTTCGTGAACCCATCAGCCTATGGTTGGTTCTAACATCAGAAACTCATGATGTGTTACGGGTCTAGTAGGAACCAAATTAGCTTGTACTAGGTCTTAGGCTCTCTCGCGCTTATAAATAGGCTTGTTCCAAGTTGGTCTCTTTAGTTGTATCTACATAGTGAACGATCTTGCTTGTCTGTTTGATAAACTTGTTCCACTTTTGGTTCTTGTTATATCTAAAGCTTGACTTTTATTAGAGAGGGTAAGTACTCAAGTAGCTATGCCACTGTTCTTTGGATTGTTATGTGGTAGCGTGTTGAAAAAGGTATATATACATATATGATTAGGGCTTTGCTTGCCATTCCAAACGTAAAAGAAAAGAGTTCCCACTTCCCATCTGTGAGCACTAAGCATTTTGAATGGAGACCGAGCCGATTGAACTGAACCAAAACCAAAGCAATTGTAAGTTTTTGAAACGACCTAATTGAACCAAATTTATTGACTGTTTTAATAGAAATTTATTGGAAAGAATACTCAAAGAAACATCATTTTTGAAACATTTTTTTGCAAAAAACACTTAAAATTTTTTTTCTGTAAATGAATATAAATTTTTTGTTGACTATTAAATGAAATATCCCAAATTTATTACTACTAAGGAACATGTGATGAATTATTTATGTTCCAACGAAAAAGATCTCTTTTTGCTGTCAAAAAAGTAAAAATAAATCTCATTTTGTTCAACTTTTTTTTGTTCAACGAACCAAAAAAAGACATCAATTATTGATATTAATGTAATACTATGATTTTGACTTGACCTGGTTTTCAACTTTTTTTCTAAATACCGAACCGAAATCACAATGAACTTCTTCTATATATGAAACCAATTAAACTAAACCGGATAAAATTGATTCGATCTCGGTTTATTTACACCTGACAATGACATGAAGATGCCACGTAAACCAACATGATTCGTTTCTCTATTTAGTCCTTTTTTTTCTCGATTCGTCATAACCAGTGAAGAAGCTCGAATCAAACGAAAGAGAGAGAACAAAAAAAAAAAAAATCAAAATCTCCGGTGATTCAGGAACCGTACGTCGGAGATTGTTAAACACGGTGAGGGAAAAAAGATGGCGGGACAATCAAGAAAATGGATGATTCTCGTAGCGACGATCTGGATTCAAGCATTTACCGGTACGAATTTCGATTTCTCGACGTATTCGTCGAATTTGAAATCGGTTCTAGGGATTTCGCAAGTACAATTGAATTATCTCGCCGTTGCTTCGGATCTTGGTAAAGTTTTCGGTTGGTCATCGGGACTTGCACTTTTGTATTTCCCTCTTTGGACGGTTCTTTTCGCGGCGGCGATTATGGGTTTCGTTGGTTATGGTGTTCAATGGCTCGTCATCACTAACGTTATCTCTTTGCCTTATATTCTGGTAAAAAAAAATTCTCAACATTTTCTTTAATCTTGAATCAATTTGTAAAAAACTTCGAAGTTGAAAACTGTATTCAATTTCTTTAGCTTTATACATAATTTATTAACTAATGTAGTTTAAAGTACTTTATTGCTTTAATGATTATATAATCCATTCATCAAATCTAATGTGTTACATTTTACTTTAATGTTGTTTATAACTTTATGGATACATTTCTTTTTTGATACATAATTACATATAATTAGTTGTAGTTAAGTTAGAGAAATGTTTCAAGTTTATGAGTAGTTTAGTTTCTACATATAATTAAAATTTGTATTTTTGTGATATAAATAGTTTCTTTGGTTACTAATACTGAAATCAAGATTTGGAGGTTTGGAAGAAGAGTCGGTGAATGGTTGACTGGTTGGTCTCACGTGTTTTTCTTTGGCTTGGTTCTGCTTTGTCTTGGTTTGATGACTATCTTGAGAATCTTTATTGTTTCTTTGTGATCGGATCTTCGTTTTGTGTGTGTATAAATACTTTCTCTTTCTCGCAAATTCATTTAAATAGTGTTTCTCTTGCAGAAAATGGCAGTTGGGTTTCTTTCTGAAATATTCTTTTTGATGAGTAGCTATTTGAGGATCTTTGTTATGTGGTAAATATAATATTGAATTTTCAGATAGAAAATGTTATGTCTATATGATATTATTTGAATTATCTTTCATATGACTATATGAGCTTAGTCGATTAGTATCTTGGGGAGGAATGATTAATTTTCTTGGATAGAAGATTGTGATCAAATACAACATTTTGTTAGGAATTTTTTTCTATAATTCTTGGTTCTTTCAAAACTGCCATTGTCTTACCGAACTTGCGACTAAAGTATGAATTTTGTTGATGTTTGTGGCAGGTGTTTCTGTGTTGTTTGCTAGCTGGGCTAAGTATCTGTTGGTTTAACACAGTCTGCTTTGTGCTCTGTATCAGAAACTTTCCAGCAAACAGATCACTTGCTCTTTCTCTCACAGTGAGCTTTAATGGTGTAAGTGCTGCTTTATACACTCTTGCTTACAACGCAATCAATCCTGTTTCTACAGAGCTATACCTACTCTTAAACGCTCTTGTACCTCTTTTTGTCTCATTCGCTGCTCTCATCCCTATTCTTCGCCAACCGCCTCTTGAACCTCTTCCACCAGATGGAGTTCGAAGAGACTCTCTCATGTTTCTATTGCTTAACATATTAGCGGTCTTGAATGGTGTTTATCTGCTTCTCTTTCGTTCAAAGACTTCTGATGTAACTTCAGCTCGTCTTCTCTTTGGTGGATCAATACTTCTCCTGATTCTTCCTCTATGCCTTCCTGGTCTAGTCTATGCTCGTAATTGGTATCTACACAATATCCACTCCAGTTTCCGTCTAGAAGGTTCTGGTTTCATTCTTGTTGATGTTGATGAGCTTGAGATGCATAAAGGAATGGTGACACGTGAAGCCAGCCTTGAAGGCTACCAGTTGCTAAACGATGATGTAGTGCGAGCTGTCAATACTCCTGATCAGAAGAGTTTCATTGAAGATGACGACGGATGTTGTTGCACTAAGCTCATTACAAGAAATCAGCTTGGGATGCTTGGAGAAGAACATCCTTTATCTTTACTCTTATGCAGATCAGATTTCTGGCTTTACTATATAGCCTACTTTTGCGGCGGCACGATTGGACTGGTTTATAGCAACAACCTGGGACAGATTGTACAATCTTTAGGACAAAGCTCTGAGACAACAACTCTTGTAACGCTTTATTCGTCTTTCTCATTCTTTGGTCGATTACTTTCAGCAACACCGGACTATATCAGAGCGTAAGTCCCTCACACAAGCATTTGTATTCCTCTGGTTCTGGCATTGTGAAGATTATGATGTTATTGAAATGTGAATTATGCAGGAAGGTTTATTTTGCTAGAACAGGGTGGCTAGCCGTTGCTCTTTTACCAACCACAATTGCTCTTTTCTTGTTGGCATCATCAGGAAGCTTGGCAGCGTTACAAGCAGGAACAGCTCTAATTGGTCTAAGCTCGGGTTTCATATTTGCAGCAGCGGTTTCCATAACATCTGAGCTTTTTGGACCCAACAGCGTCGGGGTTAACCACAACATCCTCATCACAAACATACCGATAGGATCGTTGGTCTACGGTTTCTTAGCTGCTTTGGTGTATGAATCCCACAGTGTGGCTGGGTCAAAGACCGAGTCAGTTATATGTATGGGACGAGACTGTTATCTCCTAACGTTTGTGTGGTGGGGATGCTTGTCGGTGATTGGACTAGCTTCAAGTGTTGTTTTGTTTCTGAGAACTAGACGAGCCTATCAACGTTTTGAACAAGATCGTATAACTTCGAGCATGCTCTATTCTTAGAATTTTCTCCAAGAAATTGGGGGAAAAGTTGGAAACGATGACTCAAACTTGTGCAGAGATGTGTTAGTGCACATAAGTTTTGATCCTTTTTGCAGAAATAAGAATAAAGAGGGAGTCTTAGGACATAAGTGTGTGCAGATGAAGAGTTTTTTTGCAGATTTGCTTTTTTTGTTTGTTTTTGGTATATACTGCAATCACTTCACCTTGTAGAAGATTGGAATGATTACGAGTTTGCCTTCATCCATGCATTCTTTGATCTTGACCAGTTCTTCTAATCCCCATGTTGATTTGGTGTATCTGTTTGAGAAGACTACTATCGCAATCCTTGACAATGCAAACCTTTGACCTAGTAAGCCATACATAATCAATGTAACTGTACTGTGAGTCTGTGACGACTCGAATCGTTTGCTCTAATTTCTTTCTTATACCTACTAACACATTTCCACAATGTTCCATTTGTTTTACAACAAATTGATGTAGAGTAGAATCTTCTACCCCTTGTTATGCAACTCAAACCCCATCATACACGAAACCGAATCCAAAGCTTCCTTCCAAATCTTGAGGTGTTTAGACTCAAAATCACGCATTGCAGGATTCAACAAGTTAAGACCAAAACCTCCTTCTCTTTAAGTCCTTTAACGGCGGATATATCCAACTTGTAGAAGATCCGAATCACCATGAATTTACCTTCCTCCATTCCTTCTCTAATCTTCACAAGCTCTATCTAAACATCGTCTCGATTCAGTGTACCTGCTCGAGAAGACTACAAGCACAATCCTCAATCCCCTTGAAATCTCCATCAGTCAACGCATCTGCGAACACGTTGACTCCGTCGCGTTTCTTGTACCTTTTTGTGTGTATTATTAGCCAAAGATGGGTATTTTGTTAGGAATTTACTAAAATTTGGGAGATCCCGATGCTAGTGATTCGTCAGTGAATTATAGATCTCGCAAACAAGTTACTGGTCACAATCCTCGACGGCCACATACACAGGGAGAAGAGGAAAAACATGATACCACTACTGCTGGGGCGGGCTCAGGTCATATATACCACTACTATGGGAGGGGAATGACCATGGGTCTTCTTCCTCCGGCTGAAGTTGAAACTCTGGGAACAATGCCAGTGTACGTGTATTTTCAACGTCATTATCAAGCTCCATATTGTCCTGACACTCCTCCATGTCCTTCTCGTTAAACACGACAGCCGCACTTCCAAGAGGAGTGGAGGAGGAAGGCAAGTGGAGTTTATTTGGTTTGTCTTTGTTTTGGGGGACTTTAGATGAGGCAAAAGTAGTTATGGCTGAGCAGTTGGAGGAGGAAGTGGAACGAGTGGAGCCGTCGAGAACCTTGCGTTTAGTTGGCCGTGGATGGTTATGCTCAGAGATGTAAGTAATAGCGAACATGTTTGAATTGGTGTCGCTACGTTGCACTTGTTTCGTAGCTAAACAACCTTGCGTGAACCGGTAAGTGCACCTGTAGTAACTCCTGAGGAACAAATAATTCATTAATCCATCAAGTAACCATCAAAGACATAAGTAACCATAATCTAATTACACAAACACGTGAAGTCATAATCCATTTGATCACTTACGCACAACTGGATCGGGGAATAACAACAAAATCTATAATATCCTTCCAATGGAATATAGTGATTATAAGATAAGTTTGCATCATAATAAAGAATCTAAAGGCTTATAATTTGCGCCGTAGAAAATTAAATTAACTTTATATTTTACAGTTTCTCGTTAATGATTCCATCTGCAATATTGTTAGTGAAGGGAAAAACAAAGCTGCAGATTCTGTTTAATGTGACTTTTTTTCAATGGTTAATAATTTTTTTGTTTCCTTAACAAAATTTCACTTTTCCATGCAACATATAGGTTTACCAGGCCACCAGCAAGTTTAGAATACGTTTGTGTATAAAAAATGGTGTTTTGCAAGTTGTTACAAAACTTTCCTATTGTAAGAAAATACTATTCTGTTTTTCCTTTGATTTAAATAATATTTATCTATATGTATATCTATTTATTATGTTGTAAAGAATATAATATATAGACGAATATAGGATTATATATAAAAATACATGAGTACCTTGGAAAATTAGAACCTAAGATGTATTTTTGACCGTACTTTCGCCAAGTCCATAGATCTGCCTCGTCTGTAGCCGGTATGCAAACTACTTTCTTTGCCTTGCTCTTCTTCCTGCATCCATCGTCAATATAATATCAATATGTATTGAAACCCATGTAATTATACGTACTTGTATACATGTTGTGATTTATAGCTAGTTTTGTGATCAATGTTAGTGTGGACCATGATCAGTTCGGTTTGAGATACGATGGCATCGTAGTTAACGTTCATTGTTTGTTAAGAAAAATAGGGAGATTGTTAAAAAAAGTTTTTAAGAGGAAGATAAGAAGTAAAACAAAAGCAAAACATAAATTAAAAAATTGATCAAAAGAATTCAGAAAATGTGATATTGCATATAGAATTGTCTCTCATTGTTTTATGAAAGTAAAAAGATACATAGATATGGAAACGTTGAGAAGTGAGTTTTTAATAGATAAAACAACGTTTCCTTGACACATATATATGTAAAGAGTATTTTTCAAAAAGATGAAACTTTGGTGAAATCCTCATGAAAAAAGGATTTAGAAAAGAAAGCCGAGCAAAAATGCCAAATGCTATAGAAATTTTTCCACTACTTGTAAATATTGTGTTTTTTCACAATATAAATAACATTTAATTAAATAAAAAAACTTTTTCTAAAATCTTGAATGGAGTAAAAAACGGATTTTTAAACTAATCTAAAAAGTACAAATATTAAAGACCTATGTTATTAAGCAAACTTGGAAAAGAGAGCACATTGGTACATCTCTAGTGGCTTTTGTAAACTTTAGATCAATCTAATAAACTAGACGTTTGAAAAAACTACAGTTTTTTTCTTTTTTTCTAATGCACCCTATGTATACTTAGATATTATCAAATAATGCTTTATTAAAAAATTTGGTTATCTACTAAATTATGTATTTTTCCTAATTAATGATAAGAAAACACCGAACTAGACAAGTCTACGGGTGTATATGAAGCTGATATAAAAAGAGAACTTACTTTTTTGGTAAGTCAGACAAATTCTCGGTCATGGAACTCTCACAATCAGATAGCAGCATGGATTGTTCATGGAGGATTTCTTTACCCATTTGTCGTACCAAACAATGCATCACTATTTCCCCATTGGATGATACACTTATGAGAGACACATCGGCTAAAACCTTGAGCCCAGAGCTAACATCCAAGTCAATGCCGGCAATAAGTGGTGCCACCAAATCAACATCCTCGTCATTGAACAAAGACGATATGTAAAGAAATAGAACTTTATCCATCTCCTGTAAATCATCATAGCTGACTCTCATTACTTCTTTAACAGCTTCATAACCAGAAACCTCTATCGGATCCAAGGACAAAACTAGTGATATGTTCTCAAGACTTGTATTGCCAGTTGCAACATTTATTACACGGACTCCACATCTTGTCACTGTGAACCTATCATCTAGACACTTTGTCTGCTGATTGATAGGAAAGAACTCAAATACAACTAAGCCAGCCCAGATATCAGGGTCATTTCCTTCACCGGTACTTGGGAACACGTTGACATCACAAAAGACAAAAGTATGATCCTTTCGAACTTTTGAAACAACTTTCGCTGGAGCCCAACAATGAAAATTTCTTTCTATCCTACAAGAGCGGCCTTCTTTGTTGCTCCATCTGCAAACACAACTTATGCCAAAACCTGTAGCATCACAGTAGTCCTCGGAAAATGCAACTTCCACCAGCATACCAAATCCCACAAGCGTGTTCCTCCATGAAGTATTTAGTCGTGTCATTACAGAAGATCCTGGTTGCAGACCAAATGTGGCGTTTTGATTTTTATGTGAGGGCGAACTGAAGCTGAAAGTCGGAGCATTGTTGAGTTCCTGTTTCAATACAAATAAGTCAGATATGATATGAGGATGGTGTCGTTGGGTGTCCATAACAGACATTATAGAGAGTGGGAGACAGAGGCGGACAGAGAAGGAGAAAGGGATTGAGGGGGTGATGGAAAGAAAGCGAGCTAATGGAGAGGTAAGTAGACAAGAGAGAGGCAGAAGGAGAGAAAGAGTATTACCTGCGTATACTCTCTTGGTATGTGTTTTACATAAGTCAGCGCTTTCACCAAAAAATCGTTGACCACTTGTGGAGATAGATCAAAAAAATTGCTGAATGTGTAATGCATAGGAAGCTTCTTCGAGTCCGAACCATGTGCATTCAAGAGCTCTAGGCTTAAAGGAAGTTGGGGCACTTCTCTTAACGTAGTGCCAGCAAAATATAACTCTTTCAGGTTCCGAGGAAAACCCTGAATAGTCTCGAGCTCTGAGCAACCAGAGAGATCAAGAACTTTGAGAAATTCTAAATTAGCCATGTTTGGCAGACTTCGCAAACAAGATCCACGTGCATTCAAGAGTTCTAGACTTTGAGGAAGTTGTGGCACTTCTCTTATTGCAGTGCCATTAAGATATAACTCTTTCAGAAACCGAGGGAAACCCTGAATAGAATTGAGCCTTGAGCAACCAGAGAGATCGAGAACATTAAGAAGATCTAAATTAGCCATGTTTGGCAGACTCAGCAAACAAGAACAATCTTTCAACTCCAAGCAAATAAGCTTCCCAAGATCTTGACAAGATGAGCTAGATTCCAGCAGACTTGTTAAACGCTCAAGTTTCGAGGCCTCTGAAAGACCCGGAATTTCTGTTAGAAAATTCACAAGCTCTCTGCGGTTTGGCTTAACAGTGGAAACTGGAAATGCTAATATGCCAGTTCCCTGTAGATGTAGTGTCTCAATATTTGGTGGCATCTCTAGGACACTTTTAATCTCTATGCAACCTGAGAGATTTACAACTCGTAGACGCAGCAATTGACCTGCGGCTGGGAAATTCTGCAGTTTTGTACAACCTTGGAGATCAATTACCTCAAGATTTTGAGCTTTTAAGAGATCATCGATATCAACTAGATGCTGGGAATGGCAAAGCCTGATCGTCCTCAACATCTCCAAGTTCTGAGAAGACAAAAAAAAAAGGCTAAATGAATAACAACAAAATTTGTCAAGTAATGATAAGGGTGAGAGACGCATATCAGACTTTGCTTACCTTGGTTCCACCCCAAAGTTTTTGAAGTTGACTGTACGGCATGTTGATTTCGACAAGGTGCCTAGGATCAAAACTTTGAGGCAAAGATTGCAGAGGATAGTTCTCCCAATGGAGGAGTCTTAGCTCATTAGGAAGAGAATGCAGAAAGCCTTTGGGGAAATTGATTACAGGATGGACTTCAGGATTGGAACAGTAAATCTTGAGCAATCTAAGGTTCAACATATTCTTAAAAGCAGAGGGCTGCACATCAAATCTTAAGTTTGATGTGTCTAGAAACATGCCTTCAATCTCTTCAGAGCCCTGAAAGAATATTGGAAGTGGATATATTAGGCCGTTGGCTCATAAAGTAGAATAAATATGAAACTATCAAAATAAAACAGACCTGAGCACGTTTGAAGGTTGTTTTAGGTTCTCCATTTGCTTTGTGTTCATTATATTCTAATAAATATTTGATGCTCCAAGGTTCCCACAGTCTTCTGCGCCTCTCGATCTGTACTGTTTCTCCATTTATTATTTCTCGGCCAACATCCTTGGTCAGATTATGCGACCACACTCGGTTTTCTGAAATAGTCACCAGACACTTCTCAACAAGGACATCAATTTCAACATGTGGAAAGAAACCACAACCCTCAAGCAGTTGTATCACGTAGTTTACATTTTCTCCCTGGAAGAAACAAGCTATGTCCAGAAAAATGTTCTTCTCGTTGTCACAGAGTGAGTCGTAGCTGCTTTTAAATGCATCGAAAATCTTAAACGGAGGACGTCGCTTGAGTTTGAGGAATGCCGTCTCCATTTCTGAGAGTTTTTTCTTACCTTTCAGCTCTCTTCCATAAACACTGATAGCTAACGGGTTTCCGTAAGCATAATTTATTACTTTCACTGACAACTCGTGGAGATTTTGCTCTCCCATATCCTTTGAAGACGCGCACAGCAAGAAGAGTTGAAGAGCCTCTTTCTCATTTAAACCCTGGACCTCATATATTTGATTGATTCCGCAAAGGCGAAACACCTGTTTATCTCTAGAGGTTATGATGATCAGGCTTCCGGGTCCTAGCCAGTCAAACCCCTCGAGAAAAGACTCTGCAACCAGAGCATTGCGCACGTCATCGAGAACAACAAGAACTCTCTTACTGTTCAATCTGTCTCTGAGCGAGCTCAGTTTCATAATGGTTGCGTCATTGCCCGGGTTTTCCTTGAAAAATTGTTCCTCCAGCAAACAATAAAGACCCTTCTCATGAATTGCTTTGTCATAGTCTTCGATAAAACAAGAAGCATCAAAGGCGCTAGACATTTGGTCAAAGACTGCTTTAGCAAGTGTTGTCTTTCCTATGCCAGGCATACCCCAAATTCCAACCCAACGGATGCCTATCGGTTGCTTGTTAACCATGTTTTCAATCTCCAGCAGCTTCGAATAGATTCCAATTCGTCCCTTATAAAAGAGCTTCTCGTACACATCTCTCACAATCTCTTGTACTAGTTTGGAGTCACTACATTCCTTTCTGCATCATATTTGATCAACTAATAAAGAAATGCACTTTATCGGAACACTACAATGGCCTACCAAAAAGCTATGCTAATTTTCAACATGAGGAAATGAAAGGATTATCTTCAGAAAGTAGAGCAAAATTTGTGTCGACCTTTAACCTTGAAATCTGCTATAACCAATCATGTCCTCGTTATGGTTTGAGAAATCTCAGTTACTCTCATAAGTGAATAAGTAGCATTTGCAGAATATAATAGCAAAATAAAGCGAATACCTGGAATGGTGAATTGCTGATAAGTCTTTCAAATCCAGCACGCTAATCCAGTCGCGCAATGATGGACTCTCACCGTACAAGACTGGAACCACCACCTGGTTCTTGTTCCTCTGGCACTCGCGAACCTTCTCGAACTTGTGGCATGCTCTAGTGGGCTCACAGATTCTGGATAAAATCATCACAGAAACCCTAGCTTTCTCGATCTTTGCCTCAGACTCCTTGGAAAGCAGATCATCGCCTTCTACCTCTATGACCACATTATTTATGCCTTTTCGGCGGAGAGCTTCGGAGAGGTGGCTCACGAAAGAGTACCGTACCTCGTCTACGCAGCTGATGCAGACTAATTCCTCAGCCTTTTCACAATTGGTCATGATTTCGCGCTTTGACACTTTGAACGAACTTTAGATTTCGCCGGAATTTTTTTAAAGCCGACGATGCTTTTCCTCCATTGGTCAACCACTCAGTGACTCAGATCTGAGAGGTTTTAGATTTTGTTTAAAAAGCGAAAAAAAGAGAGAGAAGAAGAAAAGAATAGTCAAACAATACATTCGTTAAAAAAAGTCCAAGCACACCGGAAAAAGCTTATCGCCATGGAGACATCATCAATTTCCACGGTTGACGACCAGCCACCGCAGCATCAGGTGTTCATCAATTTCCGTGGGGCGGATTTGCGCCTGAGATTCGTCAGCCATCTCGTCACGGCTTTGAAATTGAACAACATCAACGTCTTTATCGACGACTATGAAGACAGAGGTCAACCTCTAGATGTACTGCTGAAGAGGATAGAGGAGTCCAAAATCGTTTTGGCTATCTTCTCCGGCAACTACACCGAGTCAATCTGGTGCGTGAGAGAGCTGGAGAAGATCAAGGATTGTACGGATGAAGGGACACTTGTTGCGATTCCAATCTTCTACAAGCTCGAGCCATCCACCGTTAGAGATTTGAAAGGAAAGTTCGGTGATAGATTTAGAAGTATGGCTAAGGGTGATGAGAGGAAGAAGAAGTGGAAAGAAGCTTTTAACTTGATTCCTAACATCATAGGCATCACCATTGACAAGAAAAGGTACCTCCCAAATAGATCTATGAACCTTTTATGGAATTTAGGGAGGTCATGATCTCATTAGCCTTGAAAATTGCAGTGTCGAGAGTGAGAAAGTCAATGAAATTGTGAAGGCGGTGAAGACAGCGCTGACCGGGATTCCATCGGAGGGAAGCCAAAATACAGTCGTGGAGGCTTTAGGTAATGGCAACGCTGGAACTTCCTCAGTGGGTGAAAAGCATAAGACTTTTGGAAACGAACAACGTTTAAAGGAGTTGGAAGAGAAGTTGGACCTTCATAAATACAAGGGAACTCGTATCATTGGAGTTGTTGGGATGCCCGGAATTGGTAAAACCACACTCCTGAAAGAGCTCTATAAGACGTGGCAGGGTAAGTTTTCGAGGCATGCGCTAATCGATCAAATCCGTGTAAAGTCCAAGCACTTGGAGTTGGATCGCTTGCCTCAAATGCTCTTAGGTGAGTTATCAAAGTTGAACAATCCTCACATAGACAATCTCAAAGATCCATACAGTCAACTGCATGAACGCAAAATTCTTGTTGTACTTGATGATGTTAGTAAAAGGGAACAAATAGATGCTCTTCGTGAGATATTAGACTGGATTAAGGAGGGTACGGAGGGAAGCAGAGTTGTCATTGCAACAAGCGACGTGTCATTAACAAATGGTTTGGTTGATGATACTTACATGGTTCAAAATTTGAACCACAGAGATAGCTTGCAACTATTTCACTATCATGCCTTCATTGATGATCAAGCCAATCCCCAAAAGAAAGATTTCATGAAGCTGTCAGAAGGGTTTGTACATTACGCCAGAGGCCATCCACTATCCCTCAAAATACTGGGCGGAGAGCTTAATAAGAAAAATATGGATCATTGGAATTCAAAAATGAAGAAACTTGCACAGAGTCCCTGCCCTAATATTGTAAGTGTCTTCCAAGTGAGTTATGATGAATTGACTTCAGAGCAGAAAGACGCATTTCTCGACATAGCCTGTTTTAGATCACAGGACAAGGATTATGTAGAAAGTTTACTGGCTTCATCTGACCTTGGATCTGCTGAGGCAATGAGTGCAGTAAAAAGTCTCACGGATAAGTTCCTGATTAATACTTGTGATGGGCGAGTGGAGATGCATGATCTATTGTATAAATTTTCAAGGGAACTTGATCTTAAGGCATCTAATCAGGATGGTAGCATACAACGGAGGCTGTGGCTCCATCAAGACATAATCAAGGGAGGCATAATTAATGTACTGCAAAATAAAATGGTGAGACCAGAAGTTCCTCTAGAGGTTTATTGGTAAAAACTTACATTTTTTTTCTCTTCACTGATGTCGTGTTTGTTATTGGTTCTTAGAAAGCTGCCAATGTTAGAGGTATTTTCTTAGACTTGTCTGAAGTGAAAGACGAAACGAGCTTAGACCGCGACCACTTCATAAATATGGGAAATCTTCGGTATCTCAAGTTCTACAATTCCCATTGTCCTCAGGAATGTAAAACCAACAATAAGATCAACATCCCTGATAAACTTAAGCTACCATTGAAAGAGGTTCGATGCCTCCACTGGCTGAAATTCCCATTGGAGACACTTCCAAACGATTTCAACCCGATTAATCTTGTCGACCTTAGGCTGCCTTACAGTGAGATTGAACAACTTTGGGATGGTGACAAGGTGTGTCTCTGAATAATCTGTTGATTGCTTTTGTGAATGGTTAATTTACATGGATAGGTTTTTTTGACTGGTGGCTAAACGTTTTCTTTTTTTTTCTTTTTCTGTAATAGGATACACCATGCTTAAGGTGGGTTGATCTCAATCACTCAAGTAAGTTGTGCAGCTTGTCAGGGTTATCAAAAGCTGAAAAGCTTCAAAGGTTGAACCTTGAAGGTTGCACAACACTGAAAGCGTTGCCACACGATATGAAAAAAATGAAAATGCTTGCTTTCCTGAATCTCAAAGGGTGCACAAGTCTCGAATCTCTTCCAGAGATGAATTTGATTTCTCTGAAAACACTTACTCTCAGCGGCTGCTCAACTTTTAAGGAATTTCCGTTGATTTCAGATAATATAGAAACTCTATACTTAGATGGCACAGCAATAAGTCAGCTTCCTAAGAACATGGAGAAGCTCCAGAGACTTGTTGTACTGAATATGAAAGACTGCAAAATGCTGGAGGAAATCCCAGGCCGTGTTGGTGAGCTGAAAGCTCTTCAAGAACTGATACTCTCTGATTGTTTAAATCTCAAGATTTTCCCAGAAATCAACATGAGCTCTTTAAACATTTTACTTTTGGATGGGACAGCCATTGAAGTGATGCCACAATTACCCTCACTGCAGTATTTGTGCTTAAGCAGGAATGCTAAGATCAGCTACCTTCCTGATGGAATCAGTCAGCTTTCTCAACTTAAATGGCTGGACCTGAAGTATTGTACGAGTCTTACATCAGTTCCAGAGTTTCCACCAAACCTTCAGTGCTTAGATGCACACGGCTGTAGTTCGCTGAAGACAGTTTCAAAGCCTTTGGCCCGTATCATGCCAACCGAACAGAATCATTCCACATTCATTTTCACCAACTGTGAGAACCTGCAACAAGCTGCAAAGGAGGAAATCACATCGTATGCTCAAAGGAAATGCCAGCTGTTATCATATGTTCGTAAACGCTACAATGGGGTATCTCTCTGTACCTATCTCTATCGCTTTGTCTCTCTCTGTATCCCTCTCTCAGATTTTTGCATTTCAAAGAAACTCTGCAGCTTTAAGATTTTATTTATTTGAACTTTGCAGGGTCTTGTTTCAGAGTCTTTGTTCAGCACTTGCTTTCCTGGATGTGAAGTGCCTTCTTGGTTTTGTCATGAAACAGTTGGATCTGAGTTAGAAGTAAAACTCCTCCCACATTGGCATGACAAGAAGCTTGCCGGGATTGCTCTATGTGCTGTAGTCTCATGTCTTGACCGCCAAGATCAAGTCAGCCGCTTGTCAGTGACCTGCACCTTTAAAGTAAAAGATGAAGACAAGTCTTGGGTCCCATTTACTTGTCCAGTAGGAAGTTGGACCAGACATGGAGACGGGAAAGACAAGATTGAGCCAGACCATGTCTTCATTGGATACACCAGTTGCCCACATACTATAAAGTGTCCTGAAGAAGGTAACTCAGATGAATGCAATCCTACCGAAGCTTCTCTTCACTTTACTGTGACAGGAGGTACAAGTGAGAATGGACAAATCAAGGTGTTGAAGTGTGGTTTAAGTTTGGTGTATGCAAAGGATAAAGACAAAAATAGTGCTCTTGAAGCAAAGTACGATATGTGTATCGGAAAGAGCTTTCAAGAAACTTCAGAAGGGGTTAATGGAAGAGTAAAGAAAACGAAAGGAAAGTACGATATGCCAGTTGAAAAGAACATTCAAGAAACTACAGAAGGGGTTGATGGAAGAGTAAAGAAAAAGAAAAAAACAAGAAGGGATGATGGACGGCCAAAAAAGAAGCAAAGATCAGGAAGAGATGATAATCAAACTGGGATGCAAGTGGAACTCCAAGAAGGAAAGATAAATTCAGTGGTCACGCACATGGTTAAGAATTTCTGAGAGGGAGACAAATCTGTTCAAAATGAATTCTTACACAAAACTCCAAATCGTGATGAAGAAATCCAGCATGAGATGTAATATAACTCAAAAGGCCTGGTAATTCCAGAGGAGAAAACAAATTAACGGAACTGTGTATCACCAGAGAGAGGGATACCGATTACGTTGGTGAAGCAAATTGTTCACTTAACCCTTTGCATCTTCATAGTAAGCAGGAATTTAAATGCAGAAAGGAATATTGAAGATTAGATCAGAGCTTATCATGGTTTCAATGTCTTTGGTGACCTATCAGCCATCATTTTATTTTTCTTTGGATTCAGTATTCACCGGAAGTTATAGAGCAGAAAGGTAATCTTTTATTAGAGACCTTACTTTGCTTTTCTGGTTTCAAATAGTTTCCGGCTCTTGTTTGATTGTCTTTCAGGTATGACTCTAGTATTTAAGCTCTCTGTAACTCTTTTTTAATTTGGTTGGTGAATTTGATAATGGTTCTAGGGATGCAAATGGTGATGCAAGTCAAGTGGTTTGTGAATCTGGTAATGGTTCTTGGGACGCAAAAGTTGAGGCAAGTCCAATGGCTAGTGAATCTGATAATGGTTCTTGGGATGCAAACCCAATGGCTAAGGAGGTCAGACAAGGTGTAAGAAGATTTTTGGGTCCCTTGAGAAAGAAGATGGTTTTTTTTGCATTAGTGCCTATATGGTTTCGATCACATCTTAGCTATTTAGACCCTACAGCATCAGGGTTAACTTACTTCTGAGAACTAAACGCTTTGAAAAAGGATCAGAAAACTTCAAGCATGCTCTATCTATATAAGTGCTGCTTCTTTTGTTGTGTGCCTGGAAAATACTTTTAAGATAATTCTGAACAACCCAAGACAGTATATTTATAACTGAATATTCCAAATGCTCAAGAAGTTTCGGATGAATGTTTTGAGATTGACTTGGTGTTGCTAAACAGAGTATACTCTGCAGAGATCCTAGTGTCCCTGCCAATAATACTCGAATAAAAAAGAGATGGCTAACTCAACACTGTTTTGGAATATTTCTCTGACACTTGCATCAATTTTCTGAAGCTAACCTTCTAAAACAAAGTGTCATTCTCGGCGTTAATGTCTCTACTAAGTTAACCTTTTGAATTGTTGCAATGTGAAACATGAGTGACCTTAGTCTGAATCCAGCCTTGGTAAGCAACCATGTGCTTTTAACAGAAAAACATAAACACTCATGAGTACAAGATGTTTACTTCCTTTTTTCTTTTCCCATTCTTTACCTCTTCATCTTTTAAAAAAAAATTCCTCCTCTTGAGCAAAACAGCTTCATCCAAACCATTTTCATGTCGATCTGCTTCGTTTATAGATGTCACTTCCTCGAGGTTATTCTCCAGTGTTTCCTGGAGTCTATAATCAGACTCATCCGGAGCATATAGCAAGCTCATACCACATTTCACCACCTCACAGCTTCCTAGCTTCCTCTTGCTGTCATCATTAACAAAGAATTTGAAAGAGGCTGCAGTAATGCAACATCGATTGTAGTCATTACCGTCTTCACAAAATTTCTTGACATGGAAACAGTTATTGTAACTGAGGAACACATGGTCAGACCCAAGTTTCCGTGATTGATGTCCAGATGATCCACACAGCTCATTCCATCCCCCAAGAGTGCAAACAAACCTGATGCAATCACCACTCTCACTCTTGAACTTGCACTTGCAAATTACAGAGAAACGGCTGGTTTGATCTTCATAGTCTTTGAAAGAGACAACCACACATAAGGAGATCCCCATAAATTTACTGTCGCACCAGTGTGGAGGCAAGTGTGTTTCTATGGAAGAACCCATTCTCTGATTGCGGAACCATAAAGGTAAGTCGCTTCCAGGAAAACTGACACTAGCTAAAGGTTCAAGAACTAGTCCCTGAGATGGTACAGAGGAAACCATTAAGCATGAGATCATGAGAAAATGTCAATGGAAGAACAGAGTTTACGGAGATGGACCTTATGATTTCGTTTAAGACACGCATTCGCCAATATTTGACTCTTGAGTTGGGCATGAGCCACAATATTTTCTTGCGCTTCTCGGTTAAGCTTAAAGCAATCAGTGAATATAAAAGTAGATTGAAATCTTTCAGCTACCACAAGATGTGTCATGGGATTTGCAATTGTTTCTAGAGAAGCACAGTCATGAGCATCCAAGTACTGCAGATTTGAGGGAAGCACTGGTAGTGAGTTGAGCTTTCTGCAGTGCTTCAAGTCAAGTGATTTAAGATGATGAAGTATCTTGATGCTTTCGGGTAGGTATTCTAAATTGTTTCTGCTTAAGCATAAGCTATGTACCGATGACAAGCAACTGAAGTTGTTGGGCAACTTGTGGAGATTGCAATCTGTGAGATAGAGGTCTGATAAGCGAGAGCATCCTGAGAAAGGAAGTAACTCATAACCTGTTGAACCCTGGAATTTAGATCCACCAAATGTAAACATCTTGAGATTACTCATACACATTTTTATAGGTATCTGTTTGATGGCCGTATCGTCCATAAGCAAAATCTCTAAGTGTTCCATGTCCTCATCAATTTCTGGGAAACACTTCAGTTTTGAACAGCCAGAAAGTATCAGTTCTTGAAGAGATTTCATCTTGCAAAGATTGCTGGGAAGATGCCTCAACTTACAACACTTCTTTAAATTCAACACAGCTAGGTATCGAAGGCTATCTATGGATTCAGGAACTCTTTTAATTGCAGTCCCATCCAAATATAGAGATTCTATGTTTTCTGAAATTGTTGGAAATGTTCTTAGCTTTGAGCAACCACTGAGGATTAGAGATTTCAACGATTTAAGACTGATCCCCTTCGGAAGACTCTTAAGGCTTGTGCACTCTCTGAAGTTCAAGTAAACAAGACTGTCCATCTGACGGATTGATGAACACTTGATCAAACTTGTACAGCATTCAGCGTTCAGTCTTTCAATATTTCGAGCATCCAACAAGCCTGATAAACTCAGCAAGTCTTTTGAATGACTGATATCAAGCCACCTTAACTCTGCTGTATTCTGCAATATAACACATCAATAAGTTAATAACTATATGCAGACTTGACTCTAGAATCTGTTCTATAGGAGACTAAACCTTTTCTTCTTCCCAAAGTTTTTTAAGATGGCTATGACGCAAATTGAGATCAACGAGTTTCTTTGGGTTGAAGTTTGATGGTAGGTACTCCAAAGGGTATCCCTGCCAATGGAGGTACACCAGATCATCTGGAAAGCAATCAAGACCACACGGGAAGCAAAATTTACTGTCATTCTCACACCATTGAGAACAATGGGAATTGTAGAATTTGAGGAACTTGAGATTCCACATCTTTGTGAATACATCAGGACTTAGCTTCATGTTTTCTAAGTTTGACATATCCAGGAAGATGCCTCTAGTTTCTGCAGTTCCCTGATAAGCAAGATAATCAAATTATAGAGAAAAACAGAAAAAAAACAGTTATACGAATCGCATCAATACCGGATATGATATAGAAGTAACAAGACATTTTGCTCACCGTTTTATACTTCAGCAAACGGCATATATCGTCTTGGTTCCATAATCGACCCTGGTTACCTGCCTCTTTGATGGATGATTCATAACTTATCTCCTTCCCCATTGTCAGCAGAAGGTCATGCATCTCAAGCCGGTTATCATAAATGGTTACCAAACACTTATCAACAAGATCATCAATCAGAGTTGTAGCATCAATATGGTCAGTATTCAGAATCCTCGAAACGAAATCTGTTTTTTCTGACTTGAAGAAACACGCAATATCGAGAAAGATGCTCTTCTGCTCCGGACACAGTTCCATATAACTCATTTTCAGCACCTCCTGAATCTTACCGTCTGGCCTTTTCTCCAATCTCTCCAACTTTCTCTGCCAGTAAAGTTTGTCCCTTTGACTTAGATCAGAACCTAACAACTTCAGAGCTAACGGATGCCCTTTAGCATAATCAACAAACTTGTTTGATAGATCCATGAATTCTGTGGTGGGAGAGAGGTTACAAGAAAATGCATTCAAGCAGAAAAGCTCCAGTGCTTCCCTATCACTTAATCTCGGAACCACATATGTTGCATCAACGACCTTCTCCAGTAGTTTCTTGTCTCTGGTTGTTATCACAATCCGACTTCCTTCTCGATACAACTCTTGTTTCCATTGTCCGATAAGGATTCTTATTTGATCTTCATTTGTCACATCGTCAAGAACAATAAACAGTCTCTTGTTCTGAAGACGATCCTTCAAAGCTTCATGTGCTCCTTCAGGAGCTCCAACATCTAGATTCTCTTCATCCAATAATTTTCGGAGGAGTTTCTGCTGCAAATGATTTAATCCATGTAGTCTCTCTTCATTGTTAATGTTTGCGAGAAAGCAGTAGCCATCAAATCGGCTGTAATTTCGTTTATATACGCAATCTGCAACAGTTGTTTTACCGATACCTGCCATACCAAGAACACCAACAACTCTCACACAGCTTTTCCTTTTAAGATCCAATAACTTTTCCAGTTCCTGCATGCGCAGTTCAGCCCCAGGAAGACCACGGATTTCACATGGAGACAACTTGTTCAGCGTCTTAAAAGTTTCCTTGGCTATTTTGTCTACAAAGTCACACTCGTGACTGCCAAATGGAAAAAAAAAAAAAGAAGAAACGTCAAAACAAGTAAGGTGATAAATAAAGTTCCAAGATAAAATGAGGTTAAGAACCTGGTTACAAAATCTACAGAAAAGATAGAAACTGAATTTACACAAGAGACAAGAACTTGTGTTTACTGGAACAAACGACAAGGACACCAAGCTCGAGTATCAATTCTCTTTAAGCTTAGATGTAGATTTTGAAAGAAGAACAGCACCTAAAATTGTAAAGGAGATGGAGTAGAACTCAGTTCATTTTTAGTAAAACTGTAACTATTGCATTCAACAAAAAACTTTGTATGAATAATCCATGGAGAGGACTCGTAAGATGGGAATACAGTAGCTGAAAAAAATGAACACTGAATAAAGCTTTCAAGTATGAATAAATGGGAGAGAAAGAGTGCAGAGATTATTCTGAAGTTGTTTTGAAAAACTTTCAACAGCTGTATCTAAAACTCCATATCCAGAACTTCATCAGGATCTGAAGAAGTTGGATCTAGATCATATACTCAGGTGCAGTGGAAGCCCAGTGTCTTGCATTTGTTAAACAGAACATTCCACGATCTGCTAAAACTGAACCAACGCGTTCCTCTTTAATGACAAGTAAGAAACTGAGGACAGGCCCAGTTCCAGCTAAAGTAATAACACCATCAGATTGAATAGGTTATGAATCTATGGCAGCTACAACTTCAACCACTTTGGATGGTCTCTTATGAGATTCAGAGATTCTGTAGAGCCAAGGTTGTTTCGAAAGGCACAAGATGACCATATTGGTTAATCTTCAACGGCAATCTTGTCAGGGGAATTTGAGTTAATGACATTTTATCAAAAACCGTAGTCAGTCCCTAAATTTATCTATGTGCATAGGTTTACCAATACCACTAGTGATGTAGTTCAGCTATATAAACGTATTACCAATACCACTAGAAATAAAGATGAGAAATGGTTGCATTTTAACAGCCATACATAACTTCTCACTGAAGCAAGTAATTTCTGAGTAGTGTTCTTCGGATTTGTTAAATTAGGGTTTCTGGATTTGGAGAAATTGTGTTATTCGTTGTTTAGTCTATGATTTGGCTTATTAGAAGTAGGATTAATCAATATTTTGTATTGTAAGGCATGATTGAAACAAACTATGTTTGGTTAATACTTTGTTGGATCGTAATACTCTCTTTTTGATGTGTGGATGATTGTTTGGATTAAGACTTTGATGGATCTTAATTTTAATACTGATGTTGATTAGTTTAATTGCAATTTCCATGATTGTTAGGTGTATTTGAGATTTGTATTTTCAATTATTAATCTGTTTTGTTTTTTATCCTTGAATTTGATTTTTTTTTTCTGTTTATTGTGAGAAACCTCCTTAATTGGACATAAAGAGGAGAGAATCTGAGATGAGTGGAGACCTGCTGGTGTGAGACTTGAGTGTTAGCTGCTGCATATGGGACAGTTTAATTACCAGACGTAAGGGTAAGTCAATTCTGTCTTTAACTCCATTAGAACATTGATTATTATTCAGTTAAGATTAATTAGGTGAGACTTGAGTATTTTAGGTTGTGTCAGTTTTTGTGATAAATGCATTTTAAAAGACTCTTTAATTGTTTGCTTTTTGTCTGTTTTGATGTTGAATTAGAATGTCTACATCTTAAAAGGGCGAGCACCAGCAGTGAATTATACAGTCAACGGGAACGAGTATAATTTGGGTTACTATCTCACGGATGGCATTTATCCTAAATGGGCTACCTTTATCCAATGTATTTCACTTCCACAAACTGATAAAGCATCTTTATTTGCAACCCATCAAGAAGCTTGCCGTAAAGATGTCGAGCGTGCTTTTGGAGTTTTGCAAGCTCGATTTGCCATTGTCAAAAATCCGGCTCTTCTTTGGGATAAGGTAAAAATAGGTATATTATGCGAGCATGTATAATACTTCACAATATGATAGTAGAAGACGAACGAGATGGATATACTCTGTTTGATACTACCGAATTCGAACAAGCGGAATCTGCAGGAAGTTCACGGGTGGATTTCACATATTTTACAGATATGCCTTCAAATTTCTTCGGAATGATGACCAATAGAGCTCGAGTTCGTGATCGAGATATGCATCAACAATTGAAGAATGATTTGGTCGAGCATATATGGACAAAATATTCCAGAAATTAAGTTTCAAATATTTGTGCTTTATATTATTTATGTTATAAATTGTATCTCATGTATGTTTTTTTTTTTTTAATTTGCAACAATTATTAAATTTTCTATAATTATAAATTTTATTTTTATACTAACATTTTTTTTCTAAGAACCACATGTTAAGAGCCTACCATTAATCACACAAAAATCTTAACTCAAAAATACTATCTCTTAACAATCACTTTTACAATTAAATTACTTAAATATTGTTAAGATTTATTTCTAAGAGCCTACCTATAATCATGCTCTTACTTCGTTAATGCAAAAATTGGAAAAGAATAAGAGCATGTGCAGTGGTAGTCTCTCAGCATAGTCTCTCAGATATAAAAGTATTACTAAAATAATAAATATTATTATTTAATTACATGAGTCTCTCAAAAAAGTGAAGAGAGTCTCTCAAATGAGAGATTATGAGATACTCTCTCCACATTTTTGATAGACTCATGTAGTTAAATAATAATATTTATTATTTTAGTAATACTTTTGTACATGAGAGACTTTGGTGAGAGACTCACCACTGCACATGCTCTAAGCTACAGATGTAACGAGAAGTACCTTTTCTCCGGCAGAACATAGCCGGCAATATTGGAAGCAGTTGTCAAAGCCTCCTTCCACGCCGGAACTCTGTGCTGAAATCCTGGAAAACTCTCATCGACACTCTCAAAAGGTGCTCCGAAATCCCCCGTCTGATTCTCTACATCAGATTTCCGAACTTTGTAGAAGATCGGCAACACCACCTGACCGAATCTTTCCCTGCACTCGATGATCTTCGATATTTCTTCCAAGCACCAGGCAGAATTCGCGTAATTCTCTGAGAAAACAACGATTGATATCTTCGATTGCTCGATCCTGTCCAAAAGTGCCACGAGATCGTTGCCTTTTCGAAGCTCCTCATCGAAGAAAGCGTCAATACCTTTCCGGCGAAGGAAATCGTGGAGGTAGCAGGTGAAGGAATGGCGTGTGTCTATACCTCGGAAACTCAGAAACACGTCGTACTGCCGCCGAGAAGGGTCCAACAAAGAAGAAGAAGAAGAAGAAGAAGAAGAATATGGAGAAGCCATGAAAGTTGCTATAAGTTCCAACAGAAGGAAAAGTCGTGGTTTACGGATGCAGCGAGGAAGGGGCTTTCTTCTCTTAGATGAGGTAAAACCTACGCGTTGACCCACTCCCAACAGTGAATGTTTCCACGTTGTTTAACGTCCTGCATTTGTGATTAAATTATTCAACAAGTTTCAATTTTTAACCCTCTAGTCTCAGAGTCGCAGAAAGGGTCACAGTCAACGGGCATACAGATTCAAGAACACGATCTGAATCACGGGCGAGAAGATGTCGGAATCAATGGAAGGATCAGATCAAAAGCCAGCTCGAACCGTGAAAAACTGGTGGGAAAAAGAGGCCGCCAGTCGCAGCGGATTCATGTCCTCAAGTCAAGCCATGAGCGACTCATTAGAGTCCCGAAACATTGGGCAAAAGGTCTTAAAATAGTTCCTGTTTTCTAGTTTGCGTCTTTGCAACTTAATGCAGTGCTCAATCCCTTTTTTTTTTCCTTGTGAATTCTTTATCATGAAAAACGAAGATTCGTGATCCTGTTATCGAACCACAACTACAACTAGAACAAGTTTTTCAAGATCATTTTGATTGGACATCATCATTTTCTCTTAGTCCCCAACTACAGTTTCTTCAACACCCTAGTTATGGGACTCCAGTTCCTGTTCCTGTTGTCAGTCCCCAATTACAAGTAGGTGAACGTCGTAAGATTTGGACTCCAGAGCTTCATGATAGATTTGTGGATGTTGTCAATGCCCTTGGCGGATCCGAGCGTGGGTGATCCTTGTACCTTAAAAGATGATACTTCATTTAATTGATAACCTAAGACCAATATTTTATTGAAATGATAGGAGCCACACCTAAGACGGTCTGGAGGTTGATGGGTGTTTCCGAATTGACCATCTTCCATGTGAAATCACATTTGCAGGTTGCTTTTCTTTTCCTTATTGCTTTTTTTTTTCTTTTCAGTTCCCCGTAGCTATTTTCCTGTTTATGACCAAAAATTTCTATCTTTTTCCCTCCTTGTTAGGAATATAGGTTGTCCAGATCAACCTCGAGGTTAAAAGGTATGGGCTCCGCTACTTGATGTTACCTTTCTTTGGTTCCTCCATTTACAATTTTTATTCTTCATTACAGATATATCGAGAAGGATGATTCCCGTGTCAAACACGCTTAATGATATCCAGAGAAGGCTCCAGTCTCTATCAGTGCATTCTTGTTATAATCTATTTCTGAGATGTGTATGTGTCATTTCTTGTGGTGGCAACTGGGCAGACGCAGAAGAGACAGTTTTCCTTAATGAAATCGTAAATGAGCTGCAGAAGCGAGCCATCCTTACTTTAAGATATGATCTAGTTACTGACACAAAGACGAGGATTCGAGACCTAAATACCTTGAATGGTGTTTTTATTCTGTTATTTTCAAAAACATACGCTTCAGCTGAAAGCATGGATAAACTCGTGACGCTCATGGAATACCAGAAAGAAAATGGTGTCCTAATTATTCCCATTTTTTTTAAAGTGACACCTTCACAACTTGATAACTCAGTCCAGGCAAGGAGAGTTCAGAAATGGAGGGAAATAATTAATGAATTAGCTCACAATGATGACTGTAAATGGATAGCGGGGTAAACAGACTTCTCCCTTTCCTTTAGGCTCTCCACTTATGATGTATATCTCTTTTTCATGCTTATGGAAAAGGAAACCTGATAGACAGTAACTTCTGCTCATTTGTTCTTCTCGATATATTTGTTTAATTTCATTCTTTATTATTTTTGGTGCAGGAATGATTCTATACTTCCCGAGGAGATTGTTAGATATGCGTGCTTGAGATTGTTTTCTGTCTCTTCCCAGAACGTGACTAGAATGTACTCGTTGCTTAACAGCTTGAAACCCTCAGACATGCAAATGATTGGGATTTGGGGCATGCCTGGCATAGGTAAGACAACTGTTGCTAGAGAAGTTTTCAAAAGACTGGCTCCAGGTTATAATTCATGCTACTTTCTACAAGACTTTCATCTAATGTATCAAACAAAGGGGTTGAGTCACTTGCGGGATGATTTATTCTCTAAACTATTTGGGGAAGAAAAACTTGTTATAGATGCTTGTGATACAAAACCAAGTTTCATGAAGGATAGGTTCCAGGGTAAGACGGTTCTTGTTGTTATTGATGATGTGAGTAATGCTAGAGATTTAGAAGCTTTAGTTGGCGGATATGATTGGTTTTCTCGTGGACATTTAATCATCTTAACCTCTAGGAACAGACAAGTTCTTGTACAGTGTAAAGTCAACGAGTTATATGAGATGCAGAAATTATCCGAATATGAATCTTCTGAAACTTTTTCTCTGTCTCTCCCTGGACGATATGACTCCATGCTGAATTCAGAGTTGGTGAGGTACGCCAGTGGCATTCCATTGGTTCTCGGAGTTTTAGGTTCGTTTGCAACAAACCAGTGTACATTCAGTGAAAAAGAACAACTGCAAATGTTGCGCCAAAATCCTCCAACCGAGATTCTGGAGGCATTCCGAAGAAGTTTTGACGGTCTGAATGACAACGAGAAGAATATATTTTTGGACCTTGCTTGTTTTTTCAGAGGGGAGAACAGAAATCATGTGATTCAAATACTTGATGGCTGTGGTTACTTTACAGATTTAGGAATTTATGGTCTCATCGATGAGTCCCTCATTGACCCTTTAGAGAACAAGATAGAAATGTCTAACGTGTTCCAAGATATGGGTCGGTTTGTTGTTTGTGAAGAAAGCAAAGAGCCAGGAAAGCGTAGCAGATTGTGGGATGCTAATGAAATCGCTAACGTATTGACAAGCAATTCTGTAAGTTGACCATATATTCTCTTTTATATATGCAGCTCCAAATAGAATATGTTTTTAACTTATTCAGTTGTGAAAGCTGATATATCATACTATTCTGCTCATTTTTTGCCAGGGAACTGAAGCAGTGGAGGGCATATTTCTGGACATGTCTGACTTGACATGTGAGTTAAGTCCCACTATATTTGAGAGGACCTATAGACTTAGATTGCTAAAGCTCCACTATGCAACTTCTGAAAACCGTGGCACCATTTGTCTGCCTAGAGGCCTATACTCTTTGCCTGATGAGCTACGGCTACTCCACTGGGAAAGTTACCCTCTGAGATCCTTGCCGCGAAGCTTTAATCCTAAAAACCTTGTGGAACTGAATATGCCTAATAGTAAGATGGAGAAGTTATGGAAAAGGACTAAGGTAAGTCTTGAATTTTATGGTGTAATCAGCTGCTTACACGAATGTATAAACTTGTACACGATGACTTATTATTGCTTTTGTAAACAGAATCTCGAGAAGCTGAAGAAGATTATACTAAGTCACTCCCGACAGTTAATTAAGATCCCAAGGCTTTCAAAGGCCTTGAACCTTGAGCATATTGATCTTGAAGGATGTACAAGTCTGGTGAAAGTTAGCTCATCTATCCATCATCTTGACAAGCTTGTTTTCTTGAATCTTAAAGATTGCTCTCGTTTGCGAACTCTGCCTGTCATGATTCATCTAGAATCTCTCGAAGTTCTTAATCTATCCGGCTGCTCAGATCTTAAGGAAATTCAGGATTTCTCACCAAACCTGAAAGAGCTATATCTAGCTGGAACTGCCATAAGAGAACTGCCATCTTCCATAGAGAAGCTCACTAGACTTGTTACATTGGATTTGGATAATTGTAACCAACTTCAGAAACTGCCACAAGGTATGAGTAACTTAAAAGCCATGGTCACGCTTAAGCTTTCCGGGTGCTCAAATCTGAAGAGCCTTCCAAATCTTGATGCCATATTTCTGAGAGGGACGCAACATCTTAATACAGAGATAACAATGGAAGTACCTAAGTCCTTGGTACATCATTCTTCTATTCATCAGTCAAGGTTGGATCACTGTGAAACCCTTGATAAGTTGATTCCTGATTTGTGTTTGAAAAACGCTGCCATACAAAAATCTTTAGCAGCATCTGTATATCGACAAATTGCCGGGATACGGCAAGAAAACTGGCAATGGTCCACTATTAAACTGCAGCCCTTGTCAATTTTTCACTTTTTGGCATCAAGATTGTACGCTCTAGTATCTTTGTGCCTTTCTAACGCATGCTTGGTGGATTTACCAAAAGAGATATGTGGGCTTCCGTCAGTAAACATACTGGATCTTGGCGGAAACGGTTTCAGCAAAATTCCTGAAAGCATCAAGCTCCTCCCTAAACTACACAGCCTTAGATTGCGCCATTGCAAAAACCTCAAATCCCTCCCAGAGCTTCCCCAAAGTCTAGTACTTTTGAATGTGCACGGTTGCGTGTCTATGAAGTCAGTTCCTTGGAGTTTCGAACGGCTTCAGTGCACATTTAGTAATTGCTTTAATCTGTCTCCAGAAGTCTTCAGAAGATTTTTAGCAAAAGCTCTGGGTATTGTTAAAAATATGAACAGAGAGCAACACCAGGTATTCTTATCTTACATATGCATTTAAACATAAACTCACTTTCTTTTGCATATCTAATTTATTTGTCTTGCTGTAACAGAAACTCATCACAGTATCTGCATTCAGCATCTGTGCGCCTGCATCTGTGGGTCTGAAATCATCAACTGATGTGCTTGCATCTGAAGGACTGAAATCCTCTATGCAAAAAGGTTCTTTTGTTGTGATACATCTAACTTCTTCCCTGAGAAAGACTTTCTTAGGCTTTGTTATGTCAGTGGTAGTTTCATTTCGCGATAATTACTACAATGCTGCTGGTTTTAGCATAAGGTGCACATGCATAAGGAAAATGAAGAATGGTCTCTCTCATAGCCTAGAGAAAGTTTTTCAGTTTTGGGCTCCTATGGAAGCTTCAAGGATTAAAAAGGATCACATCTTTGTCTTCTATGATGCGAAAATTCCTTCTGATGCCAGGGAAGGGAATAACCTTTACATTTTTGATGAACTAGTTGAATTTGAATTCCGTCCTGTCAATAACCAGAACGAGGTTTTAGCTGATAGTTGTGAAGTAAAGAATTGTGGAGTCTATGTGGTTACTGATGCAAGCGGTGATACAAGTCTAGTGAAGAAAAGATTTTCTCCTACTAAAAGAGAGAGAATTGGAAAGAGGCCACTTGCTTCAGCTATGGATCCAAGAGTTTTTTCTTCACATCGGGAACCACTGCCGCGATTTAAGAGAGGTCGGTATAGAAGAAGTGTTGAATCTGCAATTCTGAACATAAGAAAAAGGAAACGAGAAGAGAGTTTCTATGTATCAAATCAAAGGTGCGAATCTGAATATTTTCTCATTTCGAATTTAACTTTGTTCCTCTTGAAAAAACTAACTCTTAAACACTGAACCTAGAGATCAAGAAACCAAAACAACTAGGGTTTTTCCGTAGACAACCAGTACATTCTTCCTCTTCCATAAGGCCCCAAACACAAACCAATTACACCGCTCTAAAGTATAAGCACATGATGAGAACCTAATTACCAGATCCTCTTATCATGATGCATCTCCTATTTATTTCGAATCTTGACATGCTGATGCTGATGTTGCATGATGAAACCTCTTACATGATCCTAACAATTCTTTTGTGATGCTCTCAAGCAGTAGCCTTGAAGATGTATCAAAGGAGCAAGAAGATTAAAAGAGGGCAAGTAATCAGTTGTTGTAACGGGAAATTTCAGACATAAGGAAAATGAGCTTGTCTTTGCCTTTGACCAACACGACGATGAGCATCACTTGGTTAAGTATCAGGTGTTGTGAAAACGCTAGTTAGCTGGCCAGTGTATTAGAGCAGCTTGAAATATTTCGTCTTTACTCCTTTTGTCTATTTACTTTCATGTCTCGAAATGTAGCAGAGGACCATGGTCAGTGGTTGGACACTGTTGATTTAGAGGTCACCAACAGTTCACAGTTCAAATACGTATACTTAAAAAAAAATGCTGTGAGAGTGTATAACTCGTCAATCGTCATTATTGCTTGTTAAGACAATTTCCAGACATTTAAGATTCACAATACGAATTGTATCAAAGCCAAACCAGGTTCATAAACATTCGATGACTTCGTGCTGTGAATTTCGAGCGAGCATTATCTGTAAACATTTAGCACTCCTGGCAATAACAATAATTTGAGTTCCACATAAACAAACACTGAAGAAAGTTTACAATTCAAATCAGACCAAAGCCAAACCAGCAATAGTATTTTCATCTAGTGTCTTGTATCAGCAATTATAAAACATTTAGTAACAGCAATATAGATCCATGACAGTCTGATCTGAGTCATGCATTAGCGTAATCTTCTCATGTGGTTCAACTTTGAAATTCATCAAACGTTCTTCTTTATAGCAGAAAGCATAATTGATTTTCTCCAATGATCATTTACGTTTGCTCAAGGTCCACAAACTTCAGCGTAATCAACACTTTCCATTAGATTCAGCTTCACTATTTTTTAGTTTCCTATCACTTCTATCATCATCATCGTAATCATTAGCTCTTTCATTCTATATCTCTTTGTTCTGCTATAGCTGGATCAAACTAGAAATTTCTCCTGCAAGAAAACAGTTGAGAGAAGAGTGGCATTAAGAGACAGACATGGTATCTCAGCCATAAGATACAGGAGTAGCTAGAAGCTCCATCTAGACCGAACCAAATCTTGAAATTCAAAGTTGTGTATTCTAACCAGAAGGTTCTTGAGCTGCTCTTTATGTGATCTGCAGAAGAAGAAAAAAAAAACATTAATAGTTTTTGGGATGACCTTGAAAACGAGATAAAAAGAGAATTAACTGTTTGTTGGATTATCAATGCTTGGTCATGCGTACACGCATTTGCTTCCTGCTTCTCCTTAACTCTTCGTCGTTCTCTCCATGCTTGTTTCCGTCCTCAGTTCCAGATCTTTTCCGACTATCATCCAGATATGGAGAAACCTCCATGAGTTGTATGCCGCATTCTTTTATCTTTATTATTTCCTTCTTGGTGGTCAAGGCATAAAAACTCAAACTGCACATCGCCATAGTTCAACTCAGCTGGAGGACCATAGACTCCATCCAGAGAGAACTCGAAACCGAATATGATGAGATGATTCATCATAGATAATGTGTATGTCTAGGGGTGTCAAAATGGGTCAAAATTCATGGGTCAACCAAAACTCAACTCAACCCATGAACCCTAATGAGTTGAAAATTTTGACTCAAATGAGTTGATGGATCAAATGAGTTATCAAATGGGTTGATGGATCAAATGAGTTGGGTTATAATGGGTTAGTGGTTTTAATGGTTTACCCATTTAACCCATCAATTTTTGTTAAATTGAATCAAACCAATTCAAATCTCTAAACCGATTTCAATTTGAGTCTAACCAAAACTTCTAAACCGATTGAATATAGTCCTTAATTTTCCCGCCAAAAATGTAAATACACAATTTTTCCATCAAAATATAAATTCGTGATTTTCCCGCCAAAAACGTAAATCCGCAATGTTCCCGCCAAAAACGTAAATCCACAATTTTCCCGCCAAAATTTTTTATAATTTTTCACCAAAAACGAAAATATGTAATTTTCCCGCCAAAACGTAAATCCGTGATTTTCCCGCCAAAAACGTAAATCCGTGATTTTCCGCCAAAATTTTTTATAATTTTTAGCCAAAAATGAGAATGTAAAATTTTTCCGCCAAAAACGTAAATCCGTAATTTTTCCGCCAAAAACGGAAATCCGTGATTTTCCCGCCAAATTTTTTTATAATTTTTAACCAAAAATGAGAATGTAAAATTTTCCGGCCAAAAACGTAAATCCGTAATTTTCCCGCCAAAAACGTAAATCCGTGATTTTCCCGCCAAATAATAGTGACGTTGATTATTATTATTATTATTATTTTATTATTATATTTAAATTATTAATTTATTTATTACATTAATAGGTTAGTGAGTCAACCCATTTAACCTTCTAATCCATCAACTCATTTAACTCTAAACTCATTGAGTAATGAGTTGAGTTGAGTTGGGTTAACCATTTTCACTCCCCTATGTATGTCATACAACTAAAATATTTATTATCCTTTCCACCTCTGAATTGCCAATATACACCAAAGTCAAACCACCCAGATCTTGATTCAACCACAATGCAAGCTTTATATCTCCAGATTTGTTTGGAAAGAGAGATGCGAGGTAAAGAGAAGGTTAGAACATTTCCATGAACTCAATGAGTGAAATATGCTGGAAGTTCTCCACCAGGTAAAATAGCATATGCACAGTCTGAATGTAGGATGAATTCTCTGGCTTGGTGATTCAGTTTGAAGCAGTTTATAAATTAGAGAGCCATCCGTGGGAAGTTAAAGAAGCCATATAAACTCTCAAGTGATACACAATTATTTTCCGTTAGCAGAGAGAGCGTTGCAGAGAGCTCTGGTAGTGCAGCGAGATTTTTGCAGTTACCAAGGATAAGATATTTTGGTTGAATGGAAATCCATGTGTCTGGAAGTCTTTCAAAACTTTCTGGAAGTCTTTTCCACTTAACATGGCTGGACTTGAAGTATTGTACGAGTCTAACATTTGTTCCAGAGTTGCCACCAAATCTTCCCTACTTAGATGCACATGGTTGTAGCTCACTGAAGACAGTTGCAAAACCGCTGGCCCGTATCATGCCGACCGTGCAGAGCCATTGCACTTTTAATTTCACCAATTGTGATAACCTGGAGCAAGCTGCAATGGATGAAATCACATCGTTTGCTCAAAGTAAATGCCAGTTTCTATCAGATGCTCGTAAACACTACAATGAGGTCTCTCTCTATATCTAATTCTCTCTCCATGTGGCTCTCATTGTATTAAAAGGAAACTCCACAATTAATGATTTTCCTTTTCTATAATGTTGCAGGGTCTTAGTTCAGAGGCTTTGTTCACCACTCGCTTTCCTGGATGTGAGGTGCCTTCGTGGTTTTGTCATGAAGAAAGAGGATCTCTGTTGCAACGAAAACTCCTCCCACATTGGCATGACAAGAGCCTTTCTTGGATAGCTCTATGTGCTGTAGTCTCATTTTCTGCTGGCCAAAATCAAATCAGCAGGTTCTCGGTGGCATGCACCTTTACGATAAAAGTTCAAGAAAAGTCTTGGATCCCCTTTACTTGCCAGGTAGGAAGTTGGGAGGGAGACAAGAAAGACAAGATTGAGTCAGATCATGTTTTTATAGCCTACATTACTTGCCCACATACGATAAGGTGTCTCGAAGATGAGAACTCTGATAAATGCAATTTTACTGAAGCCTCTCTTGAGTTTAATGTGACTGGTGGTACAAGTGAGATAGGAAAATTCACGGTGTTGAGGTGCGGTTTAAGTTTGGTGTATGCAAAAGATAACAACAAAAACAGTTCTCATGAAGCAAAGTATGATATGCCTGTTGAAGTATAAGCTTCCAAGAACCTCAACATGGGATGAAGGAGGAGCAAAGAAAACTTAAAAAGCAAGAATTCATGATAGACGACCAAAGAAGAAGCGAAAAACCAGAAGGTGTGAAAATGTCTAGTGTCACTCAAACTTGTGGTGCAAGTGTAACTCCAAGATTGGGAGATCTCCAAGCAAATGGTTGAAAACCTCCAAGGTGGGATGATTATGTTTCAGGTGAACCAGATTCTTACACAAACATAAAGAAGATTGTACATTAAAAATTTCATGGTTGTGTATTTTTGTAGAGAGATACATATGTCATTGGTGGAGCATATCTTTCTGGAGCAGTTGGTGTTCTTTTTGCTATGTAATGCTAAAGCATCTGCTTCAGCCAAAAGACCCTTTTTGTTGTTTCTGGTTCAAGTTAATTTCATGGTCTTGTTTGGTTATCAGTTCTTTGTAAGACTCTTTTTTACGGTTGAATAAATAAATATTTTTTCACAAATCTTTCTCAAACTGATTATCTGAAATGGTCATCTTTTTTTTCGCATGAACATTGTTCTAATTTATCTATTTCTGTCGAGCTCTGCAACCGTCGTTTGAAGTCTAGTTTCTATGTTGGCATCTTTCAGCTCTCAGACTGTAGTACAGGTTAGGTCTCTGTTCCATAAGAAGAACCTCTTTAAGTGTTCCATGTCCTCATCAATGTTTGGAAAACACTGCAGATTTGAACAGCCAGAGAGAATCAGTTATTGAAGAGATTTCAGTTTCAAAAGATGCCTCAACCAGCAACATTTCTTTAAATTCAGCTCAGCTAGGTATTTGAGGCTCTCTATGGATTCAGATTTTTTTTTGTTTGCCTTACTAGACAAAGGGCTCAATCTTGTTTATTGGGGAAAATGTCCTTGAAGTTCAGTCTACTTACATTCCAGAACTGCAGTCTCTTATCGGGAGGGTACAAATCTAAACAATTTTTTCAAGAGTATTGAGAAATCTAGGATTACGCTTGTGATCTTGTCGGTCATGTACACTGATTCATATTGGCGCTTGGCTGAGCTTTTGAAGATTATGGAACGCGCAGATATGGAAAAACTTGTGGTCATGATTACCATCTTCTAGAACGTGGACACGGACGATGTTAAATACCTGAAGGGAGTGTTTGGTGACAATGGATGGACTCTGATTCCAGGACGAGCATTGACATTGTGTTGCAGGAAAATCCACCACAACAGCTGTCAAGTGTCAACTAAAAACCCTTGTTAACATTTTCAAATAATGGAAAATTTTGTTCTGTGCTTCAGTTTATTCTAATGCTTTTCCTATGCAGAGATCAGTATATACTTGCTGATGAGGTTGTAAGGAATGCCTGGTTAAGGCGATCCTTGAAAATAAGCAAGAATATGACCAGAATCCTTGCTACTATGGCTTTGAATGGTTGGTTTGTATGCTACATACTGGACAATGCGTACCAATATTTTGGTATGCTAAACTCAATACTACAGTACGCTTCATTTTTAAAGCAGACCAAAAGAAAGCAGATAGATAGTAATATTTTGGTATGCAGTTACTAATGTTGTTCACTGCGTACCAACATGTATTTTATTGGTCCGGAGTTGGTGTAAAATTAGTCCGGAGTGGTCCGGAGTATATCATACAATTATGTGAATGGTAGAAAAAAAGCGGACTAGTTCGACTTTAGTCTGTTCCGGAGCATATCGGCCAACCATTCAAGACCTATATATCTGCAAGATTTCCATCTAATGTGTCAGAAGAAAGGGCTGAAGTAGTGGCCTGATGATTTCTTAATATTTGGGGAAGAAAAGCTTGTTATAGATTCTTGTGATACAAAACAAAGTTTCATAAAGAGCATGCTCCAGAGGAAAACATGTTTTGGTTGGTTTTCTTATGAACATAATCCACTTGCGGAAAAGTTTATTTAAAATCCGACGAAAATAATCCACTTATACGTATAAATGATGAGATTCTCTTATTTTACTTGTTCGTTACTAATAATTAATCCATGTTTCTTAAAGGAAGGATAAATAGAAAGATCCAATATGCTCTTTTCTTCTCTTCTAACCTGATCCAATATTCTTCTCCATTCATATAATGACTTGGTCCGTTGGACGAATTGCGACACCTTTGACCAAGAGCCCACTCTTCCGGTTAGAGTACTCATATTGATGCAAAGAAAAGAAGATCTCCACCACGTTCTCTGGCAGTGCCTCAAACTCTCCAGCTTGAATATCCACCCAATTGTGGTATATGTAGTCATTTAAACACAAAGTAGACTCTTGTATACTCTGGCTTCCATCGCGATGTTTCAGCTTCAAATTTAGGGTCACTGGCTCCTCCCACCCGGGTGCTGTATCATCTAAGTATATCATAAACACCACCTTGTACTTTGTTCCTGGAGTTAGTTTCCTCGTGACAAAATATCCCTTTATTTGTAGCCAGTATATTTTATTCAGCTTCGCGATTTCGATGCCTGCTTCACTGAAAACATTATCAAACCTCTTTTTAGTTTATAATTTAACTCCTCTAATAAAAAATAAAAAAACTATTTGCAAAATATTTTCTAACATAGAACTCCAACTTGAATTATACAAATTTTTCTGTTTTTTTTTTTATTTTGAGTAAAATATAAAAGCTTACCTTTGTGCATCGTTACTCCATGTCCATAATTTAGGATTCTCCGAATGAGTGATATCGAGGCTCCTTGCAGGGACAACAAATACAACTCCTTGACTAATTACTTCTCTTGATGGTTTTCCCTTAATTCGGATCCTCGCCATTAAATCTTTAACCTCTTTGACCATCGATTTTATGAATCCTTCATCAGAGCTATCACTGGCATATGATAGGAGTGAGAGAACTACGAAATACCCTATTTTGACATCTAAACGAATTTTAACAACTCATGCAAACTATTTGTAATAATAATGACTTAAATTAACGTACCAGTTTGTAATATTGTATCCTACTATGGATGATATGTCGGTTAAAGCTCGGCGCCATTGTTGTTTCTCATCCTCTGTTTTGTTCTTGCAAGTTTCTTCGAATCGCCTTCCAAATTCTCCCGTCTGTTCCCTAACATCCAAGGGATCCAAATCGGGGTGGAAAATTGGTATCACCATATGATTCACGTCTTCATTGCTCTTAGCAATCTCCACCAATTCGTTCAGGAGCCAACTTGAAGAGGCATAATTGATCGTAAACAAGATGATTGAGATCGTCGATCGAGACTCCGGTACCTCTTGTGTTATTTTTATCCCATACCTTTTGGATGAAGGGATTACGTTTTTTCTAAGAGCTGCAATCAAGTAGTCGAGGAAGTTTATCTGAATATCTTGTCTGCTGTACCTCAGGAAAACATTACATTTCTGATTGCGAGGCGAAGAAAGACCCATAGAGGCAATCTTTCCAAAGTCTTTTGAGCTACCAGGCAGCATAGATTCTGTATGCAAGATTTCTTTACCCATTCGTCGTGGCAAAGAATCCATAACTATTTCCCGATTAGATGATACACGTATGAGAGACCTATCGGCTAAGACCTTGATCCCAGAGCTAACATCCATGTCAATGTTGGCAATAAGTGGTGCCACCAAATCAACATCCTCATCATTGAACAAACACGCTATGTAAAGAAATAGAACTTTATCCATCTCCTGTAGACCATCATAGCTGGTTCTCAAATTTTCTTCAACTTTTTTACTATGCAAAAAAGAATCTGATGAACTCATCTTAAGACTTGTTTCGCCAGTTGAAGCATCAATTGCAGAGACTCCACATCTTTTCACTGTGCAACTATCATCTAGACGCCGCTTCGTCTGTCTGTCGACAGGAAAGAATTCAAACACAACTAAATCAGCGAATACATCCGGCTCATTTCCGTCATCGGTACTTGGACGCATTTTGACATCAAAGAAGACAAACATATGATCCTTTTGAAATTTTGGAACAGCTTCCCCTGTAGCCCAACAATGCAAATTTCTTTCTATACTCTGAGAGCGGCCTTCCTTGTTCTTCCATCTGCAAACACAACATATGCCTAAACCAGTAACATCAGAGTAAGCCTCTGAAAATGAAACTTCCACCAGCATAGCAAAGCCCACAAGCGTGTTCCCCCAAGAAGGATTTAGTTGTGTCATTACAGAAGATCCTGGTTGCAGACAAGGTGTAAAATTTTGGTCCGCGTGTGAGGGCGCACAGAAGCTAAAAGCCAGAGGTTTGTTGAGTTCCTGTTGGAAGATACAAAATAAGTTAGATATGATATGAGTGAGGGAGGGAGAGTATAAAGAGAGAGGGAGAGAGAGAATTACCTTCTGATGCTCTCTTGGCATGTGTTTTACATAAGCCAATGCTTTCACCAATAATTTATCGACCTCTTGTGAAGAGAGTTTAAAACAATTAATGAATGTGTAATGCATAGGAAGCTTCACGGATTCCACACTAAATGATTGCAGATCGGCACAGCCATGTGCATTCAAGAGTTCTAGACTCTCGGGAAGTTGTGGAAGGTCTCCTACCGCAGTGCCAGTAATATATAACTCTTTTAGGTTTTGCGGGAAACCCTGAATAGTCTTGAGCACCAAGCAGCCAGATAGATCAAGAACTTCAAGAGATTCTAAATTAATCATGTTAGGCAGACTTTTCAAACGAGAACAATCTTTCAGATCCAAGCAAATAAGTTTGCCAAGATTTTGACAAGATGAGCTAAAGTTCATCAAACTTGTTAGACGCTGAAGTAAGACATCTGAAATACCATGTAATTCTTCTAGGAGACTCGTGATGTCTTCGCCATTTGGCTTAACAATTGAAAGTATGCCAATTCCTTGCAGACGGAGTGTCTCAATATTTGGTGGAAGCTCCGGGAAACTTTGTATTTTTGTGCAACCTGAGAGATTTACAACTCGTAGATGGAGCAATTGACTTGTTGCTGGGAAACTCTCAAGGCTTGTACAACCTTGGAGATCAATTATCTCAAGATTCTGAGCTTTTAAGACATCGTCGATATCAACTAGTTGCTGGGAATGGCAAAGCCTTAGTGTCCTCAACATCTCCGGGGTCTGAGAAGCAGAAAAAAAAAAAGCCAAATGAATAACAAAAAACTTGTCAAGTATTGATGCATATCAAAGTTTGGTTACCTTGGTTCCACCCCAAAGTTTCTGAAGTTGACTGTACGGCATGTTGATTTCAACAAGGTGCCAAGGATCAAAATTTTGAGGCAAAGATTTCAGAGGATAGTTGTCCCAATGGAGGAGTCTTAGCTCATTAGGAAGAGAATGCAAAGAGCCTTTGGGGAAATTGATTACATGATGGACTTCAGGATCCGAACAGTAAATCTTAAGCAATCTAAGGTTCAGCATATTCTCAAAGGCAGCTGGCTTGACATCAAAACTTAAGTTTGATGTGTCCAGAAACAAGCCTTCGATCTCTTCAGTGCCCTGAAAGAATATTGGTAGTGGGTTATATTAGGATGTTGTCTCGTAAAATATTTTCAATATAAGACTATCAAGGATAACAGACCTGAGCACGTTCCAAATTTGTTTTGTGTTCTCCATTTTCTTTCTCTGCGTTATCTTCTAACAAATATTTGATGCAGCAAGGTTCCCACAGTCTGCTGCGCCTCTTAGTCTCTCCTGTTTCTCTATTTATTATTTGTCGGCCAACATCTTGGATCAAGTTATGCATCCGCACTCTGTTTTCTGAAATAGTCACCAAACACTTCTCGACAAGAACATCGATTCCAACATGTGGAAAGAAACCACAACCCTCAAGCAGTTGCATCACGTAGTCGACATTTTCTCCCTGAAAGAAACAAGCTATGTCCAAAAAAATGTTTTTGTCCCTGTCATTGAGTGTGTCATAGCAGCTCTTGATTGCATCAACAAAAATAGCTGGAGGTCGTTCCTTGAGTTCGAGGAATGCTGTCTCCATTTCTTGCGGTCTTTTTTTACCCTTCAGCTCTCTGCCATAGAGACTGAGGGCTAATGGATGTCCATCCGCATGCTTAATCACTTTCATTGACACCTCGTGGAGATTCTGCTCTGCCATATCGTCTATAGACGCACACAAGGAGAAGAGCCGAAGAGCCTCTTTCTCATTTAAACCCTGAACATCATATATTTGAGCGACTCGACAAAGGCGAAACACCTGTTTATCTCTGGAGGTTATGATGATTAGGCTTTTGGGACCAAACCAGTCAAAACCTCCAAGGAAAGGCTCTGCAGCCAAAGGATTGCGCACGTCATCAAGAACAACAAGAACCCTCTTATTGTGTAATTTATTTCTAAGCAAGCTCAGTTTCGTTGTGGTACCATCGGCACCAGGCTTTTCTTTCAAAAATTGTTCCTCCAGCAAACAATAAAGACCCTTCTCATGAATTGCTTTGTCATAGTCTTCGATAAAAGAAGAAGCATCAAAGGCGCTAGACATTTGGTCAAAGACTGCTTTAGCAAGTGTTGTCTTTCCTATGCCAGGCATACCCCAAATTCCAACACAACGGATGCCTATCGGTTGCTTGTTAACCATGTTTTCAATCTCTAGCAGCTTCGAATAGATTCCAATTCGTCCAGTATAAAAGAGCTTCTCGTACACATCTTTGACAATCTCTTCTACAAGTTTGGCGTCACTGCATTCCTTCCTGCGCCATATTTGCTCAAGTAAAAGAAATATACTTTATAGGAAAATTACACATTTACACTAACTAGCCTAACAAAACGTTTTTGCCAACTTTCAACATGGGGAAATTGAAGGACTTATCTTCAAACAACCGAATTATATTTATATTGACCCTTGTTTTACACTGTTTAAAACTTCAAAATAGCAAATAACTTTTATCTTGAAATTGGTCAATCCACACACTGCAATTGGAATCTCTTGAAACTGAATAAACTATGTTAGCTATTAACATGACTATACATAAATTTCGATGGAAGAATTCATTTATCAACACAAGGTAGTGGAAGAACAATACTTGCCCTGCTATTCATTTAGAACTGTTTTTTTTTTTTTTCCTTTCTCACAAGTAAAAAACTTCATTTAGAAAGCTAACCCAATGTGAATACCTGGACTGGTGAACTGATGAGAAGCCTTTCGAATCCAGCGCGCTAAGCCATTCGGCCTCTACTGTTCTGTTGCCGTACAACACCGGGACCACCACCTGGTCGTTGGTCCTCTGGCACTCGAGAACCTTCACGAGCTTGTCAAGGCGTACCGTATGGTTTCCGGGTAAAATCATCACGGAAACCCTAGCTCTCTCGACCTTTGCCTGCGCCTCCTTGGAAAGCAGATCGTCGCTATCGACGAACACATCATTTATGCGCTTTAGGCAGAGAGCTTCGAAGATGTGACTGACGAAGGAGTACCGTACCTCCTCTAAGCAGCTGATGTAGACGATTTGCTCACTTTCGGTCATAATTTCGCGATTCTGAAACCGTCGACTTTGGTGAACTTCTCAAGTTTTGATGAAACATAACTCTCGCTCACAGTTATGTTTCCCGAGCTCTTACATAGCGTTCTAGTGGAGTTGGCCTTAAGCATATTCCATTGTCAAACAAAATTATAATCAGTATTGATAGACATGTCAATCGGGCTAGCCTGGTCGGCTGGTCCGGACCGGTCCGAACCCCACAAAACCCGTATATATTTGTGTCCAACTCTAAAAATATAATTTAAAGTCTAGTCTAGTCTTAACAGAGCTATATGACTTTTCAGAGCATTTTTGGGTTTTTCTTTCAAGGAAAAAAACAAACTTATAACTTATAATATCTCTGAAAAAATAAAAATATATGAACAAAACGAGTCAATTGAAATTTAAATAACCACTAAAGCAAATATAGTTTAAAAGAAAAAGCTTAAAATCAAATAAATAATTCAAATAAATTGTTTTAAATCATATCAAATAAAATATAAAATCAGAAGACTACAAACTAGGTAGTAGAGCCAAGATTTGTTTTTTAGATTTATAGTAAGGTATAATTAAAAAACTAGGTTTAGGTTTTTCAGTACTATTAAATAAATTTCCCAATTAAACGAAAATATTAACAAAACAACAAGTCAAAAATATTTTTTTTATCTCTTCCCCTTCTGTCATATGATAGTGATGGAGAAGAAGAAGGGGAAGAGATGAAGAACGGAGAACAAAACAACTTGGATTTTTTTTTTATGTAAAAGATGATGACGTGGCAACGACGTCATCAAAGATGTGGCAACCACGTCATCAACGTCATCAAGGACGTGGCGTCAACATTAGCAATTATGACAAAGAATGTATGATTTCACATGATTTAGTAAGTTCGAGTATAAAATTTGAATTATTTAAAAAGTTGGCTATATATTAGCTCGTGGCGTCAACATCAACAATTATCTTTGTTTGATTTTTTAACTGTTTTGAATCATCATATAATACATAAAGTTAAGAAAATTTTCAATTTTTTCCTACATATATTGTGATTCAAAATTTTAAAAACGGATATATATTATCATATTTATGAAAAATGTGTGTGTTCAACGTCACACATCGGCTAAAATGTTTAGACAATGATTCAAAATTATATTATTAATAAGATAAAAATAAATCCAAAAATTCCGAATGAACATGAAGCTTAACTTAACAAGCATCCAAATTTAAAAGTTTGTATACGGTTTAATTCTATCTTTAGTTTAACTGTTTAATTTTACCGAAAATATTAAATTTTTAATTTTTTAATTTTTTTAAATATTATGATTGATATATCTAAAATCAATAAAAAAATTTATAATATTATGAATATTTGAACAAAAAAAATTAAAATAACACGGGATGGGGTTTATGGCGGGATGAATTTGAATCAACAATAATAAAAATATAAAAAAATTATTAATATGCCACTTCAATACGGGTTAAATCCTTAATTTATTATTTTTAACACTACAAATATTAGATATATCAAATTAGTCTGATTTAGATAAAATTGTATAAAACCAAAAATGTCCCGTGATGTACCGTTACATAATAAAAAATTGTAAACTATAAAATATAAATTATTTATAAATGATACAATTTGCAAATTTTTATTTATAATAAATAATCATTAAATTTAAAATCACTATTTTTAGAAAACAAATCGTCATGCTGTGTACGACGGGTTAAAATCTAATAGTTAGGTAGAAATTTAACACTTACAATTTGTTTAGGTATGAAATTGCCAACTTTCTCCCTAATTGACATGCCTAATCAGTAATATATCAGGTGGCCATTTTATTTAACTAATTATTCTTTAAGTAAATATGGTTTACTAAAAAAAAAAAAAAAAAATATGGTTTACTATCCATATCGTGACGTAAATACATAGGAGAGTTTGGCGATAATGGCAATAAATATTAAATTAACATGTAGTGCACGACCATATCGGCACGACTTTTCGTTTGTGGACTCTATTCGTCTAGTTTGTATTTCCAAACTATTTTAGTTATATATTATCAGTTGACAAATAAAAAGAATGATGTTTCTAAACAAAATCTCCATCATAGAAAATAATTTCTTATAAAATAAGTTTTTGGAAATTAACCATACAACTAATACAAAGCTTTTTAGAGATTAATTTTGCTACTTTTGCAATGATTAAATGCCAACAAATTGAATTAAATATTATTAAATTCGTAGATAAGATTAACCATTAATCGAATTCAATAATTTAAACAATCGATATTGCTACTTCTATAAAATCTTTTTATATATTTTATGTGCATTCGTAAATCGATTGTCGAAATATGCAAACAAAAGTGTTTTAAAAAAACAAAATCTCTAAAAAAGCATAATACGACCAAAAAAAAAAAAAAGCATAATACGACACATCGGCTACATAGGAGAATATAGGCCTTGTCAGGCTGTCAGCTATTTCCAATTGTCTTCGTCAACTGTGTTAGCACAACTGGCGACGACCAATGACTTTTGACATTTTCCGAGTGGCATAGTCAAGTGATATTAAATATCACTCACTACATATCACTTTAATTCTTGGAATCTTCAATAATTGGAATCTTCAAGATCATGTGTCTGTGGAGTCTAAAATTTTAAAAGTTGCTTTCGATAATTGTTAAAACGTTTTTGATAATTTATCTACATTGATTGTGCAATGGTTAAACAAGATTTCTCTACTAAAAAAAAAAAAAGAAAGATTTCTCTACTATATTCGCTTCTTATCCATTATCCACATTGTAATTTACATAACAAAAATAATAAAATTTTATATATGTTTAAGACAAAGTAAATTATAAGTACTAAAAGTAGTTAATATATTAATATATAGTTTTAAAGAAAATTGCTTCATATGTTATTTTTCCTGACTTTTTATAGTATCCCATGGCATTCATGTTTTTTTCTTTTCATCCCATTACACTTTGATATTTTTGTGACAATTTAGCTTTTACTGAAAAGAACGATGTGGTGTACGAAATTCTAATACGTGGTGTATGTTGAAATGCACGATGCCATATTATAATTATAAATTTATAATATAGAAACTCTAATACATGTGGTGTACGTGAACTTTTATAATAAAATCTACGTACAGGACAAACATTGTTTTTTTTTTTTTTATTAAGGATAGTTTCTTCTTTTTACCATATCAAAGTGCCATGGAAATGGGATGCAAAAATAATATGAATTCATGTGTGTGCAGTTTAAAATCTCTGTAATATTAAATTTTGTTTTCAATAATTTACTCATGAAAATATATTGAAATTTTAATCAAGTCTCTAAAATTTTGAAATCTCATAAGTCATAAGTACGATCTATAAAATATCATGTCCAATAACTTTATATTTTAATGCATAATTCAAAATCAGCGATTGAATAGCAACATATTGTGTTTAGATTTAGACTCTATTAAAATCCATAATTGAATAACATCCAATAAAAGTTAACGTCTTCGAACTTCATAAGTTTTAAAAAATATTTATTTATTATAATTATTGCAATTTTGGTGGAATTTGATTTTATCATTTTAATGTTTTTATTTATGATTAAAATTTTATGGTGTGGATTAAATATATGACTGAATATTTAGATTTTAAAATTAATTGCAAAGTAGATATGAATTGGGAAAGTGTTCATCTGAACGGAGCAAATAAAATAATACTCTCTCCGTTTCAAAATATAAAATATTTTAGCTAAAAAATGCAAAAATTAAAAAATATATATACTTTTAAAAAACTTCAACCAGTCATGAAAGAGACTGCATAATATACATACAACAATAAAATATTAAACTAATTTATAATTTACTTAGAAACTTGAAAACATCTTATATTGTGAAACAACAAAGTTTCTCCAAAACATCTTATATTATGAAACGGAGGGAGTACACACTAGGTAAGAACTTGATGCTATTTAGTTTTAATTATTTTTGTATGTATTAGAAATATATATATATATATATATATAATATGTATATGTATATATATTTGATTAAGGGGACAAACAAGATTTAGAGCTTTCTAATTTGCATCTGTAAATGGTAAAGAACACAGCAACACTGTTTTTATTTGGAATTTGTTTGAAACGCGCCAAAGCCAACACTTTTATGTTGATGCAGTTAGGTATTCTGTACTAGTCGTCGAAGTAGTACATGAAATAGTATAAGAAGTGATTCATAAAGCTAAGATGCATAATTATTGATGAGGAGGTCAAATACTTGGATGTAGGAGCTTTATTATTGCCTCACATGCGTTTACAAGTTGTATCAGAGCAATAATAAAGTGCAAAAAATAAATGAGACACAAAATTTGTTAACAATTTCCCGGGACCACGCCTAGATTCTGATTTCACTAGAACAATAAAGCAAATTTAACTCATTCGCAAACGCATAAATCAAGCACAACCCTCTTGATTCACTTCTCTGTTCAAAAACATGAAATATTAAGGATAATCTATACCTTTAACTTTCTGCCTGAGTCTAGATTTTATCGTGATAACCTAAACCTAATGAGGTAAACTTCCATGACCCTAGACTTTGATTCTCCAAAGTCTCTGGAACAACCGCTACACATGAACGTCACACCAGCGAACCCAACGATAACACCAAAACACTCCAACATGTATGTCAACACCAACACACAAATACACTTGATCACACAAGCACCAAACTACGATACTATGTCGCACACAATCACACACATTCTCTCACGTTTTTTTTGGGATTTTTATTCTACTTTGTCCACATTCTTACAAGGTCACGTCCACCTTATATAACAAACAGAAACTTGCGCCTCAAGTTCCTCCAATCATACATAACATATTTTTTTTTTTTTGTTAAAGTTAACATCGTTTTTCTCTTCAAGTAAACTTCCTTTCTACTTATATGATTCTTTTTATCTTCAAATAAAGATAATTTTCCCTTTTCAGACTTAATAAACATTTCTACATCCAAGTATTCGAGCTCCTCATTAGCAATTATGCATCTCAGCTTCCTGTACTACTTTTTGTACTACTTAGACGACTAGTACAAAATATCCAAATAACTGCATCAACATTTTATACCCGGTTTTATTACAAGTTAATATTTACAACATAAGAATTATACTTACTCGAAATTTACTCAACCTATACGATCAATAGGATTGAACCAGACTAAAATCTAGTCTAGCCTAATTCTATTGTTTTTCATGTCAACAATAAAATCAAATAGAAGTTCTTTCAGAGAATTCTCCGCTCGTGAATCAATGGATAACACCCTACCATGATACCTAGAATATGCAGAACACTTACAAACCTTCCCATCTCTTTATTCTTTGGAGATATGAAGAACAACAACACATATAGTCGAATTGTTATCGGCGGCATGTGGCCTTCTGATATTTTTTTCTAATAAGCCTTATTTTCCAAGTCATTTTTACATAACCGAAATTCTAAAAACAATGTTGACATTTCATTTATATTTTATCAATGATTTTAATTTTGTAGTAAGCAGAATATAGTAACATGTTTAATTTGTTTTGTGTTTAGGGTTACATTTTTTTTGTCATCTGCTATATTATCATCATAGATACTTTTGATCTACTTATTACACATGATGATTAATATATTAGATCTAACTACATGAAACATATGTGATTATGATGAACAAATTCACGAATAATTCTACAACGTGCAGCTTCCACCGCAACACTCGGATCTCCTACTGACGATCCTTACATGTATTATATAAACGATGGACAGTCTTACTTCTAACACTCGAAACCACGACATATGATTCTGGCTACAACACTCTGGAACAACCGATTAGGTTTGTATCATTAACATGCAAGAAAAATCATTCGCTGGAAATCGAACCCTAAACCTGGTGTAGAAGCTTTTAAACCCTAGACCGAAGGGTTTCCACCAGAGGATTATTCTTACACTAAATATTTACGTAAACAATATCAGAATATATATCTAAATATTTGTGTACAATTATTAATAATAATTAAATAAATTTTATGTAAATATATAAAAATATTTTAGTGAGATTATATATAAGTATTATTATGTGATTTTTTATTTGTATGATTTTATGTTAAACTAGTTTATACATTTGCCAAGGAAATTTTCCAAGTTTCATCCATAAAAACATATTTACGACCAGACCCCTCTTTAAAAAAAAAAAAGTATTTACGAGATCCCTCTTTAACTATTTTAATCGTCCAAATCTCCGTTCTATTGATTTTTTTGCTGACTTTTCTAAGTGTCTTTAATTTATACTGGCAACGGGCCAACGGCCACGGAGGCACTGACAAATGAATGAAAATAACCTTCCTTTTTCCTTTGGCAGTCCATTAAAATAATCTAATGGAATAGTTGCAGAAGACAAGTTGCGATCAATTATTAAAAAAAAAAATATATATATACAAAGTAATCATGGATTCAAAAAGAATATACAAACTAATCATATCCTACAGTAATTTGTTGGTAACATGTCGGAGAGCATATGTAATTACGTAAATATTTTTTATAACACGTTTTTTTTTCGAATTACATATGATAGTATAATATATCTCTTTTTATCATGTCATTTTCTAGTATTACATATTATTTTTGAAGAGCACATGGTATTTCTTTGAAAAAACATTATATTCAGTTTAATATCTCTTTTCATCATGTTATTTTGTAGTATTACACATTTTTTTATTAAGATCACATGTGATTTTTTTTTAAAAAAGATTCTTATTTTGTAGTATTACACGGTTTTTATTAAGATCACATGTGATATCTTTAAAAAAAAATTCTATTCAGGTTAAGTTTTTCCATGATAATGTTTTTTCTTAAAAAAACACTACGTAACAATGTTTTTTCTTAAAAAAGCACTATATTTTTTCAAATATCATGTCTTTCAGTTCAATATAACATGTGAAAATTAAATGTTACATGCTATTTTGCAAAATCTCACGAAATTGTCCCGCGTACGGTTGAACTCACAACAAACGAAGGATGGTTTGGTTATTTCACTTCTTCTAACAACGTGGGTCCATGACTATTTTGCACCAGGAAAATTTTCTGTATGATATTGTCTTAATTTATGTGTCTAATTTGGCTATTCACTAATATTATCCTATAAAAAAATCTGGAGTTTTTATTAAGAAAAAAAATATGGAGTTAATAGACGATTCAACTTGTAAGTGTGCCTTGTTTCTTCAAACAACCCAACTAGCTTGAAACAGTGATCTCGGCTTCTCGCCATGTTGAAATCCTCTTCCACACTCGAAAAACTGCTACCACATCAAGTGTTCATTCATTTCCGTGGCCGGGATTTGCGCTATGGATTCGTGAGCCATCTTGAGAAGATCTTGAAAGATCATAAAATTGAGGTCTTTGTCGACAGCGGTGAAGACAGAGGCGAACACCTAGAAATCCTATTGACGAGGATAGAGGAATCGCGAATCGCTCTGGCTATCTTCTCTGAGAATTACACCGAATCAGAATGGTGCTTGAGAGAGCTAGCGAAGATCAAGGATTGTGTGGATCAAAAAAGACTCGTGGCTATTCCCATCTTTTACAAAGTGGAGCCATCCACCGTGAAATTCTTGATGGGAGAGTTCGGTGATGCATTCAGGAAGCTGGCCAAGGGTGATAAGAGGAAGAAAGAGTGGAAAGCAGCTTTGAGAGCGATTCCTGAGTTTATGGGCATCCCGGTGCACGAGAAAAGGTATTGATTTTAATTTGCCCAAATGATTAACAGGTTCTAAATCACCCACAACATGGAGTTTAGTAATAAAGTTTTCAATTTTTCCAAAAAATAATATCCTAAAAACCAATTTAATTATAAACGTTAATGAATTGTTATTTAATTGCAATTTATATTTTTCTTTTACAAATTTGGTAAAGTTTTGTTATAATCGTTAGTAAACATTATGTTAAATTTTAATCGAACTAATCATAAATTTAAACATAGAAAAGTTTGGATTTGAAATTTTAAATTATGTATAATATATATATATATATATATGTTTAGGCTGGCTATATCGAATGTTTCATAATCTAATAATTAGTTTTGTTTGTTTTAGTTAAGATAAGTCGAAATATATATCTAAAAAATAATTTAGTGACAAAAACATATTGTTACATGATATCACGTGACTAAGTTTAACGTAAAACATTCATTAAACTTAGTTACAAACTTACAATTTTGGTAAAATGATTACAACGTAATGGAATTGGTTTCACAATTCTTTTAGAGAAATTGTTAGAAATACACTTTTTCTAACTAGATTTTAACCCGCGGTACACCGCGGGATGATTTATTTTTAAAGTTAGTATAAGAATATTTTGTAAATTGTATCTCCTTATAAAATATTTATTTATATTATAGTTTACAATTGTTATTAAGTAACGGTATACCACGAGTCCACGAGACAATTGTTAATAAACTGAGGATTTAACCCGTATTAAAGCGGCATGTTAATGATATTTATAAATATTGATTCAAATTTGTCCGCCATATAAACCCGTTCCAAAATATAACTCGTTCCGTAATTTCTTAACCCGTCCCGTGATTTATTTTTATTTTAAAATTTAATGATTATTTATTATATATAAAAGCTTACAAATTATATCATTCTCTAAGACATTTATATTTTAATAAACTGAAGATTTAATCTGTATTAAAGCGGCATGTTAATGATATTTTAAATTTTATAAATATTGATTCAAACTCGTCCACCATATAACTTAGTTCCGAAATATAACTCGTCCTGTAACTTCTTAATCCGTCCCGTGATTTGTTTTCTAAAAGTAGTAATTTTTAAAATTTAACGATTATTTATTATATATAAAAGTTTGCAAATTTTATAATTTTTTAAGATATTTATATTTTATAGTTTACAATTGTTATGAAGTAACATTATATCACGGGACAATTTTTGGTTTTATACAATCTTTTCTAAATGAGACTGATTTAATATGTATAATATTGGTGGTATTAAAAAAAATTAAGGATTTAATCCGTATTGAAGCGGCGGATTAATGATATTTTAATCTTTTTATTATTGTTGATTCAAAAACCCGTTCCGCCAAACCCGTCCCGCCAAAAAACTCATTTATTTTATTAGTGTTGATCTTATTTATGATATGATTCTGAATCATTGTCTAAATATTTTAATCGATGTAGAACGTTGAACACACATTTTCGTCAATTGGATAATATATGTCCGTTTATAAAATTTCGAATCACAGTATATGCAGAAAAAAAAATTGAATTTTTTTTTTACTTATGTATTATATGATGATTCAAAACAGTTAAAAACAAATCAAACAAAGATGATAGGAGAATCATAATTCTAAATCTTAATCAAATCTTCTAAATATCTAAATTATTAAATATAGAATATCCGGTGTATGAGTTGGGTTTTATTTAACCTGATCCAAGTATTTTTTTGTGAAGAAATTTAAAAAACGGGTCGGATATCCGATTAACCCAGAAGCATTTTTACCCACCCGTCACCAAAGTGTTGCAAAAATACTAGTATAGATACCCCTTTTCAAAAATACTCTATTTTCTAGCCATTTTTGTTTATGCTCTCTTTCGATTTTAATGACCATTTTACCCTTATTTGAAAATAATAAAATCAACAAAATATATATTTGGCAAAAATACTTACGTAAAACTATATATGTTTGATGATGATGATACGGTTAATATCGAAGACGAAATCTTACGAGTTACCTGACTTTTTAATACTACTTTTATAAAGATGAAACTATGTTATAAACCAAATTTTCTTCATTTAATGCAATATAGCATTACAACATATTTATTTGAGAAAAAGATAATTTTTTCTAACGTAGATTTTTTCATATGCGGTATCATTTACTTTTTTGAAAATCTTTATCTGAACATTCGATATGTGTATTTGCATTATATGAAGTTAAAATTATATTTTTAAAGTTTTAACTATGCGGTTAATAGTACGGTTAACCGTGCGGTTAACTAACGGTTTTGATACGGTTACGGTTAGTATATTTTTTAACCGTAACTAATCTATTTTTACGGTTAACGGTTACGGTTTTTAACCGTTTTATAAGGTTACGGTCCGAAATACGGTTACGGTTAGCTTTTGGTCATGCCTACCTAATAAGTCTAATGAAAAAAATTACGCTTGAAACCGCAATCGCCCACTTCCGCAATCTCCCACAACCGCAGCCGCAACCGCTGCGTTTAAACAAGTCAAGCCCTAAGATGTTGATTGTTTCTTCCATTATCACCCGCAAACGCTATTTGCAGATTGTAGGCATTTGACAACAATTACGGAAATTGTTTCACACCTATAGGATTTCGGGAAGGTTACAATCTTACTAGCTATTTTCATCACTCGTATTGCAGCCCCGAGAGTGAAATACTCAAAACAATTGTGGAGGCGGTTAAGAAACAGCTGAAGTCGGTTAAAACTCCATTGGAGGGAAGCCAAAACGCCTCTGTGGAACCTTCAGAATATAGCGACACTGGAACTTCCTTAGGGGGTGCAAAGGATAAGACTTTTGGAATCGAACAACGCCTAAAGGAATTGGAAGAGAAGCTGGATATTAAGGACACTAGAACTCTTATCACTGGAATTGTTGGGATGCCCGGAATTGGTAAAACTACACTGCTGAAGGAACTCACTGAGAAGTGGAAGGGAAAGTTTTCTAGGCATGCGTTCGTCGATCGAATCCGTGAAAAGTCATATAACTCCGATTTAGAGTGCTTGACCATATCGCTATTTGAAAAGCTACTACCGGAGTTGAATAACCCCCAAGTAGATAGTATAACAAAGGGTGTACTGCGCAAACGCAAAGTTCTTGTCGTTCTTGATGATGTTAGTGAAAGGGAACAAATATATGCTCTTCTTGGGATACATGATCTTCAAAATCAACATGAGTGGATCAGTGATGGCAGCAGGATTTTCATTGCAACAAACGACATGTCCTTATTAGAAGGTCTCGTTCATGACACTTATGTGGTACGGCAATTGAACCACAAAGACGGCATGGATCTTTTTCACCATCATGCCTTTGGTACTAATCAGGCCATTCCTGAAGATCGCGTTAAGCTTTCAGATGAGTTTGTGCATTATGCCAGAGGCCATCCACTAGCTCTCAAAATATTGGGTACAGAGCTTTGTGAGAAAAATATAAAGCTTTGGGAAACAAAACTGAAAATACTCGCTCAAAGTCCCACCACTTATATTGGACAAGTGGTGCAAGTAAGTTATAATGAATTGAGTTCGGAGCAGAAAGATGCATTTCTCGACATAGCATGTTTCAGGTCGCAAGATGTGGATTATGTAGAAAGTTTACTGGCTTCGTCTGACACCAAATCTGCTGAAGCAATAAAAGCTCTCACGAATAAGTTCCTTATCAATACTTGCGACGGCCGAGTGGAGATGCATGATCTACTGTACACATTTTCTAGGGAACTTGATCCTAAAGCATCCACTCAAGGTGGTAGCAAACAACGGAGATTGTGGCGCCATGAAGACATAGTCAAGGAACGCACAGTTAATCTATTGCAGAACAGAATTGTGAGAGTAGAAGAAGTTCCTCTAGATTTTTATTGATCAAAGCTTACATTGTTTTCCTCTTTGCTAATATTGCTCTGGTTATTGTTATATATATTATTCCCAGGCAGCTGCCAATGTCAGAGGTGTCTTCCTAGATTTGTCTGAAGTGCAGGACGAAATCAGCTTAGACCGTGAACATTTGAAAAAAATGCGCAATCTCCGGTATCTCAAGTTCTACAATTCTCATTGTCATCAGGAATGTAAAACCAACGCTAAGATTAACATTCCCGATGAACTTGAGCTACCATTGAAAGAGGTCCGATGCTTCCACTGGCTAAAATTCCCATTAAAAGAAGTTCCAAACGATTTCAACCCGATTAATCTCGTCGACCTTAAGCTGCCCTACAGCAAGATTGAAAGACTTTGGGATGGTGTTAAGGTGTGTTTCTACAGTTTTATAGCCTTTTGCGTTAACCTGTTTAGTTTTTTCTGACTGGCCGCTAAATACATGTTTTGCTGTCACAGGATACACCAGTCTTAAAGTGGGTCGATCTCAATCACTCAAGTCTGTTGAGCAGCTTGTCAGGATTATCTAAGGCTCCAAATCTTCAAGGACTGAACCTTGAAGGGTGCACAAGTCTTGAATCTCTTGGAGATGTGGATTCGAAATCACTGAAAACTCTCACCCTCAGCGGCTGCTCAACCTTCAAGGAATTTCCGTTGATTCCAGAAAATCTAGAAGCTTTACATTTAGACAGAACAGCAATAAGTCAACTTCCTGACAACATAGTGAACCTCCAGAAACTTGTCTTACTAACTATGAAGGACTGCAAAATGCTGGAGAATATCCCGACCGAGGTTGATGAGCTGACAGCTCTTCAAAAACTGGTACTCTCTGGTTGCTTAAAGCTCAAGGAATTTCCAGCAATCAACAAGAGCCCTTTAAAGATTTTATTTCTGGATGGGACATCCATCAAAACGGTGCCGCAGTTACCCTCAGTGCAGTATTTATACTTAAGCAGAAATGATGAGATCAGCTACCTTCCAGCTGGCATCAATCAACTATTTCAGTTAACATGGCTGGATTTGAAGTATTGTAAGAGTCTTAGATCTATTCCAGAGTTGCCACCAAATCTTCACTACTTAGATGCACACGGCTGTAGCTCATTGAAGACTGTTGCCAAACCGCTGGCCCGTATATTGCCGACCGTGCAAAACCATTGCAGTTTCAATTTTACCAACTGTTGTAAGCTGGAGCAAGCTGCAAAGGATGAAATCACATTGTATGCTCAAAGGAAATGTCAGTTGCTGTCATATGCTCGTAAACACTACAATGGGGTATGTTTCTCTCTATATCTATATATTTCTAGGAAACTCCACAATTTATGATTTTTCTTATTTATAATTTTGCAGGGTCTTAGTTCAGAGGCTTTGTTCAGCACTTGCTTTCCTGGATGTGAGGTGCCTTCTTGGTTTTGTCATGAAGCGGTTGGATCTCTGTTAGGACGCAAACTCCCCCCACATTGGCATGAAAAGAAGCTTTCTGGAATATCTCTCTGTGCTGTAGTCTCATTTCTTGACGGCCACGAACAAATCAGCAGCTTCTCGGTGACATGCACCTTTAATATAAAAGCTGAAGACAAATCTTGGATCCCCTTTACTTGCCCGGTAGGAAGTTGGACGGGAGACGAAAAAGAAAAGATTGAGTCAGATCATGTTTTTATAGCCTACATTACTTGCCCGCATACGATAAGGTGTCTTGAAGACGAGAACTCTAACAAATGCAATTTTACTGAAGCCTCCCTTGAGTTTACTGTGACAGGTGGTACAGGTGTGATAGGAAAATTCAAGGTGTTGAGGTGCGGTTTGAGTTTGGTGTATGAAAAAGATAAAAACAAAAACAGTTCTAATGAGGTAAAGTTTGACTTGCCTGTTGAAGAACATCAATACGGCATGATGGAGGATGAGAGAAAAATAGAACAAGTTACGATGGTCCATGAAAGAAGAAGACGAACTTTATCAAAACAAAAAACAGCGTAACTACAAGGCGGGATGAATAATACGTTTCAGGTGAACCACATTCTTACAAAAAAAAACTCCTAGTAGTTGTTATAAAGAAGATTGTTCCTTAGTATGTGTATCGTTACAGATGTCATTGGTGGAGAAAAATCCTCCTGGAGCAGTTGGTGTTCTTTTTGCTTGTAAAGCTACAGCATCTGCTTCCTACAAAAGCCCATCTTTTACCATCAAGCCAAAGGATTTGGCAGAGTGATTTTTGTTTATAAAACCTTCTTTTTACCATCATTTTATTTTATTTTGAATTCAGACTTCACAGTTCTGTCAAGTTACGGAGCAGAAAGGTAATCTCTTATTTCAGGTCCTGTTATGACTCTGGTATCATTTTAAGCTCTGTGTGTAAGACTTTTTTTATAAGGTTGGTGACGAATTTTGTTTTCCTAATTCTATCTCACATTACTAAAATCCATCATAGCCAAACTCGTCTTTCTAATAAATTTTGATTTAAATAAAATTTTCAAAAGAATTGTAAGTGATCAAAACTACTTATGTTTTTCTTCATTTGATTCGTTCATGCGAGAATGGTGAATATCAAAATTAAAAATTCCAATTCAGAAACATTACAATGCACAAAGACAACAAAGTGTTTAGACTCGAACCAAAACATAACCGGAATCATCCAACCGTTCTTGCACAGCAAGAAGCCGGTTTACATAGACCAACATCCTCCAATAAAACTAACAAAGATGGAGCTTAACTTTTAGCAGAGTTCGTTGTTATTCTTCACCACCTAAACCAAACATTACAACAAACGCAACTGAATACAGATTTTTATCAACAGAAAATTACCTCTTCACTCCCATGGCATAATCATCCAATGTTCTTGGCATTAATTACTTTGATTTTTGCAGGACGGATTTCAATCCCTAGAATGATCAAGCCACGCTTCCAATTGAGCAACTTAGTCTCTAAAGCACTTATCTCAATCTCATCACTATACATTTCTCCTTCAGTGATGAATTCCCCAAGTTCAATCTCCATCCATCCATCTCGTCTCTTCTCTGGTTTCACTCGGTTACTAATTCCCTTCTCTCCCCTAAAAAACCGCTCATCAAAGCATATGGATCTTCTAGAAGGTTCCTCTCCCACCACTCCAACGGCAGCTTCTATGGCCACATCCTCAAAGCCAGAACAGTCATCCTCTTTCTTGAACACAATGTAAGCCGAGTAACGAGTTTCTGGAGATAGGACACAAGTATTCACTCTGCCACAAATCTTGAACCAACATACGCTGACAAGCTCCGCTACTCTTCCAAACCTGCATAATACAGGGCAACATTTGAGTATGGGGACATTTTTTCAAGGAGTCATTACAACAGCATTAATGCAAAGATAATGGAAAAGGGTACCTAGCTTCAGGAATTCGAATCCAATGCCAATGCGCAATATTTTCTCCCCATATGATACTGAGGTTTTCCGCTAATAACATGATACAATTCTTCCCATTCGCTTTATCTAACCAGAAGCTCTTGGTTTTCGGAAAAAAAAAAAAAAAAACAAATAATCATGAATAGCAACGAGTTAGAAACTTCAAAGTTATACCAAATTTTGCACAAAATAGCAGAGATTTTCTGATTCAAGCTTGTTTTGTAGCCATAATTCTATTATTATTCTCAAATCATATAAACAAAGTGCAAAACCGATGAATAGATATGCATATATATACCATTTTTCCATTATCGATTAGAACCGGATCTCCGCAAAGAGCGAAATAGAGCTCCTTCTTCAATGAGAAATCCCGCGATCCAGGAACCAGAGATTCAAAATCAAGCGGAAGAAATTTCTCCCATACGGTATCTGACTTGGCCGCCGCTTCGAAGAGTCTCGAAACCGAAGCGACTACGCACGCGTCTAGAGGACTGGTGAAAGATATTATGTTGGAGATGCAGTCCTCAGGCAAGGAATTGAACGATGCGACCTTCTTTCCTCCGTCTTCGCCGTTAGTTTGCCACATTGCTGGGCTTGTTAAAGGAAACTGAACAAAAGCTTTTTATCAAAATGTTTGTTATTCAAACCAAGATTGCTTTTATAAAGCCTCAAACAGTTTATCTAAGATAAAAAAGAAAAACAATGAACAGTAAAACAAACACTAACGTATATGGCTTATTCAATCCCCCTATAAACTTCTTTGAAAAGTTCGTAGAGTTCATACTATACTGAGTCAACATCAAAACCCTACACTTGTTTGTATCCATTATCACTTTATCCTTCCGCGTCTTCCGGTCTTCGTCCAGTAGCTATGATAGTCTGAAGACTTCGTCTTACATAAAGTCGTTTGTTTACAAAACTACCCCTTGTTCACACCTTCTTAACGCGTCGTCTTGGAACAATACTAATTACAGTCCTGGGCCTTGGGCTTAGCTTTTCAAATCTAGTGACATATCTTCGTTGAAATAAACAATATTCTCCCATTATTTCCTAAATATTCTCAGTGGATTTTCACGGAGTATGCTAGGCCTGGACAAATAAACCGAGTCAAATGTACCAAACCGAAACCGAAGCAAAACTAATCGAATCGAATCAAACCGAAATTTTGAACATAACCGTATGAATATTAAATTTTATAACCAAAATAACCGTAACCGAATCAGTATCGAACCAAAATATTTCGGATAACCGAAAATACCCGAAATACAATTATAGACCAAATAATTAAAAATACTTGAAAAATATATAAAAATAGTAAAAATACAAAAAAATAACCGAGAGTATCCAAAAATATCTGAAAATATACTCAAAAATAACTGAAATATCCGAAGTAAAATAAAAGAATGGATACTAAATTTTAAAACCGAAAGAACCGGAACCGAACCGAACCGAAATTTCAAAATATCCGAATGGTTACTAAATTTTAGAACCAAAATAACCGAAACCGAATGGACCTAACCAATAACCGATCGGATAACCGAACGCCCAGGCCTAGAGTATGCAATGAAGTTGAAAAAGCTTGATGTTTTCTTCCCATGATCAAATTCTCATGAGTTCTTATTGTCAAAAACAAATTTATCATAATCTCCAATAATTTACATAATCCTCTACTCTTAATAAAAATACACAACCCTATTTTGCCGATATAGAAGATTTATAATATTTTTACTTTAACTAGATGTTAACCCGCGGTACACCGCGGACCTAAATATTATTTAATTTTTTTTAATTATTAATTTAAATATTTTATTTGACATATTTGAATTTTTTTGTTAAAGAAAATTTTTTATTTTTATTTTAAGACTTTTGTTTTACATATATTCTACTGTGTTTTGATTTAAATCTTATTGTTTTTATTCCAAGGTAATCTCTAGTATAATCTGTATTAGTAATTTTGATTTTTCATGGATGCTGGATTACGTATAATCTTGATATTGAAATAGACTAATCTATTGATTCTGTAATCCTATTTCGATTTCAAATACTAATTGCTAATGTTCTAGCATACAAAGTTAACACTTTTCTTTACCGTCTCTCATGTTATTCACTAATCATCGTTTAATTTTGAGAAGTGTGTTCGTCATTGGTTTCAGAATTAAACTTCCCACAATTCATGAAATAATCATGTTTTTTTTTAGATTCAATAATCATCTCTCTTATAGAAGTTGTAGCTACTTTACAGAAATGTTGTAACATATATATTCATGTGTCTTTATTTTACAAAAGTTAAACAATCTAATTGATTTATCAACTAATCATTTCATATCAGATTATCTATAGAAGATAAAAGGATTCAAGCTTTACACAACAATAATCTTATTTCCTTCTTTGAGCGGCTGTTTAGGTAAAGCTCACTATTTTCTATCATCTCTGTCTATTTTTCTGCTCTTCCTTAACTCTCCTCTTATCTTCTCTTGAATGCCTTCACTTATCCACTTGATGTTGCATTCTTCTTTCCCCAGACTCGAGCCCTTCTTCCACTGGTTCTAGCCTTCTTCTTCATGAATACCAGAGGAACCCTCAGCTTATCAGTCTCGTTGACCAACACAAAGATAAGAAATTGTTTTCTTTATAACATGTACCTTAAAAGATTCTTAATCTATGTAACTAACATTTGTTTTGCTTCATAGATGAAGCTTAATTTTTTATTATGTAAGTGGAAGTAAATGATTAGTGAAGAGTCGTGTCATCTGTCCTCACAAGCAATAGAGACAAAGGTTAGTAACAAAGTTTCATTTCCAAGAGTTGTAGTAATATAGTTTTGAGTGTTGCTTAATGAAATAACTCAGATTTAGTGTTTTTTTTTTGTCTCCTGACATGTGGTTTGGATATACAAAAGTATAGTGTAAATCATTACCTTTACTAATAAATCTGATAATACATAGAAAAATAGTGTTACCACATCTCCTAAAGGTTAGTTGTGATGGAATTCTAAACTTTGATTTGGTATTGTTTTCAACATTGCCTTGAGAATGAGTAACCTACAGGGAGAAAATGGAACATGTTTTACTACGATACTAGGGGAGGATCCGGACTACGCCCGGAAATATATTTAAAAGCTAATTTTTAAAAATTAGTTTACTTAATTAAGTTTAATTCATTTTTAGTTTTGTTATTATACATGCAGAAAAAAAACAAATTACACGGCATTTTAATATTTTTTTGGATAATTTTAATTGTTTAAATTTATAAATCTATATTTTTCATTCTAATTTATATTTATGAACTGAGATTTATTATTATTTTCATAAACATTTTACACTGTAATTAATCTTCTTCTTTAAAATGATGATGTCTTAATTTCTTCTTGATGATGTAATGAGTTTTCAATGTCTATATCTTAATTTTTTTAGATGCTCACACTTACCTGATTTGAACAGTTTCTACTTGTAACACCGTCGTCTGTAAGAAGTAGTGATATCAATTGCGTGACCATCCACATTCTTTGTCCCTTGATGCAACAGTTTATGCTGCTCACCATGGCTACTTCATTCTACCTCTTAGGAACAATTTTTTACTACCTATCTTTTGCTCCACTTTCAAAAAAAGCGTGTCTAAATAGGATCAATTGCAAATGCAACATCAAGAAAGGAGGGAGTTAAGCTGAGAAATTACCATAAAGTTATAATGTTTGTCAGGAGCCAGTATTTCTATCTACAATTTAGATACCAAAAACTATTTTAAGGTCTAATGTAGACATGTATGTTAAATATATAAAATCAAAACCTGCATAATGATTTATAGAAGTAGGATGAGACAGGCGACTCATAGAAAATAAGACAATGAATATTAAATACAACAGAGAGTTCATAATTTTATTCTCGTCTAAGTTCATCACCTAATCAAAGTGTTATTACGATACGAAGTAAGAGAGCTTGAAGACGAAGAACTATGCAAGTAGAAGCCTATCTTCTCGATATGATACTCTATAAATCATATTATCACAGACTGGTTACTTTTCTATATTCTCTCAGTTGATCACTAATTCTAGTGCACTCTCAGTCGCTCTTTGCCTAACGTACTTAACGTCTCTCTGAGACTAAGGTTGAACTGAATAACACTCTTGATTTTCTTCCTCTTTGAATTGGTAGAATGGCAGGTCCAATTTTCTAACCAAGGCATGTGCATTAGATCACTATGAGGACACAAACATGTCTTGAAAAATCTACTTAATTTATGTTGGGAGTTTATTTGGAACATAATTTTAATTCTAATAGAAAATTAGGTATGAAGCCAAACTGAAATTAGAAACGAAGATATCAAACTCCCAAGTCCTAAGGGTAAAAATAAAAATAGAGAGATTTCATATAGAGGATTAGAAAAATGTAAACCTTGGGTTGAGATATGGAGACGATATTTGGCCGACCAAGAGCCGTAAACCCACGTCGTCGGTATCATCACCTTCTTTAGTTTTCCATATCATCTCACAGTCGGACAAACGTCAATTACATCACGGCTTTGACACTGTTTTCTCGTCCTCTTTTTTTTTTGGAAAATGGCTTAGGTTTCTCTACGCCATCACTCGTTCCATCTCTAAAATCATGCGCAAATGAGACGGAAAATAAGAAATTACTTGAGATTTGGATCACAGACTTGTGCTGCTTTACAAATACCGAACTAACGGAGTGAGATTTTTAGGACGGCCAGAGATGGAAATGTGCTGTGGTGAAATTGATAGTATAGAGAGTGATGAACGTTTTGACCAAAAAAAAAAAAAAGAGAGTGATGAACGCAGATAGAAGACAAAAGAGTTGAACTTGGGAATGCGAAAAATTAATGCAAAGGAGCTGAATAATTTTTAGATTTTTGTATTTTTCTGGCTTAACGTTTTCTCTTCTCGTAACAAACCATTAATGAGGTGACTATCATTCTTCTCCTCGTGACAATTCTCTAACAAATCTGACGTGGCATCTTTTTAGATGTTTTTGGTTTTGCTGATGTGGACACATCAAGAGGCCTCAATGAGTTACTTTTATTAGTAATAGATGTACTTGTGTAAAACATAATTGAAAAAAAGAAAGTAACAATGGTAAAGTGAACGTACCTTTAAAGAATAAGCTGTGTTAAATCTTTCTCTTAATTCATGTGTTTGCTGGGTTTTTTAGATTGTTGCTTTTGTGTGTGATGATGTTATGAGACGTGAAACATAAGAGTATTTATAGACTCATAAGTTAGGTAAAAAAATTCCTTGATCGGAAAGCATAAAATATTCGATACCTTAGCTAATTGGAATAAAATCTCAGCTATAGTTTTGTATTTAGGAATATGCTGTGAATATGTATTTTGTGTCATAAATTTGTTTCTAAAAAATTGATTTCTTGCAGATTTTGAGAGAAAATATCTCAGATAAGGTATGTGGGAGTAATTAGTTTGGATGACATCTAACAGTTGGGATTTTTTAAAGAAAGCGTATTGAATTTGGGCAGGATTTTAGGCAACGATTAGTTCATCGCAATATCTTTTCTGAAGATATTTTTGGCAACGATATTTGTAATATCTTGGATTTAATGTCGTTTTTATTACAACATTCCTAAAATTACTTATCCAAGATCCGGATAGAGTTAAACCCGGGTAAAACCCGGATCCAAATGAATTAATGCAAAAAAACCCTGTAAAAATGTATATGTAGATTGAATAGTAAAAAAAAAATTCAACTCATCATCCCACAGCCTCGACCCAACAATATCTGCTTCCTCCAAAAGCCCATCAAGCCAAAGGATTTGGTAGAGTGATTTTTCTTTACAAAAGCTTATCTTGTAAGGTTTTACCATCATGCTATTTTATTTTGAATTCAGAGTCCACAGGACGATCTGTCAAGTTACAAAGCAGAAAGGTAATCTCTTATTAGAGACCTTAAATTGCTGTTTTTTGGTTCAACTTAATTTCAGCGTCCTGTGTGATATCTTGTGGTTGTCTCTGGTGTTTTCAAGCTCTGTGTAAGACTGTTTTTATGGCTGAGTGATGAATTTGTTTTAATTTTTTGTTCAAAATTCTCTCTCACATTGACAATCCGAACTGGGTATCTTTTTAGCACCGGGATTATTCTAAGCTGGCCGTAAGCACAAACTGGTGAAGCATGTGCTTGCGGCCCGAAAATATATGTCTTTATTGGTCTTCAATTGTGTAAAAGTCTTGTTAGTCTAGTGGTAAAAAGATATTAAAATGATATCGAGTTCGATCCATTGTCTCAACAATTTTATCTGTTTGCATAAAAGTCTCATTATTCTACGGGTGAGGCGTACAAAAATGATATCAAGTTCCATCCAATGTCTCAACAGTTTTTATCTGTTTTGATATTTTTCCTTAGTTCACAAAATAATTCGGGCCTAACATTAATTTTAGTTGTGGTTCTTAGAGAAAAAAAAATTAATTTTAAAAAGAAATTAAATAAACAATTTTAATTTTAGAAAACAATAATTGTTGCTAATAAAAAAATTTGAAACATACATGACATACTATTTATAACATACATGACCTAAAACTTAATAATTTAAAACTTAATTTCCGCCAAATTTTGTCCATATATGCTCGACCAAATCCGCTTTCAATTGTTCATGCATAGCTCGGTCACGAAGTCGAGTTCTAGTAGCCGTCATAATTACAAGATTTGAAGGCATATATGTAGAATAGGTGAAATCCATCTGTGAACTTCCGGCAGATTCCTCTTGTTCGAATTCGGTTACATCAAACTAAGTATACCCATCTCGTTCGCTTCTACTATCATATTGTGAAGTATTATACATGCTCGCTTAATATTTCCTACTTTTACCTTATCCCAAATAAGAACCGAATTTTTGACAATGGCAAATCGAGCTTGCAAAACTCCAAAAACATGGTCGACATCTTTACGGGTCGAATTTTTTGGGTCGGTTCCGGTTCGGGTACTCGATTTCTGTTTTTTTGCCCAACCCTAACATCGATAATGATAGAATCAACCATAACTAAAGATACAAAAATCCTAATTCTCAATTTTTGTCACTTAAATATCTCAATCTTATTTATGAATTAAGTTATCATCCTTCTAATCAAATCATCAGCAAGTTATCATGGATTCCAAAGACATTCTCAAAAAGAAGAATGTCTTAATTTTATTTAATTTTAATTCTATATTAACTAAGAACCTCCAATTGGAGATGGTCTTAATTACCAGTGTCTCGAACTTGAAGTTGCCAAATCGTTTATTTGCTAATTGTGGGTTTTCTCTACATACAACATTTTATTCAGATACCAAAAAAAACTTTATTCAGATACCAAAAAAAATTTGAACAGTTGATCAAAAAAAACTTTGAACAGTTCATCTAACTCCCTTAGCCTCACTGCTTTGGTTGAGTAGATGGACCGAATTCTAGTTATGGTTTATGCTTCCATGTTTTTACTTTTTTTGCCATGGGACCATTTATATAGGTCTATAATCATCGATTGTAAACCTAAACCGTTTTCATTTCTATGACATATTTACATTCTTAGCAAAAAAAAAAAAACTACACATATAACAGTTTCATGTCTAATTATGTTTGATTTAAACATCCCATTTTGAAGTGTAGACAAAAGATGAAAAGTGAAGTTGTTGTATTCGCATGCCTTAATTCATCACGATTCACGGCCTTGTCAAAACGTCACTTTAGCATGCTAGCGTGCATATAGCCAGTTAGTAACCTGATCTGCGGCATATGAGCTTTTGAGCTATCAGCTATGTGGCCGCAGCCAAAATAAAATGGGCACAATTTTCCGTGTCAATTAATGATATGAGTCATTACAACCAAAATGACATCTCTTTTTCTTTTGAAAATAATGTTAAATTCTATTAAAAAAAAAAAGAAGGTTTTTACAATTAGTGCAACGAGAGTTTGAAAGGTTTTAATCTGAAAACAGAATTTGAAACCATTTTACAATTAGTACAATTGTACATACCTAGATTAGGAATATGATACCATTTTCAGAAGTGAGGATAATGTGGCGCGCCTATATATGCAAAGATAATTATCACAAAGAATCGAAATAGAGCTTCTTCTTGGATGAGAAATCCCGCAATCCAGGAATTAGAGATGCATACTCTGGTCGCAGAAACTTCTCCCATGCAATATCTGACATTATTGGGAGAACCGGAGATCGACCAAGATTGACGGTCAAGATGATCACCCAAGATTATGGAAATCATAAAGATCGAGAAGGATCTAGAAGATATCATATATTAAGTTTAGGAAGTTTAAGATTATCTCTAAATATATTATTTACATTTAAATACCATGATAAATTGATGAGAGTAAAGAACACAAAAGTGTTTAGAAAGAATTATAATTGACTCTCATAAGAATAAAGTTATAAATTACATTCGCTTATATAGAAGTAGGGGTGTCAAAATGGATTGAAATTAATGGATCAATCCAAACCAATCCAATCCATGGATCTAATGAATGAGAAATTTGGATTTTAATGGATTAATGGATTAAATGGATTAATGAGTTTAATGAATTAGATTGAAATGGTTTGGATTATTATGGATTAGTGGATTACTCAAAACCAAACCAATAGAAAGTAAACATTCTAAATCAAATATGTAAACCGAATAAAATGTCTAAACCGGTTTAGTAAACCGCAGAAAAACCTAAATGAAGCTCGATCTCTCTTCCTCAACCTCACAACTCTCACCATCATCGATCTCTCTTCCTCAGCCTCCCAAATCCCAACTCTCACCACCATCGATCTCTCACCACCATCAATCTCTCTCACCATCGAACTCTCTCACTATCGAACTCGCTCGCTATCTCTCTTCGAAGCTTTTATTCTTAAGGGTCTCGTTCTTCTCTCTTACCGATCAAGTCTCCGGCCGACGAAGTGATCCAGCGAAAGGTTCTCAAAGTCAGGCGCGTATCAGACTCATAGGACCTCTTCCCTTAATTCATTTCTATTGTTTCATTCGTGCAAGCAAAACCAGAGAGTAAGTGTTTTGTTTGATTTAAACTATCGTTGATTGCCTTGTCTAACCCTTCTTGTGCAAGTGTTTTTTTTTATATTATGTACATATATACTGGTCACTTTAACATGAGCCTTCTAGCTTGTTGATCGTGGAAAAACATCTATTTCATTAATTAGTGCTCTGTATGTTTATATTTTGCATTATACGTTTGTCATTGTTCATTGAGTTTCTCAAATTTAAGAGTTTGTTTGTTAATAATGTATAGAGAGTTGCGCATTTTTTAAACATGGTGGATTCAGAGGCTAGACAAGAACATGAAGTCTGTTTCTAATTTGTAAATAATATAGTTAGAGGTAATCTTAAACTTCCTAAACTTAAGATATGATAACTTCTAGATCCTTCACGATCTTCATGATTTCCATCATCTTGGGCGATCATCTCCACCGTCGATCTTGGTCGATCTCCGGTTCTCCCAATACCCCGGCAAGTTCATACGTAGTAACACGTGTGAGATTGGACAAGTCTTCAGAATAGCGGCTTTTATACCCGGCCGTCAGGTCATCATCGACGTTTATACGTAGGATTCAAAGCAGCTACAATACCCAACCGTTTGGTCATCGACGTTTATACCCTATCGTAAGGTTCAAGTAATAGAAAATAACACTCGCGGTTGCGAGGTTCGGATGTAGCTCGCGTGATTGCGAGATCTGGAAGTACCTCGCCTGATTGTGAGATCGAAAAACAACTCACAAGTGCGAGAAGTTTAATCAAAGATACTAAGGAGCGAGAAAACATCATCATCGCCGAAGATTGAACGAAAACATCAATAAGTTCATGTTCATAAACCAATATCTTAGTCTTCAAGAAACTAGCCAACTTTGCTAGCCAAATAGAAAATCAACATGGTCAATCAATGACCGGACCATCAAACGTAATCCTTTCTTCGAATTACGTCCTTCTTCTTTTTCTTATTCCTTCTTTCTTTCTTCTTCTTTTTTTTTTTTTTTTTTTTTTTTTTTCTTTTTTGAAGTAAACAATGATGGAATCTCCTAAAAACCCCAACAAGCCAAGACTTGTATAATTGCATCCGTGAGTCTCAAGACTTTCTAGAAAATTGACGAAAATAGGCCTTGTTTGCAATTATTTCACGCGCGGTAACAATTACCCCTGGCTTGGGTGGGCTTGCGGCTTAAGCCAAGCTGTTTAGATCCATTGGAATAAACAGTATTATGCTCGTTTTACCCTTGGAGTCAAGGCTGGCCCGGAACATAAGCAAGATAATAAGCTCTTGATTTGAGCCCAAAATTTTATGGGTCACTGAAAATAAGAAATTTTCTTTTTAATTCTTTTTTTTCTGGCTGAAAATGTTATTAAAATGTTGAGATTTGAGCATAAATATTTTGTTTTATTTTGTTTTGATGATTTATATTTTTCTTTGCAGTTACTATTGCTCGTCTCATATTTCCTTTGTTTATAAATTTATATCATTAAAAATTTTCATTTTGTCTAGGCCTTCAATAACGTGGCACCATCTCTGCTTAGGGTCATGGATCCTCTCTATATCTACTTTCACAGAGTATGCAATGAAGTTGAAAAGCTTGATGCTTGCTTCCAAACTTTGGATTAGAAACTGCGTGTTAAGCACTTCATTCTCGACTCTTCCCTATCTTCTTCAAACCGAGGATTTCATCCAGTTGAGTGCATGGTCTATCCGTGAGCCGCTGTCTGCCTCGTCTTCGTTTAGCTTATTCATGACAAAAATTAATATGTCCAGTCTGATGCCAAGAACATAAGGAGAGATGCTAGACCCAGAGCTATTCCAACTAAGAACAAAATGTAGGTGACCACGATATAAGTTCCATGAAACTCATGGCTCTTCTTTGGTTTATAGAAATATGCTGAATGCTGACAGAAAAGATGGATCCCAAGGCTATGGATCAAAGTAAAAATAGGTAATTATTATACATATAAACATTGGGTTACAACATCACATTTCCATGTTTTTAAACCTCTATTTTTGGTTTTTGCTTTCCACACATTTTCACTAGAAACCCTAAAAAAACAGGGTTCTAGAAATCAAATTTCATTTTGTATTTTGATTTTTATTTTGATCCAATCAATGATTTTTGGACTGAAAAAAAAAAAGAAAAAAAAAACACGAACTAAACTTGATTTAAACCAAGTTTAGTACACATGCTCTTGGAAATTCAGAAGCTATGTGTTAATTCCAAAGTTGTGGTGGTACTTGGTTGTTTTACCAATTTAGAGTACTGTGTTGTTTCAGATCTTATTTCTCTTATACCAGTGCCTTCAAGATTCAATTCTCTTATGGTCCGTACAACATCTGGGAAACGTTTGATCCCATTGCAACCAGAAAGATTAAAAACTTGGAGATGTTCTAGCTTATCAGTACTTGGTATGCTCTCCAAGCTTGTGCAATCTTGAAGATCGATTTTCTCAAGGTGACATGCTTCCGAAATTTCATCAACTTCAACTAGTGTCACTAAATGCCCAAGCTTGATTCTCTTTAACATCGAGAAACTCTGAAAAAATGAAAAACATGGAAAGATGAATCATTTGAAATTACTTAATGCAATATTTATGAAAATTTATGTGATAATTTATAGTAGTTAGTTTATAGTAGCAATCTTAGTAAATGACAATCGCGATAATTAGTTATCGAAAATGTCATTGTAGGATATTTTTCTAGATGGTATTCCTATGTACACTTATAAACGTTCATTCGATTCTCTTATCTTTTTGATGTGAGGTTTCTAATATTCTTGGACGCAATCAATGCACTATCTCTAAAATGGTGACTTTCCCTTACCTTATAATATCCTCCAAATCCCCAAAGTTTAAGTTTGTGAAATTGACAAGCAAATCCTTGGTATATAACCGGCGGCTTTCTGTGAAAGTGTTGGGGCAAGGATTGCACTGCATGGTCATGATCCATACAGGAATTCCTTAGATCACTAGGTACAGACTCAGGGACGCAACTCTTATGGTCGAATTCCGGGAGGTTCTGAGCATCAGATAGGTATATGTGAGATGCACGCATGATAGACTCCTTCTGATTAGTATCTCTTTTGTCCTGAAAACAAACCAAAATATTAGGAAAAAATTGTCAATGATTAGGAAATTCGCGAAATCTATGTATATATATATATATGAACATGTGACATACCAAAACGGCATGTTCATAGTCATTTCCACAGGAGATCAAGCAAAAAGATCTGTTCTTCGAAGTGTTAATACATACGTCGATGATGTGCACCGGGCCTTCAAATCGTGTTTGACGGTCCTGGGCATCATGGCAGATCTTGAGCAAAGCCGACTCCATTTCAGTCATTTTCTTGCCCTTGAGCTCCTCGGCATATGAGATGAGAGTAGACGGGTTGCCATCAGAACTTTTAATCACTCTCATTGAAAGATCTAGAAGATTCTGCTCTACCACTCCACTCCCAAAGGCACATCTTGTCAATAGCTTCAGAGCATTTTCATCACTTAGACCTTTAAGCTCATAAATCTCATTCATCTGGCACTTCTCAAGAACTGATTTATCTCTTGAGGTTATGATGATCAAGCTCCCTGGTGCAAACTGATCAACTACTCCAAGAAAAGACATAGCGTCTTGAGCATCTCGTACATCATCTAGAACAACAAGAACCCTTTTTCGACGATGGCATGGCTCGGAACCAGAGTTGTTAAGGTCAAACTCTTCCATTGGAGTCAGACAAAATAAATCACTGGGCAAAGGCTCAAGTCTCTTCTCACTATGTTTTGTGTGGAAATCTTTGACGAAGTAAGTAGCATCATACCCTCCACCCATTCGTCGAAAGATTGCTTTAGCCAGTATAGTCTTGCCAATGCCAGGCTTGCCGAAAATGCCTATAGTGCGAAGGCCCCATGGTTGCTTGCATAGCAAGTTTTCTATATCCAATTGCCGGCTGTGGATCCCAATCTCTTCCGTAGGGTTAAGTATCTCAAATATTGCTTCCGAGATCTCCTCCACAACTTCGGATTCTTCGCTGAAATTAAAGAAGAAGTTATGTTAATGTTATTAGTCCATGTATTTCAGAATTTACATATACTTCAACTTTTCTTTTGCATGGTTTTTGGGAAAATCTTATAAAAACCTTCAAAGTGGCCACCAATTTGACTTTAAACCTCTAAAGTTTTGAACTTTTACAACCACTTTGACTTTAAACCTCTAAAGTTTTGAACTTTTACAATAAACCATCAAAGCGATAACTTTGCTAGGCCACTTTGTGGTTTATTGTTGACACAAACTGTGCAATGCATAGTTTTTTGTTGGCTTTTAAATATAAGTTTTTTGTGTCATAAATCCGGTGTTATTATTGGTTTCAAGCATGTACAACCCCAAATTGCCGCACATAGTGTTTACCGATCCATATCAAACCCTAAGCGAATTTCTCAAAATCTTTAATAAAATACAGAGTTCTAAATTCATTATGAAATAATATAGGCGAGGGGCTAGTGGCCTCTCATCTCTTATATTTTATGTTTTGTTCGAACGTCCCATCGTGACATTTATACAACAATAAGATTTCTATAAATATTTTTTAATCGAAGAGTATTCTTTTTATAGCAATAATCGAAAGAGTTATGAGCCAAATCTATACGTTTTTATGTTGGACAACAATTGTTTCCCTTCTAAGCAAAAGTCAAATTAGGAGTTAAAAGGAATTTCAGTAAAGTTTTTGTATTGACATACCTGAATTCCTCATCATACTCATGGCCTTTTAGTTCTGCTATTTTCGCAAGCGCCCATCGCAACCTAGTCACCTTATCTGCAGGATATGACCTTTCGAGCTCTGTGAACGCATCACTAAACGGCCCCGATTGTTGCCTCACGTCTGATCGACTTACACCATAGAACACCGGAACCACCTCATAGCTCTTCTTGTCACAGCAGGATAATTCAAGGTGCTTCGTGAGGTTCTCTAGGCATGACACGGAAGATGCGTAGTCTCTAGAGAAAATCACTAAACAAATTCCGGAAAACAACTTGATTCCTCTGCAATTAAAAGCCGTGATGAGGTGGCTGATGAAGGAAGACACTGATGAGTCATTTTTGTTGTAGATTATGTTGTCGGATTGCTTGGTTTCTTCGTTTTTATCCATGTTTGATTTATTGGAGCCTCACAACCAATATCCATGTTTTCTATGTATATATATATATATATATATGAAAGCTACCTTGAGTATATGGTAAGCAAATAATCACAAGGCAGCTTCGTCGAAATTTATGACAAAATCATTTAAAGTAGATATGTATATTATTGCTTATTAGAAATTGTAAACGCATGAGACGTGCGATCAATTCCAGTTGACCAGTTCTGTTTGGTTAATTCTGATTCAATCGGTTATGTTTGGTTAATTCATTGAGAGAATCGAAGAACCGAAATTATACCTGTTATATATTATAAAAAAAATTATATCTGTTGTTTTAGTGTTCAGCTACGGTAAAGGTACAGTAAAATAGTAGCGTATGTAGTCCAACGATTAAATTAGGATAACTACCTATCAAGCATTAGCCTTGATTCCACTCCCTACCGAGGCATTTTATCAAAAAAAATAATAATGGTATAACAGAGCAAAAAAATACATCATTGTTGCCTCAACATATAATTAAGAAATGTATTAGCCTTTTTAATTATTATGTTCATATATATTTTTGAACGAACCTTTGAGCGGTATTCGCCCGACCCGACGAGATTTATTTTTTGTTTTTTGTTTTCCGTTTTGCTCTCCGGTTTCTGGCAAGTCTAGATGGAAATGGAACTGCGAGAGGGGTCTCATTTTCTTTGTTTATCCTATGTTTTTTTTTTGTTCTGTCTATGATTCTTCGTTCGAGGGTTAGGGTATTTTCAGTGGCGATTGGAGGTTAGGGTTAGGTTTACGGCGGTGCGAGAGTAAATCGCGACTAAACGTTTAGGTTTACAAAAGTAGGTTAAACATATATCCGAGTTTTGAATTCAAGAATCAAATTCAACTCTTCCTATATATGCCCGACTCTTACTATATATATATATATCTCCCATAAGTATTATCGAAATCATAATTTGCTATTTATTTTCTTGCAACATCATCGTGCCAACATAAAAAAATAACTCTTACTAATTCTAGCTTGATATATTTTATTTAGATTTGATGTGCATTCGTTAGTTTTCGGGTATGATTTTCTTACCCACCCCTAGATGAAGGATATTACAATATATGGATCAGCTAAATTATGTACCAAACCTTGGTTCACAATGTCAGTACGGTTTATATCAAAATTGGCCCGCATAAAACTAAATTTTGTACCAAACTAAACCAAGAACATCATAAGTGATGCTGTGTAACTAATGAGGTCTACAGATTTTTAAATACAGTGAATCTCCACATGGAAAAGAGCCGTTGATTTGGTAAGTCTAAAGAATAAGTCTAAAGAGACGACTCTACAAAAAACCAATATCCCACGCGTTTAAATATTTCTTCAAATCATAAGATTCGTATATCCTAGCCGTTTGCACATTTAAATTCGAAGACGCGGCAACGAATTTGTATAGAATATTCGTATTTGCAATATACTACACCAAATATGAACTTTCTAGGTGTCAACCGTCCCAAAATTGGTTCTTTATCCGATGGAATTAGTCAATTCAATTAATAAAATCTTGTGAGATAGTCCCTCCCCGAAAAACAAATATTTGTTGGGTTTTTATATAACAAATGAATGACATTATAAATTTGGATATCTCGAACTCTATTTAATTTCAATGAGTAACATTCCATCCTCTTTCCATGAAATTATGATTAGGCCCAATTATGATACATTCGTTATCCCATATTTAAAGAAAAGTTAGTTAAATAGCCATGAGTTGTAAAAAAAAAAGCCATGAATATGGATTACTTAGATATATAAGTAAATGGGAAAATCATAATTAAAAATCATTCTATTTGCACGATTCAACTAAAATATTATTAATATTTGCACATATTTGATACAATAACGAGCTATAAATTAGATATGACTTTTATCTGCCTCATACCCATGATAGACAGTTTTACACCTAATACTCGAGACCACAACGGACGGATCTACCTGCAACATTCTGAAACTTTTGATTTGTCTTGCATTATTAATTTTCAAGAATGTGCACTCTCTAAAAACAAAGTTATTTACCTAAACAAGAGCACATTTGAGTTATTGAGTACTCAATTTTTAATTTTAGTTAGGTTTAATGCCCCTTAAATCCAAGATAATGTAGAAGAATACTGTTGTACATTTGTTTCCTAACAATTAGACAATAATTTTAGACCAAATCAACATAATTTTTAATTTAAAATCTTTTATCCAACTTGCAAAAAATGCAAGTTAAACCAACAAAACCGGATTTAACTCGCACTATAAGCTCCCACCATCACCGTCAAGTTTGTTAATTTATGATAAGTTATATATTAAATCAAAGTCTTCACGACGAAGATTACACATATACTCTTTAAAATTTAGAAATTTAATGAACTTAACAGTAAAAACTATTGAAAAAATGCATACAAAAGTCATGATATTGCGGATTAAACTTGAATTTGTGGGTTTAACCTATATTTTTGTAAATGTAAGGTAAACTCGCAAAAAATATTTCACGAGTTTTATTTTGCAGAAAATTATATTTTACAACTAGTTGATCATTTTCTAAACCGAGTCTTCTAAACCGATGTAATTGATGTGTATAGAAAGAATTACATGTAGTTCAATATGATGTATAGAAAGAATTACATGTAGTTCAATATGATGTATAGAAATAGTCTCAGTTTATTTATACATTTAGTTACTAGCTAGTGCTCATTATTTTATAATAACTTAGTTATATACACTTGTAGCCGGCCGACTTGTTCCTGTAATTCTTCCGACTTGTCACGTTGCCACTAAACATCGAATTCTACAACTCTTGAAATTTGTTTAAAGAATCTCAAGCTGAAATTTTAGAAAGGTAATACCAAGTCAGATAGACAAGTGTATATAGTCTAATAAAGTTCTTGTGCTAGAATTTGTCATCATAAATAAATTATTAACATTGTAAGAACTTGTCTCCAAGAATAAATTATTTACTATAGTTGTACAAGAAGAACGTGGTCGATCGAATTGACTAGATATATATATGATATATATATGACGTCTAATCATATGATCTTTTGCAAATCAGTCGTATAATTCAATTTCAATCTAAGTAAACAGCAAACTCCAAAAAGAAAATTCACGATGGTGACAGCTTCGGACGTCAAAGTAGGACCAGAAGTGTTTATCAATTTCCGAGGAGTTGAGCTGCGCAAGACCTTCATCTCCCATCTCCATACAAAATTGCGACGGGTTGGAATCAATGCTTTTATAGATTCTGATGAAGCTCCTGGCAGAGAACTCCAAAACCTTTTCAAAAGGATTGAGGATTCAAAGATCGCGCTGGCGGTTTTATCGAGTAGGTACACCGAGTCACATTGGTGTTTGCAGGAGCTAGTTAAGATGATGGAATGTAGTACGAAAGGTGAAGGATGCAATAACAAGTTATTGGTCATTCCAATCTTCTACAAGCTGAAGATATCTACAGTGGCAGAGCTTGATGGAGATTTCGGTCGTAATTTGTGGGATCTCTGGAGGTTGCCCGGTCGCGGTCGTGATCGAGACAACCGGATTGTTAAGTGGAACGAGGCTTTGCAGGATGTTCTCAGCAGAAACGCCTTGGTATTGCCAGAAACTGGGTATGGATTAGTGTTAGGAATTAAACAATATTTAATTTTACTTTTCAATTTCTTTAGTAGAAAATCTTAGTATTATAAGTAGAATCAAAATGAAGGAAGACGAGCACGCTAGTTATGTTGTAGATTTATTCTTAGGAGATATTATACTCGTATCGTTCGTTAGATGGAAATATTTGCCGTTAGAAGAAATAGCTAGAATTTATTTTACGAAAAAAAGAAATAGTCAATCAAGAGCTAGAAGATTATTTGCAATTATTATACACGAAAAATATTAGAAAAGGTTCATATCGAAAAAAGATTAGTAAAAGTTCATTGAAACTTGAAAGATAAGAAAATGTAGATTATAGTCAATTTTAAATTATTACAACACATCTTACCAATACCAATCATTTCCATAATTCAAATTAATCAAAGAAAACGAAATAAAAAGTTTATTACGTTCAAGATTAATGATGATTAATAAAAGGATAAAAAAAATACACTCTTTTTGGTTTTGTTTTTTTGAAAAATCATTTTTGAATTGACATATTTTTTCAAAGTAAATAGAGTAAGATTAACTGTAAAGATTAACCTAAAATAAAATTGTAACAGTAATTTGAATTTTTTTTTTTTTTTTTTTACTATAAACATCACTTATATTTATTTTCCTATCAATATAATTTTCAAATAAAATTTTGAGATATGAAATTCTGACCAAAAGTTTTTTTTTCAATAAAGAGATGAGATTATAATAGATTAACATACCCATATTATGAATAAACTTTATCTTATATTTATTTAAAAAAATTTATAAATTTTTGTTCTATTTTGGTCTTCATCATTTTTCTTCTAATGTTCCTCATTTGATAAGGAACATAGATGAATGATGTGGAAAACAAATTACTCTTAAGTGTGGTAAAAATATAGAATAAAGATGAATATCATATTCCTCTTCATTTGTTTTCTAAATTATGGTTACAATTAAAGTTTTAGAGCTTACATCCATATATATATACCATTTATAAATAGGGAGACTCACAAAAATGCCCCTTTTTCAATACCCCTTTTCAAAAATGCCCCATTTGGCTGTTCATTTTTAAAAATACCCCTTTTTATGTACAAAATGACTAAATTACCCTTTTTTTAATAAAAAAATATCACAAATATATAAGGAAAACATGAGAATGTGTACGCATCAAAATTACAAATTTGATTTTGTAAAAACTTGAAAAACCTTTTAAATACCTTGTAAAATTTTCCCGCCAAAATTTTTCCCGCCAAAAAATTTTTTCGCCAAAAATTTTTTTTTGCGGGAAAAGTGATTCCGCAATTTTTTTGGTGTTAAATTTTTGGCGGGAAAAATTTACAAGGTATTTTAAAGGTTTTTTACAGGGTGTTTATAAGGTTTTACAATGTATTTTAAAAGGTTTTACAACGTATT